CCCCTCCCACCCCGCCCCCCAATCATTAGACATTGCATTAAGTGCAAAAAGTGCTTAAACAGCACTGTGGGCATAGCAGTCAGACAGCCAGTAGTGTACGCAAATTAGGAGACAGGCTTGTCTCCTTCTCCTTTTGGCTTGTCTCCCCTCCTCCATTCTGGATCACATACCTAACATGTTAGGAAGTATGCCGTAAGGATTATTCCTGAAAAGTCAAGGACACTTGAGTAATTGTATTTTGCAGTATCGGTAGCCTATCTGTCATTGCATCCTCGGGGGGGGGGGAGGGGGGGGAACAAAAATTTAAATTTAACACATCTTAAATATATATTCTCTTGGTGGGTTGTAATGTAAGTGAACACACACTCCCCTGCCAAAGGTATCGAAAACACTCCTTTGCGCTGTACAATGAACGGTACACTCATTTCATTCTACCTACTAAGGAAGTAATCCCCCAAAATCGATGGGTTACATGCGTCATGAGAAAATCCAATGTACTATTACCAAGACTGTTAAACTATTCTGTTTTGTACAAAGATAATGGAATTAATATCACTAAGTCTGTGTAAGAAGCATTCTAAGTGACAGTAAATCTGCAGGAAATTATTATGATACATGTACACTTTTTTATATTACAGCAAAGTATTTATGATTTTTAAAAAGAACGCATGGGCCTTACCATTTGACAGTGGCTCAAACCTTCATGTCATAAGATACTAGCTGGGCTTGAAAAGTTATTTGCCTCATTGAATGTGTGTACACAGCAATTATCGGTGGCAGTGAATGCAAGGTACACGTTTGTGGCATGTCAGCATGTCTGAATGCAGGGACATGTGAGTGTGAATAGTCAGTGTCTGAGAATGCATGAGTGTATGTGTGATAAAGTATATGTGTGATAAAGATAAAACAAATGGATTTTGTGAATGCCGGTTTGTATTTGTGTGTGTGAGGAGGAGGTGTATTTCACCCCCAATTGTGTTTATAGCCCATTCTTTCCTTCCCCCACACCCATTAGCTCAGTCATCATGTCTCTTCTCATAGCCCACTTTCCTCCTCTTCCCCCAAATCATATCCTGGCAGTTTATTACAAGGCCACCCTTTGTTTGCTAAGAGCCACATGCAGTGTGTGCTGCCTATAACACTGAAGAGTGCAGTTTGCGCTGTAGAAAGATGTCACAAATCACAAAGTACAGTGCGTGCCACATCACAGAATGCTATAGACAGCACACACCATCTGTACAGTTGCTCTCATTCCCCCAACAGAGGCGTTGTAGAAGTTGGCCACAGGTAAAACTTGCACAGGTTTAACTTCCACTTGCCCTTTGCAAAAGGTCTTATTTCTGTGTGGTGCATGATGGACCCCAGCTAAGTTATCAAACCGATTGTCTACTTACCTTGGAAGGGTGCCAGGGTAGTCCTGACACAATAGCCAGTACTGTGGGCTGTGATGGTTATTGTGCTTAGAGTGTACCTTTAATAACATAATATCTAAACACCACAAATCGGCATGTGTAAAGGATTTCCCCTCACACCTCTCTTGCTAAACACGTCCATAATACCGATAGTAATTATGAATCTGAAATTGTTTACGAAGAGTTCTGTGGAACCTTTTTCACAAGCAGAAATCAAAATGTGCCATAAAACTATAATAATAATGTGCTCAAATACCCCATCATCTCTAACTGACAACAAAAAGTGGAAACACTCATGAGTAAGCTACGTATTAGAAAACACATTTATTTAACCCCTTCATGATTGCAGCTATGCCAGGAACATCACAAAAAAAGTATTTTCTGTAGGGCAACTGACATACCTTACATATAATGCATTAAAATAATAATCATGGCTCTGGTATGCACCATCACTGCAGCACCATGAAAGCAGTGACCGTGACTACTGTGAAGAAACTACTGTCTAACCCTACCTGGCCTTCTCATATATGCATTACCCAGAGCTTCACTGAGAAACACTGCAAGTACAGAATTAGACGGTTACTCCAACACAAAAAAAATAAAAATAACTTTGAATACTTTATTGGACGTTATATTTTGAGGTTCCACCGCTCCTTTTACCATAAATTACACTACAAAAATCAGCTAAAACTTACCTGAAAACCAGCTTTCCACTCCCAGTGTGATATATAGGAGCCTTGTGAAAGGTCCAATCAAAAGCTTCTTAAAGAGAATCATTTGATTGGACCATTTAACCATCTAAGAGAACATGTGCGCTCTCCGAGCCGGTAAAGAGAGGGAGCAGTGCCATCTTAACATTATTATGGGCCCCTGGCAAAGCAGTGCCCTCCCTACACAACAACTTAACAAAATGAAGCTTCTATTTATTGGTACCTTTAACAAATGCAATACATACAATACACACACACACACACAGACTGCTGAATACACACAGACTGCTGAATACACACCCTGCAGTGAGAGGTGCAGTGTATGTGTTTGTGTGTACGGGTGCTGTATGTGTATTTGTGAGGGGTGTTCTGTGTGTGAGGTGCTGTGTCTATGAGGGGTGATGTGTGTGTATGAGGGCTGCCGTGTGAGTGATGGGTGTTTGTGTGTGTGTGAGGGACGCTGAGTGTGTGAGATGTGCTGAGTGTGGATACGGGTGCTCTGTGTGTGTGTGTGTGTGACGGGTGCTGTGTTTGTGTGACGGGTGCTCTGTTTGTGTGTGTGTGTGACGTGTGCTGTGAGGGGTGCTGTGTGTGTGAGAGGTGCAGAGCTTGAGGGGTGCAGGTAGCAAATTTTTTAATTAATAAAATCTTCATGTCCCTCCCACTTCTTCTTACCTTTGGTGAAGGAGGGGGGACACAGCCATCCCTGGCGGTCCGGTGGTGGTGAGTTTCTCTAGAGCCTCCAGCTTGTCTGGCTGCAGGCTGTCTCCTGTCCTCCTGTGCGCAGAATGCTGTGTCGGAGCATAGCCTTGGTAACGCACGGCAACACTCCACACCACCTGCTTGCGGGAGGAGTGATTTGCACCCCAGGTCCCTCCCCCTGCCTCCAGGTCCACCCTCCCTCTTTCTCACCGAACAAAGGGACTTTGGGTTGGTGAGGGAGATCTTTGATCTCGAAAGGACCGACAGCAACGGAGCATGACTGGCTCTCCATGGATCTCCCCTGTCGGCCTCGGCACATGGGCAGCACGGTGGGGATCCCATGCCTGTAATTTTTGTGCAGAATTGACATTAGACAGCTTGACACAGCCCCCTGCAACTAGCCCCTGGCACAAAAGTGAAAATGTCTCTTTATGTTCAGTGTTTCAACCAGAAATGCTGTATGTACAGACTCCTACCACCATGACTACTTCTAAAAGCAGAACTGTTAACATTGGTTGGAGTAAATCTTCAAAGTACTTTGCTGCTGGAAATATACAAAGTCATTATTGCAGGCTGGATAATGTTAATAATATGAATATTGGGTGTCAGTCACTAGCACAGCATGCTGGCAACAGACAACCAATGCTGGCAGCACTGCCCCCTCTATGTCACCTGAGTCCTCTGCTCACCTGTCCTCCAGGGAAGTCCTTCCCAGCTGCTGTGAGGGGAAATTATGTCACAGGAGGTGGATCGAACTGCAAGAATAACTTTAAGAAATACATTCCAATGGAAAGGGAGGGGAGGTGCAGAACAAATTTTACCACATTCCGTGGCAGATATTTTTGGCAAAATTGATACACGAAATATTTCTACATTAGGCTGAACATATGAATCCAGAAACTGTAAGACAGTCAACCAACCAGAGCTTTTTTTCCTTATATCCTTTGATTTCAAAAGGTGTTCATGTTCAGCAGCATCACTAAGAGTACGATGACACCAAATATGGCTAACGTTTCTTATGGAGAAGATTTGGATTCAGTGCTTCTTTCATGGTTATTCACTAGACTCTGAATATTCGCAAAATAAATCCGAATAGTAAAACTGAGTCAAAAATAACTGATCTGGAAAAATTCTCTAATACAGCGATATTCACAAATTGGTTATTTTTGCATCAGTTTTGACATTCTACTTTAATTTGTGGTTTTGTGATAGTAATAGTGTTTAGGAGAGGCATTGGATTGGCAAACTGCAGTGGTTGCTGCACATGTACTGTATCTCCTTAATGGTTTTCTATGAGGAGTATCTGATTGTACAAAAATCATCAGGATTGTTTACTTCACCAAAGGAGGATCGGCTGTTTGGTGAACACAGTACAAGCGCACTAATCCCCCCTCCCGCCCCCGTACCTCATTGGCATGCAAAGGGTAAAAAATAACCTTTTTATACTTACTTGATTCCAGCGTCGATGTCCCTTGGATCTGGGTCGGCGCTCCTCCTCCTCTGACGTCATCCAATGGATGCTGCATGCTTTCTTATGGGGATTTTACTGACGCTGGGTGTCCTAATGCAGAGTGCGAGGATGTCTAGCGGAAGTTAGGTGACCAAAAGTCCCCTAACAAGCAGGAAGTTCCACTAGTGGCAATCTTAGTCCTGCAATGTAATTATTGCAATTTCTCAGAAACTGCAGTGATTTACATTGCAGGACTAAGTGGGACCAGGACACTGCACCCAGACCACTTCAATGAGATAACGTGGTCTGGGTGCGTATGGTGTCACTTTAAAAATAATAATAATAATAATAATAAAAAGAACACATCTAATATTATTTAGAATGTTTGTTTACAAAACAGGCAGTCTATATTGTCCTAATAAACCCTTTTTGTTTTGTTAGCATTGCCACATTACAGGTACCTAAGTTTGTCAACACACTATGGTGTCATTCTCTCTCCATATTTAAGGGCATCTGTTAAGAAGATACCCCAGGAGGGGACATACCCATTTATTTCTGTGATCTTGTGAGTGCAATTTAAAGGCACAATTACCCACTAATGTTTACAGTACAGTACTAGCCTATGTGTATATATGGCTTTTTATTTCTCTCCTTTATTTTGTAATTCTGTAGATAATGCATTGAAATATACAACCATATACTGCATCTATAAAAGAAAGTGCAGTGCTTGAAACAAGCATTATCCGATTCATCCAGCAGGAAAGAGGTTAATGGCTTTATAGGGGGAGCAGTCTACTTACGGAACACATTGCACAGAATTGAGACATTTACTGTAAGTGGCAGGCTGTTCTCAGCACAGGGCGGTGTGACATTCCCCATGCAGCAGCGAACTGGTTAACGCTATATACACAGCACATGTGCAGCACCTGGGGGGGAGGTGCCAGCGACTGACACATTCACTCTGCACGTCACCTTTGTAGGAGCACCCAATGGCCCTCAGCATCTCCCTGCACTGACCAGCTCTGCTCTACCCATCAGGACAGACGCCATGGAACACATCAGATTGCCAAAGGTTAGTGGAACGTTGATGATGTGGAAGGAAACACAGTAACAATGTATCCAGCATAAGGGTGACTCATTCCTGCATCCACCCTGATATCACTGTGCAGTTATTACATCTTCCTCCCAGCAAGGCGTGACAGCTGCTCCCTCTCCTCCATGATTTTAAGGATGTTTATTTTCTAATGCCGATTGTGAGAAAATAATGCATTTGGGAGGGTTTGTTTAAATGATACACACAGCATGTACTGTTTACAATGTGAGATCCGCTACGTATGTTACAGCAGAGAGGAGCAGGCCCTGCCCTATAATCAGGGATTACAACATGAATTACTGTTATTTCTATTTATGTTGCCTTGAATCTAGGAAGCTCTCACTGGCAAATCTGAAATATCATCATTTTAGTATCGTTAGAATAATATATCCACTGGCATACTCTGCTTTTATGCCACCCACAAAGAAATTTTCTTCTAAATTGCCAAGTGTCTTGAAGTGAGAAATTACTGAAAATATAGGACATTATGGTAGATTTGAGTGTGTGAATGTTTTGGAGAACATTTTCCATTCCTGCTCTTTGACCTAGGTTCAGCTAATTCTTTTTCAATTAACTACATCTCATTCACAACTAACCATGGAAACTAAACATACTATGCATTTTAGCTTTTTTAATTTATAGATGATGCCCAGTTTTAAAGAATTGGATTATTTGGAATCATGTTAATCACATCCTAGGCTAAAGAGGGGTGATATTAGGTACTGGGGGTTAATGTCCTTATCAGAGTCTTAGATGTTCATGGGGACACAGGTCAGGTTAGCATGTTTTTCAATGACAGCCGAAGGTGACTTCTCTTCTTTTTTTAGTGGTACTCAGTGAGAAAGGACCAATGTAGAAATACTAGCCAAAATAATTTCCTCTTCGTACTCTCCATATTCTGGAACCAGGCCCTCTCAGTTCCTAGCTTCTAAGACGCTAGGGGCCGTTTTACTATTTCCCTCTTGTGAATGTGTGAAAATACAAAATGGAACATCCTTCAAAATGAATTAATAAAAAATATATTTAAAAAAAAACAAAAACAAACACGTGACAGTGATGCTCTAGGATTAGAGAGAGATGTGTTGTATTGGGGGGACTTGGGAATATGACGTACCTGCCTTTAAGATTCAGTGAATTGTAACTCCCATGGTTCCTTTACTAGATATATATTTATTGTGTTTGTAAATAGCCTGATGAAGATTGCTTTTTTTCTCCTTCTCTAGTATTGTATCCAGAAGTGAGCTGGAATACATTTTGAATTGTCATGAATTACATTTTTTAGAGGAAACATTCAGCAAATCTACTTTTTTATGTTTTTCTTTCCTCAATAAAATAAAAGGACCATCCTTTCCTATAAGACGGATTGGATGTGCATGCACAGCAGGTCTCCTGTGCTTCTCTATGAGGAGATTTGGACCATCCTTGCTTTCCTATAAGACGGATTGGATGCGCATGCACATCAGGTCTCCAGTGCTTCTCTATGAGGAGAATTGGACCATCCTTTCCTATAAGACGGATTGGATGCGCATGCACATCAGGTCTCCAGTGCTTCTCTATGAGGAGAATTGGACCATCCTTTCCTATAAGACGGATTGGATGCGCATGCACATCAGGTCTCCAGTGCTTCTCTATGAGGAGAATTGGACCATCCTTTCCTATAAGACGGATTGGATGCGCATGCACATCAGGTCTCCAGTGCTTCTCTATGAGGAGAATTGGACCATCCTTTCCTATAAGACGGATTGGATGCGCATGCACATCAGGTCTCCAGTGCTTCTCTATGAGGAGAATTGGACCATCCTTTCCTATAAGACGAATTGGATGTGCATGCACATCAGGTCTCCTGTCGATATAATTTCACTTTCAAGTATGAAAGTCAATAATAATATTATTCACTAAATTGACTGGGAATTGGAATGGTCAATTTCAAAATTTTGGTAAAAATAGCAGAGCTGGAAGATTTATTTTTTAATTTTTTTTATTGTGAATTTTGTCCTTTTTTTTCCTTTTTTGCCCCCTCCCCGCTCTGCCTGTAAGCTTGTTAAATGTTTTAACTTAATGCCATATTAAATATTGTTTTAATGGAAGATCACTGGGGATGTTAGTATTTTAAAAGTGCCAACATATTCCATTTAGTCTCCTCTTCCCCTTGTGGCTTAGTTCAGTCTAGAAGCCAGAAGATTTCTTACATCCAACAGGATATAAATCCATCTCAAAACCTGTAATGCAATATAGCAATAGTACTGTTGATTGAAATAATTGTGCCATATATGCAGTGTTTTGTTTCTCTTCGAGTACCCATATGAAACAATGGAAATATTTCCTTTGTATATATCAATCAATTTATTGTTAAAGGGGCACTCCAAGTACCGTAACCGTTACAGTAGTGGTTATGGTTTCAGGATCATCCTAAAGGCCATCCCTCAGTAGAGTCCAGGGGGTAGATAACCTTCAGGACTCCAGATGTTGTGGACATCTTCTACCATGGTGCTGTTATAGCATTGATGCTAGGAAAACATCAGGACAATGTAGTCCATAACATCTGGAGTGCCAAAAGGTTGTCTACCACTTGTATAGTCAAACTGTTTTAGCATGTAGGTCTTACCGGGTCCCTGTGGTCGCAGTCCCTGCTTCCAGTTTTCACCTACATGTAAAATATGGATTCTTCTACAAAGCTAAGCAGAACTGTGCAGGACCATGGTCATTGACCAAGAGTTTCAGATGAGTTCTCACAGTCAATACTGTCCTTGATATGTTTTTGCGACTGTTTTTTGTGACTGAGACCCTGGTAAGTTGTCAAACTGTACTGAAACCGTTTGACTACCTATGGAAAAGTGCCAGGCCACTGTTTGCATCCAAACCACTACAGTCGGCTGTAGTGGTTATGGTGCTATGGAGTGTTGCATTAATATTACAACATAATCATTGTTCCATGTTGGCTAATAAGCTTGTACAGTTGTTCGGTTCATTGATTCATCTTTTAAAGCAGCTCCGTTACTTAATGTCCCCTACCCCCGTCTATGGTGACTCTGGGATCAGTTTTACTTACCAGAAACCTCTGCCTTGGCTCTCGTGGAGAGGACCTCCAGCAGTTTACTTGGAGCTGTAAAGAAGTGATGATGCAACGCTGCCGTAAGTATTAACAGCAGTTAATAAAATACACGAAGCTTGACTCCAGCCTTTAATGTTTGTCAACCTGCAGGTTATACATCAGGAAAAGTAGTAGGGAAAAGTAGTCCCTACTTTTCCTTACGTATAAGTTTCAAAATAAATAAATAAAAAGGCAGTGTTTACATTTAAAAGCCTGCGGGGAGAGTGTCGGAGCTAGCGATCAACTCAAGCAGACGTGTGAGCACTGAACTCTGGGAGAAATCCGCTGAAAAAGCATAATACAAGCAGAATTAGAAGTTCTGCTTACCTCCCACACTTGTCCAAACATAACGGGACGCAAATCAAGCAATTACGAAGTGAGACAACGCTGACTAAAAATATCGGCGATTTGTTCAGAATAACTCGGTGGCCGAGGCCTACCAAGATGACGACCCACACGGGAGGCATCTTTCTACTCCTCAAATGAAAACGAGGGTGAGACTGCTGTGGCACCTGCAAATGGAGGCATCACCCAGAAAGCGTGTACTCCACCTCCTGAACAGATGCCGGCCAGCAAAGGGATCCAGAGGATGTGCAGGACCCTGAGATCCCACACTACTTACGAAGACTGATGGCCTCCTTCTCTTACCAGCTAAAGCAAAATCTATCCTGCTGGAGTACCACTTCCGAATCCCTAAGCCTCCTAGAGCCCCAACTGAGGTCGCACGGGACTTGCTCATATGTTTCCAATCTCTCCGGGACAAGATGTTAGTGCAAGAAGCAGCCCATGAAGCAACCACTTACATGTTCGAGGGATCTGACCTATCTGACTGTAGTGTTCCTTTAAGCTGTTTTACAATTCTGCTAGTTTGTTTAATGTATCTTCTTTTATAGTTTGCTTATAACTTGATGTGAGTTGATGACCTCCCAGAGGCTGCTGGTCTGTGTAATCTGGGGCTGTCAAAATGAAATAGACTGTGGACTCAGCTTTGTCATTCCCCATCTCGTTCTCTGTACTGAGCAGAGGATCTCTAATTTGGGACGAAGGTTTGAGATCATCTAGCTCAGGGGTCAGCAACCTATGGCACTTGTGCCATGCACGGCACTCTAGGTGCTTTTAGACGGCACTCAAGGCTGCCAAAGCTAGACTGGCTCTGGCCCATCAAGAGTCCTTAGTAAAAACTGAGTGGTTAGGGGAAATCCTCAATTTACACATTTCAGCACTTATAGGAAGTAACCTCAGATCACTTTATCCCAGTACTTGTGAATGGGAATCTGCACTGGATTAGAGCAGCCCACAGAAGCTATTGCAGCTCCTGCCCTTAACCTGTACCTGGTCAGCCCGGTCCCCACTGGACCGCAGGGAAGCCACCCACAGTGCTAGGTATACACTGAACTTCCGAATAAGTCTCCTCCTCATACAAATAATACAAACATCCCCCACACACAAACACATCCTCACAACACCACTGACAATCCACATACATGCACACAGCCCCACAAGCAGCCTGTCACATACAGTACCCTAAGCAGCCCCACACATACACACACCAAACACACATTGTGACATATTACACAAGCAACCCCCATACACAGCCCACTTTTACAGGGATCACATACAATACCACAAACTACTCATGAACGGATACTTTACAATATAACAACTCACACATGCACAAGTACAATGCTACAAAGCAACTGCAGCACCAATGAATAACACAAGCAAAATATTGCAACATATTACACACGTCCATATTAAAACAGAGGATCGGCACGCCGAGAGACTTCCTTTTTTGGCATAGTACTACTGAAAGGTTGCCTATCCCTGATCTAGCTAGCTGAATTGTTCTGCTACACTTAAAGGGACACTATAGTCACCCAGACCACTTCAGCTGAATGAAGTGGGCTGGGTGCCAGGTCCCTCAGGTTTTAACCCTTCAGATGCAAACATAGCAGTTTCACAGAAACTGCTATGTTTACATTTGGGGTTAATCCAGCCTCTAGTGGCTGTCTTCCGGATTTCGCCTCCATCGCGCAGAGCGTCCATAGGAAAGCATTCAGAAATAATTTCCTATTGACAGCTTGAATGCATGCGCGGCACTTGCTGTGCATGTGCATTCGGCTCCAGTGACGTCGGATGAGGGAGCTGACGTCGGTGGGGGAGGAGAGGTCACCAGCGCCGAGAGAGCCCGGCGCTGGATTAAGGTAAGTAACTGAAGGGGTTTTAACCCCTTCAGCGCCACGGGAGGGGGACCCTGAAGGTGGGGGCACCCTCAGGGCACTATAGTTTTCCTAACACTATAGTGATCCTTTAACTATTCCTCTGAAACAGAGTTTGACAGGTCAAAAAGAGACAAGATTCCTTAAAATGTTACTTTTGGTGTCTAATACTTGCTGTAGTAAACTCTAATCAACTTGTACCTATCCCCTTTCTCTGAAAATACAAATGTTGGCTCCTAAATTAGTCTGATAAGTACAGGAGAATGAATATATGGCACAGCTGGACAAAATCTGAATGTGCATGTGTGTTGATAGTGTTTTCCCTCTTAGATGCCAGAGACACGCACTTGTTAAATTCCTGCAACGTGGAAGTGCAGTAGAAGTATTTTTATTTTATTTTATTATGATTATTTTTAACTTGCCTGCACTTCATTATTAGCGTCTGTAAACCCTGCAATAGCCTTTACTTGGGTGAATAGCAAGGAACTGTCAATTCTGAAAGTAACAGATTCTCATTGATTTTGGCCTAAAATTTTTAATTAACTTTAAATTCCTGACAGTTGAGTGAGGACTTTATTGTGGTTTTGAATCTGGGAACATTATTATCAAACTATCTGTATCCTATTATATCAACTTAGCCTGGTACCATAGTGTTGATGGTTAAATTGGTTAAATTTCTGTTCTGAAATGGATCTGGAGCAAGTAATAGTTATATTGATAAGTTACTTCATTCTCTGGGCAAGTAAGTGCTTTACAAAGGCTTCAGTGGGTCATTGAGAAACGTGTTCTAACAAAGTTTGGCATTGTGCTTATATCTCCCTAACAGAAGGGGTTAATATCCCAATCCTTTATCATTAATAATGCTGCTGGCTGCCATTCAAGACTTCATATATTATACAAGTATAAAGAGTGAAACTGCAGCGCACAGATGGGAAAAACCCAAATCATGTGTTGATTGCTGCTAAGGAGCAATACTTAATCATTAATGTACAGAAAATAAAAAAAAGTTCTACCACATGCCCAGTGCACAGATTTTGTTTTTTTTTTTTTTAAACATGATTTATATCATTTGGGTTATTTTTAAAACCTGCACATTACGTAATCTGTGTCCTTGCTCAAGCTAGATTATGATGATGAAGTACCATGGGTACACAGACTTGATGGTCTTTTGCTGGTGTGAAATCCTCAGTGAGGGTTCCGCATCCAAATTTTATAGCTAGCTGGAAACTGCCACAGACAGCCTCCTGAGAGGCATCATATTGTGTTGTAAATGCACTATTTTCAAAGAACTAAAACTTCAATGATTCTTTTCTGGCCACGAGGTTGGAATGCTTTCATATAATTTGTAGTTTTACATCTTAGTATGTCCCTTTAGAAAACCAGTTTTGTTTAGCTAGAGAGGATGTAGCAAGTTTATAAAGTGAAGTTACTCATAATAGAATCTGCAACTGACTGGTCCTAGGTTTCACAATTAAATGAATAATATAAAATTGGCACCTTGAAATTGAACTCCGCTAAGTCCGTGGACAGCGCTCTGAATGGTCAGGAGCCACTATTATAATTCTATCCATGTAATAGGTAGGCTTAGTTCATCTGAACACAAGCTTAATGTGTAATAGTATTATCTACCTTGTTTGTCTTTTTATTTTTCTCTTATTGCTTTGAAGGTTGAAAACGTCCGTTTACTTGACCGGATATCCTCCAGGAGAGCAGCCTTGGGAACATTGTATTTGACAGCAACCCACGTCATCCTTGTAGAAAATCTATCAGAAGCACGTAAAGAGACCTGGGTAGGCTCAACTTTTAACACTTCTTATTTAACAAACAGCCTGGATGGTTTAGAGCAGGGGTTTCAAAGAACTGACCTGCATTCCAGATCTGACTCCACCTAATTCTTCCCTATGGCATGAATCCACCTGTTTTGTTTTGACATGACTCCACGGTACACCACATACTGAGAGGGAGAATGGAATGGATATAAGATGTGTATGTTTCTGTTGGTGTGGCAGTGTGTAACTCTGTGTGTGTTTACGCAAAAGTGTAGGTGCGTGTGTGCCTGAAAGTGTGTACATGTGAGTAACTGTGCAACTGTGTATGTGCATGAGAGTGTTAAGTTGTGTGTGCAGATGCACATGATTGCACATATGTTAGTATGAATCTGAGGTTCCCAGGGGAGAAATCATACTGGCTTGTGGCCCACAGTTATGTTAACTTCAAGACCCCTGGTTTAGAGCATTCTGTATAACTCTGGTACGTATAAAGCCTACGTGACTAACCTCTTGCTTACTGTCCTGCAGATTGACAGTATGTTGTGTGTCATTATGGCACATGTGAGTGGGATTTGTTTATTTTCAATGGTTTCCTTTAAGCATTGTAACCACGACAACTCATTGTAGTGGATATAGGGCACAGAGTGTTTGGCACTGTCTCTCTGTTAGCAGTGGTGTATCCTGGTTTTGTGCTGCCCTAGGCAGGACAAAACTCAGGCGCCCCCCTGCCCCTGCACCACCCCCACCCAACCCTTCCCCCCGCCCCACCTTCTAAATACACACACACAGTCAGACACAAACACACACACACACACATACACAAACACACACACATACACAAACACAGTCAGACACAAACACACACACACATACACAGTCAGACACAAACACACACATACACAAACACACACACTCACAAACACAGTCAGATACAAACACACACACACTCACAAACACAGTCAGACACACACAGAGTCAGACACAAACACACACACTCACAAACACAGTCAGATACAAACACACACACACTCACAAACACAGTCAGACACACACAGAGTCAGACACAAACACACACACACACTCACAAACACAGTCAGATACAAACACACACACACTCACAAACACAGTCAGACACACACACAGTCAGACACATACACAGACACAAACACAGTCAGACAAACACACACACAGTCAGACACACAGTCAGACACAAACACACACACTCACAAACACAGTCAGATACACACAGAGTCAGACACAAACACACACACAGTCAGACACATACACAGACACATCACAAACAGTCAGACACAAACACACACACACATACACAAACACAGTCAGACACACACAGAGTCAGACACATACACAGTCAGACAGTCACACACACAGTCAGACACAAACACACATTAACTTTTTTTTTAATTTAAATCCCCCCCCAACCTCCTTACCTTTGGGAGTGCTGGGGGGGGTCTCTCTCCCTGGTGGTCCAGTGGCTGCAGGTCGGGCTGGCAGGCGGGCGGCTGGCGAGGGAGCACTTCCTCTGAGCTGTCAGCTCAGCTCCCTCGCGCGCCGGCTGCAGAGTGAGGCTGGGAGCCGGGATATGACATCATCTTCCGGCTCCCAGTCTCACTTTGCGGTGCGCGAGGGAGCTGAGCAGTCAGCTCAGAGGAAGTGCTCCCTCGCCAGCCGCCCGCCTGCCAGCGCCGCCCGCCCGCTCGGGATGTCTGTTAGCCGCAAGGCTAACAAGGCATTTGCCCTGGGCATTTGGGGGGCGGCGTTTTTTGCCGCCCCCTGAAAAATGCCGCCCAAGGCAAATGCCTTGTTTGCCTCGCGGCTAATACGCCCCTGTCTGTTAGGAGTCAAGTTGTTTTCATTCCTAAGCTATTACTATCCCTTTAAAGGGTGGATATATATTTTTTTGTTTTTCTTTTTTGGGGGTTTAGATCCTTCACAGTCAAATCTCAAGCATTGAAAAGCAAGCAACAATAGCTACTGGCTGTCCACTTCTCATCCGCTGTAAGAACTTCCAAGTCATCCAGCTGCTGATTCCGCAGGAGAGAGACTGCCATGACATTTACGCATCGTTGGTCCGACTCTCACGGCCAGGTACAGAAATAAAGACAATGAGTTCATAATTCATTTCCAGTTCATTCCCTGCTTGTGCTGTGCCTTCATGATGTCAAGTTGCAGATAAGGAACATAAGAACTAAAGAAACAAAAATCAGACTGGGTCCTTGCAATTTACTTTCTCCAAAAAAAAGTGTTTGAAAGTAACTCTCAAAGTCCACAAACACCACAACAGAAGATGCACGGGCAATAAATAAAATAGCCCACGCATCATCCTGTCCCCCAGTAATAAAAAAAACAAAAACTTTCGGGGCCCTGGGACCAGTTCAGACACATTGCCATCACAACATGTTAATTGTAAAGCTCCATTTGACATTTCTATCCCCTCCCAACGCTTCTATGTCCTCTTGTCATTGATGGTATAACAAATTATTGTGCCCTCATTTTACTGACTTGGTCACTTGGTTTACTGACTAAGTCAGACAGGCTTAGGCTGTGCAGAGAATTAGAGAGAATACATAATCAAATTAAAGCAGCCCTGTCTGAGCTTTTATCTTTATGAAATACTGAAAACTGACAGAGTGGTAACACAGCCTTTTAAAGCAGGGGCTGATGCTCATTTCTTTGTGGCTCTGTCTTAGTGCTGTCTGCTCCTTTTAGGATGACTTCTCTTGGGACGCAGGCACTCTGTGTAATCCCCACCCCATGGTGCAGTAAACCAGTGGGGACTTCTTAATAGAGGTCAAAAAGTGTGTATCATATACTCTCTTGAGGAGCATCAGGCTCAGATGGCCCTGGTCTCTGAAATTCCTTCTTAATGGAGACCTAGCAAAAAAACAAAAAAAACACATGATTAGTTGTTCTCACCATATCTCCAGCCATCAATCAGGGGGAGGGGGGCCTATAAAATGTGAAAATGTCACACAGAGATCTAGCTTTTACCAGAGTACACTTATGCAAGCTCATTGAGCAGGGCCTGTTCCTGTACGTCCAGTTGTCTGGTTATAATTACATGTCTGTTAGTTCACCCATTGTACAGCGCTATGGAATCTGATGGCTATATAAATAATAAAATAATAATAATAAAGTACTTTAATTACTTTAATTTACCTTTTTGCTGTTTTTTGTTGTTAAAGGGACACTATAGTCACCCAGACCACTTCAGCTCAATGAAGTGGTCTGGGTGCCAGGTCCCTCAGGTTTTAACCATTCATATGCAAACATAGCAGTTTCAGAAAACTGCTATGTTTGCATTTGGGGTTAATCCAGCCTCTAGTGGCTGTCTTTTCAATGCATCCATCATGCAGAGCGTCCATAGGAAAGCATTGAAAAATGCTTTCCTATGGACACGCATGCGCATTCGACTCCACTGACGTCGGACGGGGGAGCTGACGATGGACGGGGAGGAGAGGTCACCAGCGCTGGAATAAGATAAGCTGCTGAAAGGGTTTTAACCCCTTCATCGCCACGGGAGGGGGACCCTGAGGGTGGGGGCACCCTCAGGGCTCTATAGTGTCAGGAAAACCGCTTTGTTTTCCTGACACTGTAGTGATCCTTTAAGGGAAGATCTAATACTGTTATTGGATCTCTGCCATTATGCAGCCTGTTTGTGATCCTTGAATAATATGAAAACAATACATGTTTGATTTATACATTTTTATATTGCTTGTGTTTTCCTTTTTTTCAGTAAAATATGAAGAGCTATACTGCTTTTCATTCAACCCAAAGCTGGATAAAGAAGAACGAGAGGAAGGCTGGAAGCTAATTGACTTAAACGAAGAGCATAATCGAATGGGTCTTCCAAAAAGTCTGTGGCAGCTCAGTGATGTCAACCGTGACTATCGAGTGAGAGATTACTCTTTAATTAAAAAATAAAAAAAGTTTAAAATTCTATTGTAAAAAAAATAAAAAATTCATATTATAAGCATATCTCCTAGCCATTAAAAAAAATGTAATCCTGCCACGTATAAAAGACATATCCATGCCTAATGTACCATAAGAAATTGAGAAATGTTTGCCTCCCTCACGACCTACCTTTTAAGACCTACCTTTTAAGACCTACCTTTTAATACAAGCCTTCCAGGACAAACATGCATACATTTCATGGGACTATAAATATTACTAAAGCGATTCAAGTCCCGCCAGGTGAAAATTGCTATATAGGTGGTTATTGTTTAGCCAGCATGGTGGTGTAATCAGATGCCATCCATGGAATAAAAATTATCCATTTTGAAATGCCATGTTGCTTTTATCAGTTTCTATTTGCCTATGTCTCTAGTTTACCCCTTCACAAGAACCCCTCCCTCCTACTTATTTCCTCTTTGTTTGCAATGAAATCCATCTCACTGTACATATAATTGGCAGAGCAGGCATGCATTGTGCAATGCCTAATAATTAAGGGCACAGATAGGGATGGGGGGTATGATTTCATCCAAGTTCGCAGGCTACTCTGTCAAGATCTAGCCTAGCATCCTGTATCACCATATGCTGCTTTTCATTTTTTCATACCCTTTTTTTTTATTTTCTTTAGGTATGTGACTCGTATCCTACAGAGCTATATGTACCAAAATCTGCCACGGTGCCAATAATCGTAGGCAGCTCCAAATTCCGCAGTCGAGGGCGTTTCCCTACTCTGTCGTACTACTGCCAAGATAATAACGTATGTAATCATTGTCTGTAATCAAGCCTAGCTCCAGAATCCACTGTATTTCATGCTTTCATTTCTGACTACTAAGTGCAGATTGCAAGTCTCCCAAAAAATGGGTACTGTTCAAAAATGTCTGGGAATTGAACCAAAAAAAAGAAAGAAAATAAAATAAATAAAAAAAAGATTCTCAGATATAAAATAAAGCAATAACTGTACATACAATTAAACAGAGTGGACAATGTATCTTAGCAAGTTAAAGTATTAGCAAATTGCTCTGCTGATATAAATATTTTTTTACAACCTTTACAGCAAAGGTCACTACATGCCATATACTGTATGTTTTCATCTACAATTAGGAAATCATCGGAAATATCATTTGGAAATATGTTGATAGAGCTTTAGGTCAGTGGTACATTTTAAACTTCAGTTTGGGTTAAAGAGAGTAGTGAGTGTATGATGTGACACTGAGATTTAAAAAATATACTACAGGCTAGCATTGGGAACTCGTATAAATATTGATTGGATAAGCTTTTTAAATTATTTAATATTTTTAAACAAACCTTTTAACCAATGTTTTTAAAATATCAAAAAATATATTATAAATCAATATAGCAAAAAGTAAAAAAAAATGTAAATATGTTTCATAATAATAAATCATTTTAAAAGTTTATCCAAAAATATCTAAAATGATAACCGTATCAACAATATTAAATCAAGGCCTATATACTTCAATAATTCTGGTGAAGTTTGTCATCAACCAATGCATGGCTCTTCTAAACATACAAAAGAGCTTTCATGGGCATTCAACTGGACTGATGCACCTTCTTCAAGGTTGCGACATATCACCAACAACATACCAGGTAACAGGTACCTAGTGTTGGGTGGTATGCTATAAGTTTGCAAACACATTCTGAGCTTTTAGATTATCAGAATCTGACCTTAAATCAAGTTGTTTTGTTCTTTTAATTGTTCTCACTGTTAGGCCTCTATCTGTCGGAGTAGTCAGCCCTTGTCAGGTTTCAGTGCTCGCTGTCTTGAAGATGAACAGATGCTGCAGGCCATAAGAAAAGCAAACCCAGGAAGTGAATTTCTTTATGTAGTTGATACTCGACCAAAAGTAAGTAGCAATACGGCAGAAAGGAAAAATCAAGTTAACTCGACCAGAGTTACAAATATGTTTTACTTAAAGGGACTTTCTAGTTACCAGAACAACTACAGCTTAATGTACTAGTAATTTTCATGTAAACACTGTCTTTTCAGAGTGCCTAGGGACACCTCCAGTGGTAGTCACTCAGACGGCCACTAGAGGTGCTTCCTGGGTCAGTCTGGCAGTCTGGCACAATATGCAGCACTGTTTTTCAGCCTCTCCACACTCATGAAAATGCTGAACTTTCCCTATAGAGATGCATTTATTCAATGCATCTCTATGAGTACATGCTGATTGGCCAGCATAGCATTTCCCTCCTTGGCTGAGATCATTAGAATTGACATTCTCAGCCAATCCAATGATTTCCCATGGGAAAACATTGGATTGGCTGTGCTTGTCAATTCTAATGTTCTCAGGCAAGGAGGCAGTTCAGGCGGGACCAGTGCCGGCAGACCCGCGAGGTGCTGGGATAAAGGTAACTTTTCTAGTTATTTAAGAGGGGCAATGTTTTTAACACTAGTACATTTTCTAGGTATTTGAGAGGGGCAATGTTTTTAACCCTATTGGGTCAGGAATACACGTTTGTGTTCCTGACCCTATAGTGTTCTTTTAAGAGTCATTTATATTACCATTATGAATGGTAAAGTGTATGCCATTCCAAGGGATACATTATTATTGTTGTTTTTATTATTATTAAAATATTTTTTGCATTAGTAATTTTTCCACACACAGGAAAACCAGAAAAAGAAAATACAAATAGAAAAATTTTATAATATGAGCCCTTGTAAAAAAATTAATAAAATATATATATATATATCATTTTTAAAATTCAACTTGAGTAATTCACAGAAAATAAACCACACTCTCTGCATGATCTGGCCTGCTTGCTTGACAGGCAGCCTGGCGTGCATTTACACCAGGCTGACCAGCCAAAATCCAGACTGGCCTGCCCTCTTTGGGCAGTGCATGTGCCATGATTTGTGTCACTGACCCTTTTATTTTTTTTTACGATGCCCACCAAATCTAAAGGGAGGATGGGCTGGGTGCAGTGCTGTGCTGCCGTTGGACATGTGACCCAGCAGGCATGCATGCTGTAACAATCCGGCTTAGGTATTTCAAAAACCTGAATTAAATAAATGTGTTTTTAAAATTTAAAAAAATAAAAAATAAAAATAAAACAATCTCTCTGCTTTCAAATACAGATGTTGAGTTTTGTGACATTAATATTAGGGGGCCTGCTTGAGTGTTAATGTTTTAAACATTGAGAGTTAGGCATCCCTTCCTGTTCAAAATGTTTTAATTGTGTCAAAGAAACGCTTTACATTGTGGGGAAATGATTTGGATAATTAAGGGGTTTGTTTGTATTTTTCATTCGGGGGTTTAATTTATCTTTACATTGATTTCTATTGAGGAAAAATAAGTGCATATCAGAATTCCATTGGGTCATTTTCATAACCAATGAATCTCAAATTAATCCTGTGGTCCATATGGTGTGTTTCTCTATGAGCTGTCTGACTGTCTTAAAAGAGAGAGACATCCAATGTGATCAGAAGGAAATGCCATTTTAGGAAACCTCATTGTAGCCCCTGAAGGACACTCCCATCGTTATCCCAGTGTTGCCAGTGATTATGCCACAGATTTTGGCCTATGTCTGTGTCCAGTGACAACGCTTTTACTAGGGAGGCTAGAAATACTCTCCTTTGATATAAATTTGTGTGGTGTTCTTTGTCTTTTACAGGAAGTTAAAGCTTTTAGAAAACTATAAAGATGTTAAGAAGTTCATAACATGTACAGAAATAAGTGCCATTGCATTGTTCCTAAATAGCTAAATGTTGTTTGAATTCTGCTTGTTTAGACATGTAATTAGATGTGCAAGGCTGCCACCCAGGGGACACAATGGAGCATGCATAGTTATTTCAATATGTACAATAAAAAAAAAATAAAAAAATTTAAATGTATGTATGTGTACTTAGAGCTTGATGTCTGCGCTAAATTGATTTAAAAAATAGACATGTGTAAAGTTAATGTTTCATGTCTCTGTTTTGAAGCTCAATGCAATGGCAAATCGAGCAGCTGGGAAAGGTTATGAAAATGAGGATAACTACTCTGACATCAAATTCCAGTTTATTGGCATAGAAAACATCCATGTGATGAGGAACAGCCTGCAGAAGATGCTGGAAGGTAAACCCTGTGTTTTTGTGAAATCTGTAAAATGATTAACGTATAATGTTTCTCTTTTCAGCTATGTAACTATGTATAGTATGCCACTTTAACAGGTTTAAATCAGAACTCACACACACCAACTGTTTTTGCACAAATTTATTAAAGCTCGATAAAATATAATTACAGTTTGTGTTATTTTTTTTATTTTCTTTTTCTTTTTTCTTTTTTAATTAGCGACTGCTAAGTTTTCCTGGTACAGCCACAACATGCCGTTAAAAACGAACTAACCAATACCTTTCATATGGGTGCATGCTGGCATATGTTATTATTGAAGGAGTTGCCAAATGCACATGTGCTTGTATGGGATATATCTGCAGCTGCCCGAGCATCATGTGACCATGATGTTGCTGTGGACATAGGAGTGCTGTAAAGATACGTGTTTTATACTTACCTCTGTTATACCACTCACCCTATTAAAAGCTTCTTTAGGGACACCGTGCTGCTAGCTTCCATACTTCAAGACTCTTGTCTTAAAGTAATATGTGGTGGGTGAGTAATAACTCTAATCGCCCAGAGGCCTTTGTTTCTTGATTGGAAGGGATGGGATATGATGCTGTCTCGGTGTTGAAAGCCTCTTTTCCATAATGAAGAATAAACATATACCGTTAGGAAACGTCTCTTCATTGGCATCTTTTTCAAACAATCTGAATCTGTTAACTATGCAGTTTAACATTTAAAAGGAATACTATAGGGTCAGGAACACATATACTTGTATTCCTGACCCTATAGTGCAAAACCCACCATTAAGGTAGCTTGCCTCCCAGTCAGCCCTGTTAAAAGCATGAAAAAAATCACCTTATTTCCAGCGCCATGCAGGTTCGCCAGCACTTGCCATCAGAATTGCCAATTTTTAGCCAATCCAATGCTTATCATGTTTTGGCCAATCAGCACCTCCTTATAGAGATGCATTGAATCAATGCATCTTTATGAGGAAAATTCAGCGTCCCCATGCAGAGCGTGGGGACGCAGAATAGCAGAGCTGCCTACTGTGCAGCACTGAGCCAGGAAGCACCTCCAGTGGCTGTCTGAGGAGTGGCCACTTGGTGGTGTCCTTAGGGGCAATGTAAATGCCTGCATATAATGATTATACTCACCAGAACAACTACATTAAGCTGTCTCTGTAACACCTTAAAGGGATCCTATTGTGCCAGGAAAACAAACCCGTTTTCCTGGCACTATAGGCTCTCGGAGTGTCCCCCTTCCTCAGGGCCCCCCTCTCTCTGCACTGAAGGGGTTAAAACCCCTTTGGCCACTTACCTTAATCCAGCGCTGAGCTCCCTCGGCGCTTGTGACCTCTCCTCCCCCGCCGATGTCAGATCCTAAGTGAAGCCAAATGCACAGGCACAGCCAGAAGCGCACGCGCATTCAAAACCGCCCTTAGAAAAGCATTACTCAGTGCTTTCCTATGGGGATCTTATTTGATACTGGACTCAGTAAGGACGTCCAGCGTCAAATAAGTGCGATTTACTCAGTGTAAATTGCGGAAGCGCCTCTAGTGGTTGTCAGGGAGACAGCCACTAGAGGCTGGATTAACCATGCAGTGTAAGCATAACTGCTATGTTTACACTGCAGGGTTAAAACTAAGGGGATCTGGCACCCAGACCACTTCATTGAGCTAAAGTAGTCTGGGTGCCTATATAGTGGTCCTTTAATTGAGATGAAGTTGTTATGGGGTGGGAGAGTTCCCTTAAGTGGAAGTTCTCCTCCCATTTTAGCAATATACATTTTCTCCAAGTTCCAAAGGGCTTTGTTGGCTGGGGAGTGACTGACACTCCGTTAATGAATCCCATTCAAAGCCTGACAGAATTCACATTGCTAAGCAAAAGTAAGAACGTTTGCTATGTAGCAATGTCTGAAAATGCAATGTGTTCGATCACTGCATGTATACAGTGTGTTGTCTGTATTGCACAGTGCTACAGATTATGGTGTCTCACACACACACACACTCTCTCTCTCTCTCAAGCATATTTTCAGCATTTGGGAGGACATTTGATATTGATAACACAAGGTAATGTGATATTAGAAGAAGTGGAACATGTTTGTGGAGAGCTAAATTTATACCTAGTGCGTCAATAACCTTTTGGCTTTTGTAGGATGTACTGGTCAGAGCCGCTCACTTTACTATTGCACATCAAGTTCAATGCAGTTTTATTGTGATAAAGAATAGACATGCACTCTGCAAGGACCATAACTATAAAGAGTAAATTCAATCTATTACCTGTTTTCCTGTTTCTGTTATTAAGCATATATATATATATATATATATATATATATATATATATTTTTTTTTTTTATCAGAAAGGTGTCTGGCTCGTGTTTTTACAAGCAATGTATAGGAATTAAAAAATTATAAAAAGGCAAAAAAGGGGTGCTGAGGAAAGCACTTTATTTCTAAGTCAATCTTCCTGAAGGACCAGAGTTGTTCCATGTTTTTTTATAACCTAAGTACCCTAGTCCTTTCAAGAAATGGCTTAAACTATTACTTATTACTAAACTATGCATAGTTTTGACTGCTTTTTGTGAATTATCAAGGAAATCCTAGTATTTTATTATGATTGTCCTGAAGAGAGGTCGACACACAGTGTGCTTTTCCGATGTTATAATTTTGATCTTAATGTATCTTTCTGAAGTCTTAAGACCTCCTACTACTCTTAGCAGGAAGTTATTTTTTCCAAGAATACTTGGGGAAATGTTTTATTTACCACTTCACAATTAGGCATTGTGATACATTTATTCCTAGAAAAATGTTGGGTTGTGAACTGCTAACATGTAGGACTATTATGTAAAGCTTGGCAAGCTTAACACAGTGTCCCCTTAGAAATATCCTAAAGATAATATACAATAATAGTTCTTGAACCTATGTAATGTATTGCTTCAAACTTCCTGTTTCCTGACCATCTGTGGCCAAGACTGTGTTTGAAGACGACATTGAGGAATTATTTGAATGCTTCAAAGTTGCATAATATAGAAGGACAAATGTTTAAATTGTACACTTTGGTAGTCAGGTCATGAGTGAGGATATAAATCAAAGAAACATTGAGTGACCTGAAGGGACCTGGCTGCTGGACAGTCACCTGGCACTCAGTGCCTGCACTAAGGTTGGCCACCTTACGTTGCAGATTAAATAGTTGCAGAGGGGCTTGCTGCTTGTTGAAATCCAGTCTAGATAATATATAGGATAAATGGATAGACTTCCTCTGAATGGGAATAGAATGTATAGACCATGATAATAGGTATCCTCTGGGTGTGGACCAAGAGCTTTAAAGAAATATATGGCTGTGAGTAGGGGCCAACTCTCTTTTTATTATTATGGCATTTATATAGAGCCAACAAATTCAGAAGCGCTTTACAGTATTATAGGAGGGATAGATTTAACAATAAATTAGACATTTACAAAAACATACAGGAACAATAGGTTGAAAATGACCCTGCTCAAACAAGCTCACGGTCTAGAGGAGTTGGGGTATAAAACACAATAGGACAGGAGATAGCAATCAAACAAAGTGGGAGTGTAGCAGAGCTGGAGGAGAGAGTGGAGTGCTGCCCTTTAGAAGAGAGCAAGAGACAAGTATGAGAGGTACAGGTTACTCTAGGAGGCCATAAGCTTTCCTGAAGAGATTGGTTTTAAGGCATTTTTTAAATGATTGAAAACTAGGGGAGAGTCTGATTGTGGTAGACAGGCAGGCAGGCTACTGTACAGTCTAGAGGAGGTGGGATATAAAACACAATAGGACAGGAGATAGCAATCAAACAAGGTGTGAGTGAGGGAGAGCTGGAGGAGACAGGGTAGAGTGCTGCTCTTTAGGAGAGAGCAAGGGACCAAGTATGTGAGGTAGAGGTTACTCTGGGAGGCCATAAGCTTTCCTTAAGAGATTAATTTTAAGGCACTTTTCAAACTAGGGGAGAGTCTGAGGGTGGTAGGCAGGCTATTCCAAAGGAAGGTTGCCGCCTGCTAGAAGTCCTGAAGCGTGAGGCCAGAGTCAAGTATAATGCCAAGACAGCGTGCTTGCAAGGATGGGCTAATGTGTGTGCCACTAACTTGAAAGGAGAGTGAAGGAGAAGGATCAGTATTAGGAGGAGGGAAAACAAAGAGCTCAGTTTTAGAGAGATTGAGTTTCAGAAAGGGGGAGGACATCCAGTCAGAGATGGAAGAAAGGCAATTGGTGACATGTTGTAGGACAGCAGGGTAGATGTCAGGGGAGGAGAGATATATCTAGGTGTCATCAGTGTACAGGTGGTAGCAGAATCCAATAGTTTTCCAGAGATGCTAGCTCAGCATAAGGCTTTGAGCTGCAAGACTTGGTAGCTTTGAGTCCTGGGAGGAACCATATATGTTCAGCTGTTGGGGCTCAGACTAAAATAGAAAGTCTGGGTTTAGATAAAAACAAACAGCGATTTTGGGTGGAGAGAGACATGTAGATATTAAAGTGAGAAAGGGAAATTAAGGGAAGAAAGCAGAGGAGAGGACATTTGAGATTTAAGTTGGCATGGTAGAAATCACATAGGTAATAAATGTTGAACATGAATTAACAAGTGCTATGAGTGCAATAAATAACACTAACAAAAATAAACATTTAACAAAAATGAATTACAAGATAAGATGAATAATATTATGAAGGAACATTTATACATCTGTGCATTAAGGACACAGGGAATGACATGACGTCACTGGTGGCCAATAATTGGATGATTAGCAGATGGTAGGTAGGAATACAAGTATCTGGTTGCTTCTTTTAATTCTGATGATGTTTTAGCTATTCACTAAGCTGCCCAAATGGAAGAGGGAAATGTGGTCTTAAAGCCCTGTGGGGGGTTTCATGATTACATTGTAAGTATTACTTTTTTGTTTGTTTAATTATCGACCCATATTAATTATCGACAAACTGTTCAACCGATCAGTGATGTTGTGGTCCATCTGCGGGGTGGCTTGATCACATTGCGTAAAAGCCTATTGTGGTACTCTTCTCTTGTCCCCAGATGCTTAGGTGTCGAATTTTAAGCAAGTGGGTCTGGGTGATCAGCTGGTCTGGTCCCGTGAGATCCTGGGTTTTCTTGAAACTTTTAACTCTTGATCCCTTGCAAAGCTTTTTGTATATACATTTGTTGAACTTTACGAGTCCCCTATTTCTTTTTTGTTTTTGTTTTCTTTGTCCCCTTCATTTCCTATCCATTTCGGTTGTTCACCAGGCACAAAGCTTTCCCCCAAATACTTTCCTACATTAGTGAAATAGTGCATTGATTCTACTTGATCCGCCCTAGTCACGGTTTGAGCTGTCAATGGCATTCGTCCCAGCCCTTTATCTCAATTAATACAAAAGGCCTAAATATACAGGAAAAGAGGTCACAGACACTGTGATATTTTAAAGCCCAGATGGCACAGATCATCTACACCCAAGAAATGTATTTTCAAGAAAACAGAATTTTTCTGCTTCTCAGTGGCAGACGGTGCATAATTTGGCGCAGCACTGCTCACTCTAAAGTGGGGTCCAGGAAACGGCATATGAGTTACTTACCTTCTGGTACAGAACACCGCAATTGATGCAGGCTATTGAGAGTTCAACCATGCACATCCCATCATACAACCTTTTTTGGAAGCTGATACACTAATCATAACCCGTTTTTGTAATAACCTGTTCCATTTTCTGCCAGCCCTATTTCTCCTCCACCAAACTATTATAATATTCAGAGCACTCTGATAGCCAAGTCTCGAGAGAAGTGAGAATTGGTTGTTGGAGCGTTCTTATTGGTTGGCTTTCCAGCCTAGCAATCTTACTCATATTGCAATGTGTGAGGAAATTACATGTCCACCCCCTTATTTAATTAATCAGAGCCCTCACCCAATACCCACGGGTGGGGCTGAGGGGGACACTAGGCCTTCCCCTCTGAATATTATAATGGAGGCTACCACCTGCTGCTTATGAGTGGGAGTTGGTTGGAGGGGACTCTAGGTCCTCTAACTTGAATAGTCAGCGGCTGGGGGCAGAGGTATATAAGCATGCACCCTGTTTATTGGCTACGGTTGGGTACATGGAGGTGGACCGTGATCTGTCCACCTACTATTTGACCAACTGACCAAATTGATATATAGGGCCTTATTTACCTCCATATATGGTTTTCATTTATTTAAGTCTGACTTATTGTGAAAACATTTTTTTTAACCCTCATGCAGCCAAGGTGTTATGTTTTTTTTTTAACTATTTGTCCTCTGGCAGCGATAAATAGTTGTGATTTTTAAATTTTTTTTATCTGAGCCATAATATGCAGGTTTGGATTTCAGCCATCTGACGGCATTCGGTTTGGCTGAAATTCAGGCTACTTCAGGACCTGATTTGCACAATCCAGATTATGGTAATGACATGAACAATGTCCGGATTTTGGCGTCTGAATTGCCCGGTATGCAGCTGACTGGTTTTGCCTCATCCGGTACAGGGCCATTCCTACATTAGTGAATAACACCGTAGAATACCAAAATCCGACATGATTAAAAAGTAAAACTATGGAAAATTAATAATTATTTCCTGTTTTTTGTTTTTTTTATTGTGACTGCTAGATAGTTTTGTTTGAGAGTTTCTTTGCCATTTCTGGAAGTGATTACATGCCAAAGTTTATAATACCTTTGTTAAATCTTGATTATGTTTTGTTTTTAATATCTCTTGCAGTTTGTGAACTTCGATCCCCTTCCATGGGAGACTTTCTCTGGGGTTTAGAGTCTTCTGGATGGTTAAAGCATATCAAATGTATTCTGGATGCTGGGATCTTCATTGCTAAGGTATGATTTGGTAAATTGTAATGCATAATGGAAGCTTGTTTAAAAAATTTGGATTAATGTTTTTTTTTTGGCAATCCTGCTTGTTAAGCACCCATCAGTCACAAAAAAATAGAAATGCTATGCAAAGAAAAAAACATTAATAGTCACAGCCTAGTGATAAAATCTGCTCTGTAATAAGAGCAAAAATAATATTTTTAAGTCCAACACCCTGACTGCGAATAAATAGCTATAGCTATAGCACTAAATTTAGCCTATCTGATCTGCAACAGTGAATGACGCAAAAAATAAAGAAATCATTAAAAAAAAATACATTAAAGAAAACATTAAATTAACAGATACAAATACACTAAAAATGCAATATCCCTTCTAATTTATTCCTTTTTAGAAATTGTAGTTGACTCTCGAACTCTCAGCATTTGTCCCACTGATGAACAATGATTCTGGTATAAGGATTTTAACTGGCATGGTTAACACAGAGCCAGTAATTGGGAACATAGTGGGGCGTTAGTGAAATCCTGTGATTTATATGACCGCTATGCTCTAGGTCCATAAAGTTCAAAGTTTCTTGTTTCCCTGTTGTAGTAGGGCATGTAATAGAACATGATGGATTATATTTTTCATGGGCAAGGTAAATAGATGCTTGTATCATTTTCTTTTTGGCTTATGTTTTACAAACGATGTCTACCATTCTCTAAGGCTGTTTCAGAGGAAGGTGCCAGTGTTCTTGTTCACTGTTCAGATGGATGGGACCGAACATCCCAGGTCTGCTCGTTAGCAAGTCTTCTTCTTGATCCTTATTACAGAACTATAAAAGGATTCATGGTGAGTATTTAGTTTATCGTGCATTGCTTGGTTTAACCTTATAACACTCATGTCACAGCATATGTTGCATGCAATAAGCTGATTTCTAAACCGTTTTTTATTGTAGTTGAAAGATAGATTACTTTGAGTGTTATTGCTGTAGAGCTCTGTTACACACTGATTCAATATTGCACATTTATTACATATTTTTATAATGTCAGTGTTCCTAACATGGAAAACAAATCTAATAAAGCAGCATTGCTTCTATACTGCAATATTTTGAATAATATATAATGCTTATTTCACTTATTTAACAGGTTTTAATTGAAAAAGACTGGATTTCATTTGGTCACAAATTTAATCACAGGTAACTTTGAGAAAGGCTGAGTGTTTCTTATCTGATAAAAAGAACTATTAGTCACTTGGATATCATCATACAAATACTTAAAAATGGATGTGTGTGGGAGGGGGGTAGAGATAATTTTTTTAACAATATATAATGGAAAGCCATGTTCCTACTGGTTTTGATTTGACTATTGGGTATATATTCTCCCAGAAAGACTCTAAAAACTTCTGTTTTTCAATGTCATTGAGACTAAACGGAAAACAACTTTATTTTTCTGTTGGTGAAAAAGCAGCGTCAAATAGGGCTTGTAATTGTCATTACAGATATGGCCATTTGGACGGGGACTCGAAGGAAGTATCTCCAGTAATCGACCAGTTTATTGAGTGCGTCTGGCAGCTTATGGAACAGTTCCCATGTGCTTTTGAGTTTAACGAAAGGTTCCTGGTTCACATTCACCATCATGTCTACTCCTGCCAGTACGGTAACTTCCTATGCAACTGCCAGAAAGAGAGGAGGGAAATTAGGTAAGAGTGCGCTGCATCTGATGCTTCAACATTTTAAGGCTTATTCGTCAAACGACGACTTGCAATGAATTGTGAACCAAATTGCAAAATTTAGCTATAGGGCAACTTAATAATTCCTTTCTGGCACTTTCTAATTAAACATGGCAGTAAAACGGAATATGCGCTAGTAGCAATAGTATAAAATAAAGGGGTTGTAAGTGAGCCCCTTGATGTTATTACTTGACTATATTACATTTTGATCTGGATTGGTGTCAGCTGCCACCTTGACATTCAGCAATACCTCAATTTATGAATCTGTTCGCCAGCTCTCTCCACATTCCCATCTAGAAGACCACCAATGGAAATAAAATAAATCTAAATTTTATTCAGGAGTCAACATTAAAATACAAAACATATGGGGGATAGCAAGGCACTGAACACATTTCATTCCAACGTGGCTCCATACAAGAGGGCGGTGGACAGATTCTGATGCAGTAAAAACATGGCAAGTAAACAAAGTAAAAGTAAAACAAAGCAGTCAGAACCACATATTGTTGAGTTAATGTTGTTATTTATTTATAATGATTTACGTAGGCCATACATTTGTGATATAGCTAACTAGGCTTTGAGTGTTTTAAATAGATGGTAGAATTTACACATGAACATTGTCATACAGTTTAGTGGTGATGACAAAGCAGTTGAGGATAATTTGTGCAATTACCTGGTTTTTATCTGTTACATCTCACATTGACCTTAATTTGTCTATTCAGTGTGATTGGTGGAGTCAGGGCCGCCATCAGAAATTTTGGGGCCCCTAACACAGCTCAAGGTCTGGGCCCCCAGGTGCCCACCTTCAAATCCCACCACAGGAATACACAGACACAGACACAAAAGGACACAGACACACACACAGAAAGATACACACATACTAACAGACACAAATACTGAAACAGACATACACACATACAGGCATACTGACACACACATATACAGACACACATACATGCATAAGGAGATACAGATACACACACACATACATACTGACATACAGACACACACACACACACACACACACTGACGTACATACATACTCACATACTGATACACACATACTGACAGACATACAGACATACAAACTGACATACAGACATACATACACACACATAAATACATACTGATATACATACATACAGATAGATATATACATAAATACAGACATACATATTGACATACATACATACACAGACAGCCATACATACATACACACAAACACAGACAGACAGCCATATATACATACTGACATACATACACACACAGACATACACACAGACTGACATACATACACACACACACAGACAGACATACATACATACTGACATACACACAGACAAACATACACAGACAGACAGACATTCATACATACATACACACATACATACAGACATAGATACATACATACATATATACACACACAGACATATCGGTACATACATACATACTGATAATGCTACAGGAAAGAAATAAACTAAGCACCACATTTCCTTTGGGGATCTCTGCTTGATTGATAACTGAATTAGTTCCCTCTTGCCTTATATGAGTTTTACATATTGCAAGGCAGCACTTTTCACTTGCTTCTCAACAGTACGAATACATGTTATGTGTTTTCTGAAAGCCTTATTCGTGGGCAAACGAAGACGAACGCCCTGCTAGGGGTGCGAGGCCCAATTAGAATCTGAATTAGTCCAGTATTTCAATAATAGACGGTTTACACTGTGATGTGCAGGCTGTAAATTAAACCCCCATCTCTATATATAGATACACAATGAATACCCTCAGTACCCCACAATATACCCCCAAATCAAACAGTCACATTATTAAATGTAAACACATCTAATCTCATTTGTAGGACATGGAGACTGGCACATTAATATCATCATTAATAATCTCATGCAGCTCGGCACTACAGGGGTCTGTTAATAATGCATGGCCGTTTATCGCTTGTCGATATTTAAATGAACATTTTCAGCTAAATAGAGTTTATTGGGGTGTATGTGGCTCTAAATATTGGTCCTGTGGACATCACTGCGGATATATAGGTGAAGAGGAAAGAAATGGATTTTAAATGCTTACTTCTTTACTTTGTTTGTGACAAACCATTTATTCGGAATAGTACAGCACCATCATTAACGCGGCGGCGGTTTCCAATCTTCTTCACACTGATGCTCTGCACATGACACATACATACATACACAAACAGACAGACATACATGCAGACACATACACACCTCATTTTTCAGCTACCCTCCTCTTCCTTACCTTTTCATTGCAGGAGGGTGGCTGGGGATGATGGGAGTGGATGTGATGCCTCTCCTCTCCTCGGCAGTCTCTCTACCCCCACGCGGAGAAAACTGGGAGAAGGTGAGCGGCCGTCACTTCCTCCCAGTAACCCTTGCGGTGCAGCCGCAATTTTTTTTAAAGGGGCCCTGTCGCGCTATTAAACGGCTGCAGCGCTGACCGGGCCCCTGAAGATATAGGGCCCATCAGGTGGCCCTAAATGCTTGGGCCACCTGATGGGCCCCGGTGCAGATGTACCTGCGGCAATTTCGCCGCTCCACGTGGGGGCCGTGCCCACCCAGGGCTGCCGGACCCGTGACAACCGTCATGGTTGTCACCCCCTGATGGCGGCCCTGGGTGGAGTTGTTTGTAAACTGTTTAACACCTGTATCAGAAACACATAAACCTTTAGAATAGACTGGTTTGGTAGCCCTGCCAGCAGTACATGAATTTAGGATTAGCCAATTCATTTTTTGTGTCAACTGACATTAAACGCAATGTTGGTTCTTAACCATTCAACGATTGTGTCTTGACATCATTCACAATGCCGTGTTGTTTAGTGAGTCTGTGTGCTTGGTTTCAGAAGTGGCAACATAGAAAGGTTATTCTGTATATCAGAAGAGAAGATTATATTGAATAAAAGATATGGGTAAACTTGCAACAAGCAAGACCACACACACAGCATGTCAAGTGCAAAATGTTTGGTTAATGAACTGTGGATGATTGAGCATAATATTCAGTAATTAGCCTTTATTACTGTAATTGAAAAGCTCCCTTATTAAAATAAAGTCTAATCCTCATTTAGAAAGCAACTTTAATCTAATTAGTGCAGGGCATGTTGGTGTTTAAATTATCTATTGAATTCATAATGTAATTATTTGTATAACTCCTTCTAATGCACCAGCATGTATCTGCAAATAATTAATATTATACAGAGAAATTACAGTGTACAGTAGCAACACTAGGAAATGTTACCAGTCTAGTTTTAGATACAAGAATAAATGTTTAGAAACATAATTCTGATAGTGACATACTGTATATGAACATTCTATTTTACCATTCAATGCAAATGTTTTCTTCTACGTTCTGTTTGTTTGTCTGTGTTCCATGTCTTAGAATTCAAGAGAGAACGTACTCGCTTTGGTCTTATTTGTGGAAGCAGCGTTCTGACTATATGAATCCACTGTACAGACAGGATCACAGCCAGACGCAAGGAGTGCTAAGACCTGACACATCGCCGTGTAATTTCAAGTAAGTGGCTGGTCACTTCTGTCATGGTATTCGATCACTTCTGCAGACTAAAAGAGAGAAAATATTACCTATGTATGTTTCATCCAGCATATAAAAAAATGCTAGTTAAAAAGAGCAACTAATGAATGTCTGATGTTCACGCTACAGAAATTATACCCTATAATGATGCAGTGGAGCTGAGGTTTAAAGGGGCATCTAAGTAACATAAGTACTAGAGCTCAGTGTAGGGTTTGCACTGCTATTAGTCTATGTGTGTCATCCTTTGGTGGTTTTTATTTATTGTCAGACTGTTTGGGAGCAGTTTAAAAAAAAAAAATGTCTCTCCCTGAGGCACTGAATTCAGGTAAGTGACTGAAGGGGTTTTAACCAGTTCAGCACCGCAGGTTTGTTTTCCTGGCACTATATAATCCCTTTAACCCCTTAAGGACCAAACTTCTGGAATAAAAGAGAATCATGACATGTCACACATGTCATGTGTCCTCAAGGGGTTAAGTAACAAATTTACTTAATCATCTTAGGTGAGAATTATTTACAGGTTTTTAGTTAATGTAAGATCAAAGAACAAAATTGCACTATCCTCTGCATGCAAGCACGCCTATAGTGGAAAATATTCCTGAAATGTGGACTCAACAGAATGGGACTACTGCCCATACTGCCACAATTGAGCTCCTGAGACAACTGTCCGATGAGCAGATACTTTCAATAAATATCCTGATTAATTGGTCAGCGTGTTTGCCCGACCTTTCAGCTCCAGATTATTTCCTGTGGAGATATCTGAAGGAGCAGATATATGTGAACAAACCGCGGACACTTGAGCAGCTAGAGGAGAAAATCCGTGCGGAAATTTGAGCGCTCGAGCCTTAAACATTAACTAATTTTATGAACAATGCAATGGAAAGAATTCACAAAATAGAAGTAGTGCAGCACACAAGCAATATGTGCAATGCAGCTCTGTGGAGTGGGGTTCGGCCACCCACCAGGAACAACAAAAGTAGACGTCCACAGGCGTCAAAACGTAGGATGAAAGCAACAATTATTTATTCTGGATCAAAGAACAAAAATAAAATACATAACACTGGTGAGACCTCACTTGGAGTATTGTACACAGTACTGGAGACCGTATCTTCAGAAGGATATTGATACCTTAGAGAGGGTTCAGAGAAGGGCTACTAAACTGGTTCATGGATTGCGGGATAAAACTTACCAGGAAAGGTTAAATGATCTTAACTTGTATAGCTTGGAGGAAAGACAAGACAGGGGGGATATGATAGAAAAATGTAAATACATGAAAAGAATCAACAGTTAAAGAGGAGACTATATTTAAAAGAAGAAAAACTACCACAACAAGAAGACATAGTCTTTAAAAAATATCAGGAAGTAATAGCCTTCCAGCTGAAGTGGTAGAGGTTAACACAGTAAAGGAGTTTAAGCATGCGTGGTATAGGCATAAGGCTATCCTAACTATAAGATCAGGCCAGGGACTAATGGAAGTATTTAGAAAATTGGGCAGACTAGATGAGCCGAATAGATCTTATCTGCCGTCACATTCTATGTAAGGCCAAATTCACTAAAGGCAATTTCAGGGAGATTAAACCTCTTTTTATGTGCTAGTCTCTAAGCTATGAATAGGGGTTTACACATTTCAGTTCTGAGTTTTTTCATTATCAAGGCTACTGAAATACTTTGAGGGACAATTGTGTTTTTTGACCGTTAAATTCTATCACTGTTTTGATCATATTTATTAAAGTGTTAGAAATTTCTGTAACAAAATTGCAGAAAACCATTCTTTTATGTTTCAGAAGTCAAGTTAAGAGTGTTAGAAAAATAAAAAAGCGAAACAGAACACTTTTTTTTTTCTCAGAAAAAGTTGTGAAAATGCAAAAATCTGTTGCAGTGTTAAAAAAAAATTATGTATATTCAAAATAATGGTTGGGGCACAAAAAGCACATGAAAAAATCCAATAAATTTAATAAATTAAGAAAACAAATTGCTGAAAATTCCACTAAAAGTGTTGGCTACACGTTGATAAGTTTCTCCCAATGTCTTGTATATTTATACATACAAACGTTTGGTATTTAAAGAGATGGCTATAGGTGTTAAGGGACATTGAAAGCATACATTTCAATAAAATGTATTTCAACAAAGTGCATAGCATAACACCTATTGAATAACACAGTTTTTTCATGTCCTTATAGTCTATGATTTGCTTCTTTCTGTTCAGATTTTGGAAGGGTCTTTTTAATCGTTTTGAGAAAGGCATGCACCCTCGTCAGTCTGTGACCGATTTCCTTCTAGCAGTGAAAGAAGAGACGCAGCAGCTAGATGAAGAACTGGAAACAATGAGAAAGGTATCAGCTCACATCATTATTTTAGGATTTATGATAGGTGACCTTTAGTTGAGCAACACTTTTTTAGTATTGCCCTGAGAAAAGAGCATTGTCTTCGGTATATCATGTCTGGTTTGGACAGTCAGACTACTTGGAATTGTAGGTCCTCTCTGGCCAAACCTTATTGTTTGTTTCTTCAAGCTACTGCAAATATTCTAGTCTTCTAGTTATTGTACAACAGAAAATCCTACTGTTTTGTGAATGAGCGATAGATAAAAGCATTCGATGGAGATATTGTTTAAATATGGGCAACCTTTTTTTTTTCTTTTTCTGAAATGAGATCCAATACAGAAGCTGTGTGTGCATATGTAATGTGCTACATATCCTGATCTTTCTTTTAGAGACTACTGAAATTAGAAAGCCGACAGATAATTGACACTGACAAAATATATGATCAACATAAAAATGGACATTTCTTGACCATCATCACCAAACATCCATCTGCCAACACCACCCAGGAATACAGCAACAACCTGAAGTCTTTCCCATCACGCAGTCCTTCTCAGGGTGAAGAGGATTCTGCTCTTATCCTGACTCAGGATCATTTGAAGAGCTCTGACCCAGACCTATCCACAAACAGTGACCAAGAGTCGGGGGTGGAGGACTTGAGCTGCAGATCTCCGAGTGGTGGTGAATCCTTACCAAGTGAAGACAGTGGCAAGGACCCCGATTCTGATGAAGCAGTGTTCCTGAATGCTTAAGTGATGTTTTAGTGACCCCACGCTATTTATTTTTTATATATAGGGAGAAGTGCAATGTTACCCTAGAACAATGTGTGAAAAGAAAGAAAAAAAATCCATTGGTGGCTATACATTAGAATTGTTGTACAGTAGACACGAGATACCATGTCTCTAAATGAATTATTTAAATATTTATGGAGCAGGTCTTGAGGGAACACTCCAAGCACCATAACTACTATGGCTCACTGTAGTGGTCATGGTGCCAGGAGTACCCTAGCATCCCCATAAATCGTCAATTTGTTTGCTACTAATTTGATTTTTCAACAAACTACTACTACAATTTAGGGCACCTGTTCTAAAGAAGGATATTAGAGACAGGCTACACAACTAATAAAAGTAACATTTCAGTTATGAAGAAAGGTTAACAAATATAAACCTATTTAGTTTACAAAAATGGCGCCTCAGAGGGGATATGATGGCATTATACAAATATATTTGGGGCCAATACCAACCATTGTCTGGAAATCTATTCATAAACTGGACTATACATAGGACACGAGGTCATGCGTTTAGACTGGAAGAAAGGAGATTTAGGCAAAGGAAAATAGTTATTTTTCAGTAAGAACAATAAGGATGTGAAATATATGCCTGAAGAAATGGTTTTATCAGAATCTGTACAGATGTTTGAAAAGCAACTGGATGAATACAGGAAAAAAAACACAATATTCAGGGATATAATGTTTAATTTGTGGGGTAATAGCTTCTTGATCCAAAGATAAATCTGACTGCCGATTTTTTTCCTAGTTTGTTGCAAAATTGGAAGTGCTTCAAACTCTTTTTTTGTTTGCATTCTTTTGGATCGGCAGTAAAAACAGATGTGAGAAAGGCTGAACTTGATGGACACATGTCTATTTTCAGCTTATGTAATTATATATGACTTCTTACCTTGGATCTGCTGGAGGCTGGTCACTTGCTCTGTAGACACCTGAAAGCTCATTAGCGCTAATGAGTTAAGTTACATACAGGGTCAGCTCATTGGCTAAGGGCCAAGCACTACCAGATGTTGGTCAGAACTGAAAGCTACCAGCTCTTATAGAGGCAGTTAATGGTGCCAGCTCGACTGTAGGTTAGAAGGCAAACAATTTTACTAGTTTCCTTGAGGTGTGCCAGGGCATTCGTGCTGCCATAACTACTACAGTACTGTAGTGGATATGGTGTTTGGAGTGTCCCTTAAATTTGGTATATTTCCTAAAAAATAAATAAAATAAAGGCAATTCCAATATGATGGACTAATAATTTTTTTTTATTAATTAGACCAAAATAAAAATATATAGTAGAGATGTAGAATACATATGTAGACCACAAGTATCATACACTGCTAATTTTTAAGGTTTTCTCAGTAAGGTATATGTGTGCATAAGTACTTTAGTGTTTATACCCATGTATACATTACTGACAAAACTTTTTTTTTCTTTTCATTCACCTGTCAAATTGGGACATTTCTGGAAATATACTGCACAATTTAGGGTCATGGCCTGTTCGGTGGTTTTTGAGACCGTAGTATTTTTGCTTTTTGTTTTATCCTCTGTAATGAACAATAGTAGTTAATAGTTGATTAGCTGTCAGATTATGAGAAAACTTGTTTAGTCACTGTTCAATGATCAACCTACTTTAATGCTCTATGAACATTAGATCTATAAGACCATAAATGAAAATATTTGAGTAAACTAGTTCAAACATTTACAGGGACATTATAGGCACCCAGAGCATTTCATTTCAATAAATGTGTGCAGTGCATTTTGGTCCTGTAATGTAAGACATTGCCATTTTGGAGATGTTTACATTGCAGGGTTAGACTCTCCTCTGGTTGCTGTCTCCCTGACAGCCACTAGATGGTGCTTCTGCACCCACAACCAAGCCATACTTCGTTTTTTCACCTTTGACGTTCTCACGCGTTGCCCGAGTACATTAATCATTTAATTAATGCTCCTCACAGAGAGGCATTGTATTTAATGTTTCCCTATAAGAAGCATTTGATTGGACGAGTGCGGCACTTACCGTGCATGCAGTTTTCGTCCAGAATGCTACGGTACGAAGTATTTGATTACATAAGTAGTCAAAGAGGAGTCATCCTGCAGAAAGACAGGAGGCAGGGCCAGCTGCTCCAAGAACTAAGTCTAGGCACTGAAAACAAGATGTCAAGGTTTTTGTTTTTTTACCTAAATGGGGGTAGCCTAGGGTCACAAGAAAGTATCTAAACTAATTTACAAGATAGTTGTTTTTTTTTCTACAACAGTTTTAAGAACGTTGCAAGAATTTTTTTGTTGTCTCCCTAGAATATCAGATTCAACATAACAACTACTCCTATTGACTCAATATTCCAGTAGAATGAGACACACAAAATAGGCAGGAAGTGATAAACAAGCTATGAATGCTGTACATAGATTTCTGGCAAATGCATTCCTCCCATATGCTTTTCCACTTGTTAATGTACAGCAGCATGGATGTACCCATGTCTACTGGCTGCTTCTCATCCCTGGAAAAATAATAATGTTTTGCATCCATGCGCCTCAGTGTGCATTCTATATGGATATGTACAATATTAAAATGCTTTGCTATGACTACTTTGTACAGCACATTAACCCCTGTAGCATTGCAGAGGTTAAAAAGACACTCCAATATGGATTCGGTGCATAATTTCTTAAATTCATTTTATTGAACATAATCAAATCAAAAGAATAAAAGTAGAAACCTAGATATTCATATGTTTTTGTGAAAATCCTACAGATCACACCATCAGCTTTAACCACTCTAAGAAGTGACTTGGCCAATCAGATGTTTCTCATTCTGTACTTTGAACTCTGAATGGTTCAACATGTACTACCGAGTACTGCATGTAAAGTGTAGACGCATTGACTAATTTAAAAGCTCTGTGTGCACTACCTCTGCTGTTCGCAGGGCATGGGTTTGTGGAACTTGTAGCTCAGTTATCAGCTTTCTAATTATAATTTTTTTTTTACCCGAACAGTGATTCCAAGAGAGCTTTGCTGTGCTTCCTGATGACATGTAGATCTGTGTTATTGGCCACTGTAGGCAATTAGAGACAGAAAGGGATTTATACGCCGCTACAGCAACCAGCAAGTAGGAATTATTTTAGAATGGAGGGGGTTGGAACAGAGGAAGCAGGGTTAAAATGCAGAATAGTACTAAAAAAAAAATGGATTGATTTGTCTCCAAATCTATACAAATTTGGACATGCAAAAATACAGCTAATTATTTAGGTCCAAAGAATGTATAATGCATAAAAGTTGTGTTGATGCTTGGAGTGTCCTTTTAAATGAAAATATACATTCCATTACATAAATGGGTGAACAAGAGTTGGCTCAGACACTGCCTGGCCTTCGCAGATTCCATTCTGGAGACTTGCGGCACAGGAGGATGAATTGAAAGGTGTTTTTTTTTTTATTACGGATTTAGTGCACAAGTTTATCTCTATAATAAATACAACTACACACTGGTGTGTTCCGTTTATATTTACCAGCCATATGGTGGTAGGCTTGATAATTTTGTGGACATTAATTCTAACTTGAAAGCAGTTGAGGCATGTCCTTCTCAGCACAGTAACTACTGTTTAGGTGGAATTCAACAGGTAAACCTTATTAATTACATAAATCACTGTTGAGTAAAAGAGAAGCTTTTTTTTTTTTTTAACAGATCGGCAATTGTTGAAACATGAACAATTCTATGCATAATTAAGATGGGTTAATTGCACTGAATTCCGTATTTTCTTGATGTAGGGTCATTTGTCACCAATCCTCGGTTAGTTTAGCAGGACATCTGTACCAAAAATACTTGTTCATTACACTACAATCTGCAAGGTATATATACGGTTAAATACGTAACCTCTATGAAGACTTAATCCCAAAACAATAGGCTAACAACCCTAGCTGGATGTCATATGAATTTGACGGCCAGCTTGTTCTCATTTTGCTTTGGGTGAGATTTTATATACTATTATTCCATTTTACATTTTTTTTCATTTAATTGCCCTAAAGTATTACTTTGTTATGGTGTTAACAGTTTAATAATAAAAAGTATGTTACAAATTATGAGTTTGATGCAGAATGCAGAGAAAAAAATGCTTTTATAGAAATGCATGTAAGTGGACAAAATTGCCAGGAAATTTTTCTTGTGTAGTATTGTTTTTTTTACAGTTCTTCAGCTAAAATACTGCATTGACCAGCATTTTTCATGCCGAGTGTCCCATATTTTGAAAAGCGTATTTGGCAATCAGTGGACATAAAATTCTTGGTTAGTGACAACTTTCCAAATGTTTTGGAAGCTTAATGGGTTATTCCAAGAACCATGACCACTTCAGTGATTTTAAGTGGTCATGGTGCCTGTAGTCCGTATGTGCAGCATTTTAACTCCACCTCTGGCAGTGGCATTAGCCAGTCCAATGTTCTGTGCTGCCGATCAATTCGGTGCAAAAGTGGCATCTGACACCAGCACCCACAGCCACTTGTGGCATGTGCCTCTCATGACTTCCCCTCAGTCCAACCTCCCTGATCTCCCTCCACCCTCTGGTGTAGGTGGAGAGACGTCACTCTGGGTAAGTGACCATAATGACTGGAAAAACTATATAATGGATCAAAGGTTTGATTCCTGGTAGGGTTAACTAAACCCATCATCTTTCTGTGATTAATAAAATGAAGACTGACTGTGCTTCAAACACATTTAATCCCTCACAGTGTAAAAACGGATCTATACGAAACTATTATAAATCAGCCATGGCTGTGGTTATCTCTGTGTAAAATGTATGCAAAACAAAATCTCACCCAATGTCCATGGTATGCATCCTTTAGTAATAGCTGGTTCAGATCCAGATACCTTATCCAAGGTGGCTACATATTGCAATCACTGCATATATAGATGGTTAGCGAGGCATAGCTCATTATCCCCTAAAGTGCTTCCTACTCAATAGAGCCAGTTTTCTCAGTGCATATTGTCAGGTCAAGTGGCTGCATTAATTACGCTTGATGTAGTGAGATTCTAACTATATTTTACATGAATAGTTTATCAGTTATATCAGACATGTATCATACTGATCTAGCTGTATTGTTTGTGTTGTATAGAATGCGATATAATAGTGTCACTTACCAGTATACACACTCCTGTGTAACATTCCTCACTACTTTTCGTAAATACACCTGATGTGTTTAAGACTTAACGTGCATAGCTTTTTTTTTGTCAGAAATGTCAATATTTTAAAAATGTGAATTTTTTTTCAAAGCTGCTATTTTACTGATGCAAGATGCTATCCATGCATGATTTAATTTGTCTATTTTATTGCAAATGGAGAGACATTGATTCAGATCATACTGTGAGCCAGAATCCATCTTTTCATGTGCCGTACAGGTACACCTCACTTACCGACCGGGTTCTGTTCCTACAACCCAGTCGAAGAACAAATTGGTCGGTAAGTGAAGAGTAAAGGGATTCCCTGCTTAGGTGCACTAGTCTATGTTCGGGAAAATTTCCCCGAACATAGATTAGAGGGACATTTCCCTGAACATAGACAAACGCAGCAGAGCAGGGAATCACTCTAATTCCCACGACGGCTTGCATGTTACCACCCCACGAGAGAGCTGGTCGTAAAACAAGTAGGTTGCAAAATAAGAACCACCTGTATTATTATTTATAAAGCACCAACAGATTCCATAGCGCTGTACAATGGGTATTAATTTTGCCTGTAAAATCAAAGTTTCCAAAGCTAAGCACTAAAAATTATCAGAAACCCAAGCTTTACAGAGATGTGCCCACTTCTCATTGATAAGCAATTCAACATTGTATTTCTTAGAGTTCTAAAGTTTTATACTGTATTTTATGAATTCCAGTTTGTGATGTTGCAGCAGGTTCATTGAATAAGCTCCATTATTCAGGATAAATGTCAATGAGTCCAGTAGCATAGGCAGCACAAGTTCACTTGTATCCAGTATAGCTCATCTGCTGGCTCGGTTTAGTGGCCACCCAACATACACATGGTATGTATGTTTATATCCATTGCAAAGGGTTACATCAGGGACATCAAGACAATAATCTCTAATGCATGGCCCTGGGATATTTTTCCAAGGGATGAACAAATGTAAAATCAAAATTATGTAAATATACATAGTTATAATTTCCAATGCCCTTGAAGAGCAATCTATACACAAAACAACGGTTTTATCTTAATTTTAGAAGCTATCCAGAGATTCTCCAGCCTAAAAATAGAAACATCACACTGAAAGGAAATATTCCTTGAATAAAACTCATATCCGGCCATCTTTTTTTTTTTATAAGCTCTCCAGAGATTCTCCAGCCTAAAGTTAGGCACATTGCTTATATAATACAGATATCCTGCCAACATTCTTTATAATCATGCTGCTGCTACAATGTAATATGTTTAAGGTTAATGGAAGCAATGTCATCTTGAAGGGAATATCAGAAATGGATGTTTGAACCCAAAGCTCACTACAACAGCCAGAATTGCTAGCGAGCATTTACTATTTATTGTTTTTGCACAATCAATAGTTGATAGTTCCATTTTACTAATTAAGGGAATTAACAGATCTAGCACAGCTGAGTGTGATATGCAGACATGTGGCGGCTATTTAGATATAACTTCCATGAATCCCAACCTAGTAACAAATAAGTAAAATAATACATGAATGTTTCTTTAAAATGTATGTAACAACGCTATGACTTAAAGGGAGTCTCTCTCTCTCTCTCTCTCTCTCTCTCTCTCTCTCTCTCTCTCTCTCCACTCCTGGCTAGCACTTCCAAGAGAAACTGGGGGAAAGTGCATCTGTAAAGCTTCCCATAAACTGCTTTATTTTTTAATTTGTGTGAATGCGAAGTTTGCACATGTGCAATAGACACAAATACATGATCTCAATGAATTGAAAAAACATGAAAACAACAACTTATGCAAAAGTATGAAAGCGTTTAGTGGTGTCCACTGCTTTTGAGAAGCCATAAGCAAATTTACTGAAAATACACTGACAAAGGCCCTGAAAGATCGCAGCCCATTCCTAGATAATGGGCACTGGTGAGAGATCACAATGATTTACTATTAATGGGTTGTTGTTTTTGTCACCATTGGGAGCAATTTTCATGCATGTTTCAATACTTTTTCTCCATGCCCATTAAATAATGGCATATTTAACCTGGAGTGTTCTTTTACGAATACAGCATGGACAATTATAAAGATGGCACCATCAGCAGAACCTACATTACCCAAACAATGACATTGAATCTTTTTACTTTCCAGACCATGTTTACACAACTGTTGTTGGCCAATATTTTGTTTCTAGTTTGCTTTGTAGTGACACGTGAAATGTTTAATATTTTTGTTATATTTGCATTGCTTATTTTTATACAGTATTAATTTATTTGAGTATATATTTATGCTTCTTAATTATTACAAATATAAAGAGATATTGTGAAATATACACCAATTAAACGGATTAAACACCAAACATGTTTGTACAGTTGATATTCTAATATTTAAAACTGAAATGTCTGTTTACAGCCACGTCCTATGCAAGTTGCACTCTCTCTGCTTGACTTGACTTCAGATATTAACATGAGCACCAATAAGTTGAGTAATAATATCTAGGTCTATGGACATCACTTGGAAACTAGAAACAAGCTAAATGTATCTTCCTTAGGTAAAACTTGAATCTTCTTATATTCCTCTATGAAAATAAAAGGTATGGCAAATTAATTCTCAAAAGTCATGACCACCTCTGAATAGAGAAACATAAAAAAAAAAAAAAAAAGCGTCAGGGAGAAAGGAAAAGTTAAATGTCTGTATCTACTTAATCTTGTGGAAGTAATGCGTGGATGCAGTCTAGAATGGAAAGAGAGAAGGAGTTGAGTGGACTGTGGAAGCACAGGTTATGTGTGGGGTATGGGAGGAATGCTCTAATGAGAGAAGTTACCCAGGAAGACTAAATGGATACATTTCCTACATTTATGCTAGCAAATGTTGGGGGGTGGAGGGGATTGTTCAAAGAACACTATAGCATTAGGAACTATAGTGTCCATGTCCCTAGATCTAGAATGTTTTGGCTTTACTTACCCTTTTTCAGCGCTGAGGCTCCCTCGGGACATGACCTCCTCTGCTATGGTCCTATTCAATGGAGCACTGGGGACCTAATTGCTGTGTGTGTGTTCATTCAAGCTTCCTAATAAGAAATCACTTAATCAGTGCTTTCCTATGGGGTCTTCCATGTCATGTGACAGTTTTACTGTTAGTTCAGTGGAAGCACCTCTAGTAGTTTTCAGTAAGACAACCAATGTAAACTTTGCAGTTTCTAAAACAACACAAACAAATCAAAAAAAAGCTGCAATGTTTTACAATGCAAGGTTACCAAGACAGGGCCACTGCACCCCAACCACTTCATTGAGATAAAGTTGTCTGGGTGACTACAGTCTCCCTTTATGGACTTTGCTTTTTAATGTCAGAACCTGAAGGGTACGAAAAGCATATGTTTGTTTCACAAGACATAATATATGGCAAAGTGGTGATGTTTGAGAAAGATAAGCTTGGCAATAGTTTTCAAAACAGACTAGAGTGAGGATTATGGAGGTATATGGAAGGCCAAGTGAGTGAGTTGCAATAGTCAAGATGAGAAAAAATAAGCACATAAACAAGACATACATTTTAAAACATTAAGTAATATTTTTGTGACCTAAAACACTGTACGCACTATAACAACTTCATCTTACCCTACTCCTATTTTAATAATTAGAAGACTTACTTCTTGGCTCTCATGCTATGATGGGAGCATGCACTGTGTCGTCATAATCTGCCACACAAAATCATTGTACTTAATGATAGTCTATAGAAAAATCTTAGGCACATCACAGCAGGTGCCATGCATGAGCCTGTGGTTCCCGATGCTCTATGAGGAGCATTGGTTTGAACAGTCATCCTGGAGGCACAATGTCAATCGAGGAGGAGTCCAAAAAGGTGTGGGGGAGGGAAGCTGAACTAAATAGATACAGATATTCCTAACACTACATTGTTCCTTTATTGAATGGGATACAATTTAGAATGTTTTGCAACAAGCTGCCACAAAAATTGTAAAAATAAAATAAAAATTGTTTAAATGGAGAACACGAACTACATTAAAACTCATTTCTAAAAGACAAATACCTCATATAAAACAAAAAGCCATTGATAGTCTTTAAAGAACACACCACACATAAAAAGAATACTTCCCATTAAATAGATATTTAATATAAATCATTGCAATATGAGTAACAGAAAATAAAAATATATTAGAAGTAATTACAATGGATGCAGTTTTTTTCTTAAGTCTGAAGACCAGGATCTCTTGAAGTAAACATGTAGCAAATGATAGGTTAAGTTGTACAAAAAAGATCCTACCAAATTAACTATCAATAAAACATAATACAATCAAGTATAATTCAACGTTATTCAACTTTTTTTTCCTTTTCAAATCATAAATATAAAATGTGCTTTCTAGGACTCATACTACCACTCCACTTGGAACATCAACTTCAAATGGTCTGACGGGAGAAGAAGACAAAAAAAAATACAATTTGGTTAATGACATGGAAACCACAAATGTTTGATTTTTTCAAATCTTGCAGACGCAGCGAATAACACATTTTCCAAAATAAAGGATAACAATATATAAAGTGGGGATATATATATATATATATATATATATGCAAAATAAAAAAAAGTATTCTAAAAATATATTAATAAGCAACTTGAATATGACAGCTGCTAATCTCAAAATATAGGTGACTTACTATCAGTACAATATACCAAAACAAGATTAGCGCTAAAAATAGTAATTAAGTAACAAACATTATATACACTAAATACATAAAATGCACATCCTCCTTAAAAAAAAATATATATATATTCTGAGAAATTATAGGAGGAGCTAGTAGGAGAGATATACAATATATAGAAGTCCCAGGCTGCTCACTGTTTAGTGGACATGCCCCATACTCACACTATAGCTCACTAATATTAGTAATTTTTACTTAGTATTAGTAAAGTTGGCTGGAAGACCATTTTTGATCTTTTAGTAGATAGTTCCCCTAATACCGTGAGAATTAGGGAGCTATTTACTAACACTGACAGGATTGGCATCTCATTCATTCGAATCGAACAAAATGCACAAATGTGCTAATACGAATGGACAAACTGTACTCATTCTGTAAGGACGAAATTCGGTGAATCTAAATGATAGGACGTCCAAACTGCAAATGAAGCACAACAGCAGCAGAGGTGAGTATTGCGGGGGGAATATTTTGACCACAGGAAAGGGAGTGGACTTAAGCTCCTCCTTTGCTCAAAGAAGGTCAATCGTAGGAAAAATACATAAGACAAAGTAGTTCCTACTTTGTCTTATGTTTTAAAAAAACTAGATCAGATGGGAAGAATATAAGAACAGATTCTGAGAGAGGAATCTATTGGGGAAACGTAAGTTCAGCATGAGCGTGTAGCTTTACGGCTTCTACTCACCGGTATATTCTTTAATCACCTTATACGGCAGCTCTGAGCTGTAGGAGATTGCATAGGAGATTTACTCAACTTTTGCTCCAAAAATTTGTTGATGGTGTACTCTTCAAAAAAAATCATGGTAACATTTTGTAGTAAAAAGCATACCTAAAATACCTACAAAATGTATATAAAAACTGTGATTTTTGCTACAAGATGTTAATAGGGCTGTGTGACAGCAAGGAGGCTTTTGAAAACGTCACACAGAAGCATCATGGGAAATGAACATGAAGTAACTGCAGGTGATTTAATGAATAGTTTATAAACAAAACAAACTAGCAGTTTGCTTTTAGTAGTTGCTTTACTGGCTGTGACCAAGTTCAATACTGAACAGGTGTTAATGCCTTTTTTCCTGGATTGTGTCATCATAACCTTAGCAGTGCAGTGCAACTGGTCTAATCTGTCCAGGTAAGCACATTCGGAATATATGCACAGCATAACAAGAACAGAAGGTTCAGGTCAAATAAAGAATGAAAAGTTGAACTACATTGATCCTTGCAGTATTCCAGAGGTTTATGTTACATTTAACAGATCAAACAAACAATACATTTAAAAAAAAAAAAAAAAAAAACACCACTTATTTTCTTTGTTTAAAAGCAGAAAGACTTTTCAGTGGAAACAATCCAAACTGAATAGGTTTCTGAATGCCAAATTTATTTTTGCCATGTAAAATATAAATCCCACAGCCAAACTAGTGCCACCACAAACTCGCATTTAATACTTATATCTAGGATTATAAACTCCTTATGGCTTAAAAGAAACACGCCAATGGAAAATGTTCCATTTTATTTTTCGGACCAATTTAGCGAATATACCTCCAATGAAAACGCGGAGTAGGGAAGAAGGGAAATAAAGTATGATTAATGAAGGCAGACTTAGAGAAGTTTATAGTAAGACAGAGCTGGCATTTGGGAGAGAAGTGATAGATTTCACAGTGGTACACGGTTAGAAAGTGTGCACATGAGCTTTGCTCACACAGTCCTGTAGACTTCACTTGCAAGCTGCACTGTGGGGGCGTCTGCATGTAGAAGAAACTAATGATGCCACGTTGCAAAATTAAAAAACAGGACACAATGCAACTCGGCAAGCTAACTACTTTGGGTGTGAGCAGTGTCCGTTTAAATTAAATATGACCTAAGTAATCAAAGTTCCAATCGCAGACAAGCCATATCTGCTTAAAAAAAAAATTATATAAGAAAAAGTATACATTTTCATGTTTTTTTTGTAAAAACTGTTACAGCTTTTATTGTTGAAAGTAAAAAACAAAAAAAGTAACATCCCCTAGTGCAATTAACTATTAGGGTTGGGTGAGAAGAGTATTTTCTCTAGACTATCATTCACATCTGAATTTGATAAGTCTTTCTCCAGAGGCAAACTTTGAATGTTGTCACCTGAATCTGCAGACATGTGCAATGAGTTTTAAGTCCTAGAAAATGGATTGCTGGGCCCTAATAAAATAGCTTTGCACATGTATCACAAGGTCAAATATGGCTATAAAGCCATTAGTTACAACTTACTGTAACGGGCCATCTAGCCAAGCACTTTGTATAAAAGAGCTCCAATGGCTAGATATCAGCTTACGGGCAGGGCTCTCTCTACCTCTGTATATATTGTACGTTTCTCCACTAATTGTACAGTGCTGTGGAATCTGTTGGCGCTTTATAAATAGCAGTAATAATAAATACAAGGAAACAAACTAAATACCAGTGTTCAAGCAGGAAACCTATATTTCGTTTGGTGGTGGGACATATTTAGACTTTTTTTACCCATTAAGTTTAAGTGCTAAAGTGTTTCCTGGATATGCTCCAGAATTACATAGGAGGCCGTAAGAAACCTCCCCGCATTTTGCACATTCTCATGGCAGCAAAAAAAAACAATCGCTAAACATTGGAAATCCACTACTATCCTCACCCCAGACATGCTGATTAAATCTGTCAACTTCGAAGAAATGGTGTATAAAATCCAAAGCAACAGTCCTCGTTTCAGCAAAGTGTGGTACTCCTGAGATAGGTTATTCTCTCCTGCAAACATAATCACAACTCCTACTCAAGTGTACACTCTTCCTCCAGCCCCCTCTCCTTCCATTTCCCATCCAGCTCTATCCCAGCTCATAGCAAGCTGACTCATGACTATGTTACTTGCTGATGTGACACACTGTGTATTAAGCTGGAATGTTCATTACTTTCTGTAGTTATGCCTACAACCATTACAAATGATACATTAAAAATATACCACCAAACCCCCCCAAAAAAACAGAATAGTGTTGCCTTTGTTCTTTGTGACATATTTGTGAGCATCTAGAATGCTTTGTATACATTTTGTGTGTATTCTGCCTCAAACTCTGCATCAGAATCAAAGTGGTGTCAGGGAACACCAGAAATGTAATTATTTTATACTGAAAAAAAAAAAAAATACATAAATGGAATATGCAAAATAAAATTTATTGTCAAAAAACCAAAACCCAAGACAAAAAACAAAACAAAATAATACTAATACAAAATATTACAAAGTAGTGAAAAAAATAAGATTTCATAATTCACTCCAGAAAGACCTGAACAGGAAAAGGTGCAGATTATTCCTTTTTTTATTATGAGAACTTTGATACAGTTACACCAATATGTGTAAAAGAATGTAAAATGAAAGCCATAGCAGAATACCTATAATGGTGCATGGTACTGGCTGTGCAGGGATATTGCTTGTTGTAATTTCTCTTCTTTGGCTCTTCTGCTGTGGCAACTCTGTACAAGAGATAAACAGAGCAATCAACAGCTAGAACAACAACATTTCACAACCTTCCTAAATGGATGAAGAGATTATCCATGATTCAGCGAAGATAAAATGAATGATGCACCTAGCAACGTCTTCGACTACACCGGTTTCATGCAATGCCTTTTATTATCACAGGTTCGGTTCAATTTATAGTGCTGCAAACTAAAATAAATATTAAGATCAATAAGATGTACAACTGCATAGTTTGTAAGGCAGGGCATCCATTGTATTATTTGTAACATTGAACATGGCAGCATGATTAAAATAGATTAACTTTGTGTATTACAAATCCAGGCACTTATTTACTGAAATGTATAAACTCCACTAGGTCTATGAAATACTGGACAGTAGTTATGTGGCTTTTGTATTGGAATATTCAGGGTACACATCAATGGAACCTTCTGGATCTCATAATGCATAATCAATATATCTAACAGTAGCATGGCCTGTAAAGTTAACTGAAAGTTTGAGGATAAAAAATAAATAAAATAATAATTAAAAAATATATTAATTAATTGCAGAGAAGTCTTTTACAAGTAATTACACTATTTGCTTCCCAGGCACCTTAAACAATTATAAGACAGGAATATATAGTTTAATTGCGTTTTCTATAGATGGCTGATGCCATATAAAAATGTATTAAATATTATTTTAGAGCAATAATGAGTAAACTTTACCACCTCATATGTTTATTATTAAATTAAATGTTACACAATAAGTGACAAATAAATGCTAATGATCTGAGGTTCAAAAAGCAGCCATCACCACTTTACACTGGAGCTTAAGGCTTATTGATGCAATGTGTAGATTAAACTGCATAGCCTATGTGAACAGGGTTTTGTAATTCTAATGTGGATAAGAGATCTACTTTAAAAAGCACCATTCTATAAATAGACATAACAAAAAGCAACAATGCAACGACTAAATTCAGGCGTTTACCGTTCTCTTTTCCATGAAGATGTTGAGAAAATCGTCTATTTCTGTTTTTCCCTCAAGGAAGTTTTCAGCAATACTATCAGATTCCTCTTCTGCCTCGTGAGCTGCAACTTTTAGTCTGGCCTGCAGGGCACTCAAGCTGCAACTCTAGGAAGGAAAGAATGGAAAATGCAAGGAAAAATAAATCATAATATATCATCTACCAGAATGAGTGCTGCAATAGCGTAAAGTCATGAACAAAATATTATACACAGAATATTTCATACTAAGTATATCTAGGTGCACTTTGTGCATAGTAGTAAGGAATATAATTGTAATATAACGTATAATCAACTTGTAAATGAGGATAAGAAGTTTGGGTTAGCCTTGACCTTGGGCATTAGTGTCTTGCCTCTTAAAGGATCCAGTAAGTACTCTGGCACAAAGATTGTGGTTTGCGTTGAATCATTCAATACAAATAAGGTATCAGGAAATACCAGGTGATGAAGAATCTCTTAAAGGACCACTATAGTGCCAGGAAAACAGTGCCATTCCCGCCAGGCTGGATGGAGAGGATGGGGGTAGACTCTCCTCCTCCTTTCCCGTCATCAGCTGAATGCGCATGCGCGGCAAGAGCCGCGCGCGCAGCCAGCCAGTCTCAAATGAAAGCATTCTCAATGCTTTCCTATGGACGCTGGCATCTTCTCACTGTGAAAATCACAGTGAGAAGCGCCTCTAGCGGCTGTCAGTGAGACAGCCACTAGAGGCTGGATTAACCCTAAAGTAAACATAGCAGTTTCTCTGAAACTGCTATGTTTACAGCAGGCAAGGTTAAACCAAGAGGGACCTGGCACCCAGACCACCTCATTAAGCTGAAGTGGTCTGGGTGCCTATAGTGGTCTTTTAATATGTTATCTTTAGGGAGCACTGTCTCCAAATAGTCCAAGTTAAATAGACTTTGTTATCTATTAAAGGTTGAGTGAAGGCGTGGGGGGGAAAAATGGTTTGACTCAAGCATCCCAAATGTGGGCAGATCAAATTTGAGAGCGGGCAGTGCGTGAGCATACTAGAGGTGGTTGTTACAGAAGTACAACACCGACATGACCGAGCTGGATCAGAAGGGAGGCAAGCTAATATCTCACAATTTTACATTAAATACATCATGTATCTCTGTGATATAGGATGTATTCAATAAATTCAGGAGCACTTATACATATATATGTGCCTGTTGACACATAGTAGAATATATCAAACACATTAAATCACAGGTAATTAAAAAAAAAAAGACAGGGCTATTCATTAAAGTCAGAATTCAAGTGAATTTAAAATTTAAGGTCTAAATGTTTGAATTCAGTTATGCTTTCCATTCAACTACTCTGGCCTGAAGTTTGAAATTCACTTTAAATTCTCACTTTAGTAAATAATTCTGAGTGTGTCTGATATTTATTTTTTAACCTCTTAAGGACACGACGGAAATATTCCGTCATGATTCCCTTTTATTCCAGAAGTTGTGTCCTTAAGGGGTTAAAAGACCTTCACAAATGATAAAACGTGGCGGCTACCCAATGTTCTGCGCTGCAAAGGAAACTTTCAAAAGCTTAATCAAGCCAAATAAAGAAAAGATTTCAATAAAGGACCCAAGGGGCTTCAGGAACCCTTGACCAGGTTTGTTACGGAGGTCAACAGAAAACCCAATTTCCACTGTAGGCAAACATTACACAAGTTTTGCTCAGCTTGATGTATACACTTTTATCTGTATTAACATTTGTAGGCACCTTCAACCGAACTGCGCAGAGATTTAACTAGTTAATTAGTTCACAATTAGCAATCTGGCTACTTTCAAACAAGAAGTCAGAGAATAATACCTCACTCAGCTCATGCTGTCGCTGTAACTTTTTCTCAAATGAACCTTTCATTTGGGTGAGAAGTTCATACTGGAAGAGGACAAAATGAGAAAAGAAAGCCAATCAGAAAGACTAAGAAAAGAAACCAAGTCCTAATTCCTGTACAATACCATCAGTACACTTACCTTTTCTAGTAGCATCTGTCGTTTTGCTTCTAGAATGGGTTCCAACTGCAGGTTCTTTCCTGGAAGCAATCAAGCAGCGATTTAGGTATAAAATAATAAAAATGGATATTTATTTAAATCAACTTACATATGATAAAACAAGAATGAAATACATTTACCACGAGAGGAAAACTACATTTTACTGTTATTCATCAATGAGAGAATGCCATAAAAAGAAGGCAAAAATTACAGGTTTTAAATGTTTGCTTTGTAATAATGTAAAATAATAAAAATGCAGTTCGCCAAGTTCAAACTTTCATACATCATGTGTGGTACAAAAAGGAGAAAATGGCAGGTTTCTAAACCCTATATCCATCCAGCAAGATGAATAGATAAACTGATGGGGAAATCTTACTCGCCAATTCCTCAATGTTCTTTACCAGGTCTTCTTTATCTGTGATGATCTGCTTTAACTGGGGGAGATTTATAAACTGCTCTAGGAGAAAGTCGTCTTGCTCCACCATTTCTGAGAGTTGAGACACACTGTGAGGGGGAAAAACACATTATACAACACCACGTGAGCTACAACCATTTGAAATAACAACTGAGGTACACATTATATATATCCTAAGAAAGCTCACTTTGGAACCGAAACATCCATCTTTTTATTGGCAAAAATCTGAATAAAAGCAGATATTATACCAAGTCCCTGGAATGCTATTATTTCAACCAATGTATATATAAAATAAATTTCCATCTACATGGTTTCAATTTGAACACACTCCAGCATCACATGAGTGTCATGTGATGACCAGGAGTCTACTAGCATGGAGTATAGCATAGTAACTCCTATTTATATTATGTTTGCTTGATTTTTCTTCAAGACAGAGAGTCTTTTTACTGAAATATTCTTAAACATACTTATTTCATCTACATTTTGGAGCCAATTTGAGGTCTATTGATAAAAACAGTCTTTAAAGGACCACTATAGTGCCCTGAGGGTGCCCCCACCCGGCTCTGGAAGGGGGAAAGGGGTTTAAACTTACCTTTTTCCAGCGCTGGGCAGGGAGCTCTCCTCGTCCGATCCTCCTCTTCTCCTCCCCGTCGGCTGGCTGCGCGCGCATTCAGCCGGTCACATAGAAAAGCATTATCAATGCTTTCCTATGGACGCTGGCGTGCTCTCACTGTGAAAATCACAGTGAGAAGCACGCAAGCGCCTCTAGTGGCTGTCAATGAGACAGCCACTAGAGGAAATAGGGGAAGGCTTAACCCATTCATAAACATAGCAGTTTCTCTGAAACTGCTATGTTTATGAAAAAATGGGTTAACCCTAGAAGGACCTGGCACCCAGACCACTTCATTAAGCTGAAGTGGTCTGGGTGCCTAGAGTGGTCCTTTAAGATTACCAATAAAATGAAATATGTCACTCATAAGCAGGGTAATGCTTTCCGTGTCCATTTTATGGTGATGTGAAAGATTAATATTAGTCCTTATAGTGTTAATAATGCCAACCATGAAGGTTTACCCTGCACATTCCATATGTTCTACATTACGATGAAGAATTGCTTTTTTAGAATGATCGGAAGCTTGCAGGGAGGGTGCTGGTAAAATAGAGCTAGAAAGCACCATGCAGACAGATTTCAGCAAACTCTGGGAAATCACAGACTGGCTAATGTATCCAGTATTAAACAAACAATTGTAATGTTTACTACACTAATTGCATCCATAATACAGTTTCTCCCAACTACTTTACAGGAGGAAACCAATAAACAACACCGCAGGCATTGACAGCTTGCATAAAGATTGCCTACCATTCATGTTTAGCTATAGTTTTAAAAGGTGTGTGTGTAATAAACCCTATCATTTTAAGATAGTTAGCAGGCATTATTGCATCATTAGGAAGGAAAAAGGAACGTCAACCATCTGGTTCATGCTAATAAAGAGACAATATAAAAAGGTGTAACAAGTCACCTGAATTCAGCGAGTTCAGGAAATGTGTCAGGGAGTTCAGGCATCTTGTATGTAAAACCATTAATTCCCACCTAGATTAGAGAGAGAGAGAGAGAGAGAGAGAGAGAGAGAGAGATAGTTAGATGGCAGTCATGTTATCATTACTGTGTGTGAATATAAAAAAGGAGACCGAGCACTGCTAACATTCTGTATCAGAGCTACAATGTAATGAACACTGCCTTATTTATTCTGTCTTCATACTAGGCTAACTGCAACACAAATCCACGTGACTTGAAGAGGAATTAGCAGTACTGGTCTATAAAGCTGCATGCTCATTATATCGCTGTAAAAAGCAAACTGATCATCTCCATAAAGTTACTTAAAGCTGCCGCTACTTTAAAGTTGGAAGGAGAGGTCAGCTGTCTTTACTTATGCAAGTCTTGACCTTCTGCTGCAAGCCACGAGACTCACAGAGCTCGTAGATGTTAAGAAATATTTTCCATACAGCACAAACAAAACCACATTGCTCAACTCCATTACCACCCTACAAGACAATTTAAATATCTACTGTCACAAGGTCAAAAACGATTAATGAGTGGATCCAAGTAGCAAGTCATACCACTGGGACAAAAGTGAGAGAGCCTGCATACACAGGAGAGACTGTGCAGTTATAGACATCTGGATAGACCAAGGAGACAGAGGACAACCACAAAACCAGTAGTTAGTTGAGGATTCTAGAGGGAAGGACCTGGGATAATATCACGCCTGCTGTAAACCCTCAGGGTCTGTGATCATGGACAGCAGGGCTTTTACTTCGGTCTCTGGGTGAACTGGAAGATTATACTTATATTAAAGAAAGTCAATTGGCACTTTATGTACTGCGTCATCCCTACTTAAATATAAAAAAAGGTGTATTTTACAGCCTTGGCATACAATGAACTCACTTCTGAAGTAGGAACTGGAATAGGCAGCTCAGTGATCAAGCCGCAGGAAGGTGCTGCAGCTTTGGAAGTGCTATAGATACCAGGAACAGGTTCAGGAACTGATCTATTAGATTCTTGAGTTGGGTAGGAAGGGAGAAATGGAAATGCTGAATGGGTGTACGCTGGTATTCCAGAGGGACTGCCGTACATGCTGAAAGAAAAATATAATTCACAGCATAATGCCTTAATGCTATTGCAATATTGGCATACCATTCATAAAGCACAAATCAGATGTCACATAACATTTACTTTTTTTAAATTACATTCTTAATCATACAATTCATAAACAAACAAAACCAAAACTAATAACAATCATCATAATTCATCACTCTCTGCAGTACAGTTACCATTCTATAAAATCTTGATCATATTTAATATCATAATTTATAATTAAAGGAAATGGACTACTAGATTCAAGTGTTCAAACATGTCTATTAACTTAAGCAAAGTCTAAAAACCACACATGCAGATGGTCAAAGTTTTCCCATACCACAGTTTCCAATACCAGCATCCCCTTGGTTCCTAGAAACATAAAACGTGTTCTTTGGGCATTTGCTGAACAAGATGAAATCATCCCATCTTAAAAAACAAACACACATACCTTATCACTGTAACTGTGGTACAGACACAAGGTACATGAGTTCAACACAGAGTTACCCTAAAATCCTATTAAACTCTAGAAGACACTAAGCCACAGATAAGGTTTGACAGGCTAAGCAAGGATGAAACCGAGCCTCCTGCTCTGCAGGAGCCACTGGGATTAACATCAATCTTCCATTCCTAGTATACCTACTGTATAAAAATCAGGATATAAATAGCCTGATCTGATTCAACAATGCCTCTGCATTAAAGCATGGGTTCATATGCAGGTGAGAGGGAATGTCTCTCTTGTATAAATGCACAAGCTTCTCAATAAAGTCCTACTTTATATGAAGACACAACACACCAATTGGTGGATAGCGCACCAACACATGTCAATTAACTGTGATATTCATCACCATATAATACAACACACGTGTTATAAAGCAGAAAGTGTAAATACCCCTACTGAGATTGATAAAATACTACAGGTTACCGTTAGAGTGAAACCATCTACACATGCAAGTGCTGCTTCTACAACTTCTAGGAAAGTCAAAAGCATATTCTACATCAGTGGTTGATGTCCGGCTACCTTTAGATACAGTATTTATTACAATGTGTAAAAATGTGTTTTGAGTGTCATCCCCAAATGATTATAACATTGGGGGATGAATGTAAGAATTATTGTAAAACTAAACACTGGGGGAGAATGAAAAATTGGGAGACTTTGTTACAGGATTTTTCCAATAGGAAGATGCCAGCAAAAAGTAGTCTATGAGATATGTACTTTCCACTAATGCATGATCATCATAATAAAGGATTGAACAACATTGTGTTACTTTATATTTAGTCTGTAAACTATATTGACTAGTACTGGGAAGTCAACATGTCCTACTAAAGTGGATAGAACATGCAAATGGAACAGGCATTAACAGGCAGTCCTGAACCTTCTTACAACTTTTTTTGGCACATAAGTAAAATGCATTAATGGAATACTATAAGCTAAAATAACTTTAGCTTCATGACGTGGTTTTGATGTATAGATCATGTCCCTGCGGTCTTGCTGCTCAATTCTCTGCCATTTAAGAGTTAAATAATTTTGTTTGCCTACACACTTCCTGTAAAAAGATAGAAGTTTTAAACTTTCTTAAATTAGAATCTTATCTCCGGCACTGTTAGTTGCCTGCTAGAGCCTGTAGGAACTTCATGACAGCGTTTAAAGTTCAATTAAAGGACCACTGTAGGCACCCAGACCACTTCAGCTTAATGAAGTGGTCTGGGTACCAGGTCCAGCTAGGATTAACCCTTTCTTCTATAAACATAGCAGTTTCAGAGAAACTGCTATGTTTATAATAGGGTTAAACCAGCCTCTATTGGCTGTCTCATTGACAGCCGCTAGAGGAGCATCCGCACTTCTCACTGTGATTTTCACAGTGAGAAGACGCCAGCGTCTTTGAGAATGCTTTACTATGGACTGGCTGAATGTGCGCGCAGCTCCAGCCGCGCATGCGCTTTCAGCCGATGACGGCAAAATGGAGGAGGAGGAGAGTTCCCCGCCGGGCGCTGGAGAAAGAGGTAAATTTAACCCCTTCCACCCCCTAGAGCCCGGCAGGAGGGGGGCCCGCACTATAGTGCCAGGAAAATGAGTATGTTTTCCTGGCACTATAGTGGTCCTTTAACAAAGAAAGACGTATTAGATTCTAAAGTAAACACACTGTGCTGTAATTTCCTGAGTGAAAATTAAACCATTTTTCTTAAGAAGGCTGTGTGAGTTATTGACAAGGTTGGCGTGGCTGGGGCTGCCTAAACAGAAACAAAAGTACAGCAATTTAACTACTAAATGGTAGAGAATGTATTAGTGAGATTGAAGGGACATGATCTCTACACTAAAATTGCTTTGGTAAGCTAAACCTATTATGGTGCTTAGAGTATCCCTATAATTGCAGCCAAAACTAGTCTAACAAAGCATAGCAAGGATAAATACCAACCAAATGCCAATCCAAAAACATTGTCTTCAAGTAAGTTTGTCAGATGTCGTGTTTATTAGTGAGAAGGTGAAAAAAATATGATAAATCAAAGTAATTAAACAAATGTTTGGCTCCACTCCCTAAAGATGGTACATGCTTTTATTGGTCATACAAACATACAATAAGTTAACTGAATGATGGTTGAAAATGGTCAAGAAATCCTAAAACTCATTAGAACAGCTGTGATAAACTAGATAAAGAAGGAAATAAGTAACTATGCCAAATCGGGTGTGGTAGTAGTATAGAAAAAATCTGGGAACTATGCCAAATCGGGTGTGGTAGTAGTATAGAAAAATCTGGGAAGTAGCTGGAAAGGCAACCTGGCTAAGAGTTATTTTATAATCAGAGTCCTGCACACATCAGGTAATCTATGTCAAGTACCTGACAAACTGATATAAACACCTAATAAATCTAAGGCTTTTACAAGATCAGTGTTTGTAGCCATAAGGAGTGCCCCAGTCAGCTTTATTGGAACAAATATGATTCAGTTACAGTTTGCAGATATTAAAATGCACACACAAAACCAACAAAAAACCACTTACTAAGGAAAAGAGCCAGAGTTGGGAGCCACTGTAGGAGGATTCTTCCAGAACTCATCTAGCAAACTCTGTACTATTTTTCCAAGGTCTGAGTGCATGGTAAACTGAAGTAAATACATAAATCCAGAATTATATAGACATTTTGGTTGCTAAAAGGTTCTTCACAAAACACTTTATTTAGGACACAATGTATTGCAGCTAGCATGATACTCACTGGATATGTAACATCTGTACATCAGAATGTTGGCTCACACCCTTGGGAGGGACCCAAATGATATACACGGCATAAGCTACAGACATTGCTAGAGGTGTTAAAACCTGATGCCCCAGACCCCTTGAAAAGTTGTGGAATTAAAAAAAACACTTTTCCTAGTTTCATACACTGTGGATGCTGTTTTGTAAAAGTCAGTGGAACACATCCAGAGAGGAAAGAAAAGAAAAATGAAACAAGAAAAATTGAAAACCGCCACACACTGTAATACTGCTCCTGAGATGGGTCAGTGTGAATAGAAACAAAAGCTTATACTGTGTCAATCTGGACAGCAAGTCAACCTCTACTTTGAAACTCCACCCATCAGATCAGAAATGGCCATCAAAGGAGTCTCTGCATATGAACCATGAGCTTTTGTTATTTGTAGATACTGGCTTCATTAAAGGAACACTATAGTCACCTAAATTACTTTAGCTAAATAAAGCAGTTTTAGTGTATAGATCATTCCCCTGCAATTTCACTGCTCAATTTACTGTCATTTAGGAGTTAAATCACTTTGTTTCTGTTTATGCAGCCGTAGCCACACCTCCCCTGGCTATGATTGACAGAGCCTGCATGAAAAAACAAACTGGTTTCACTTTCAAACAGATGTAACTTACCTTAAATAATTGTATCTCAATCTCTAAATTGAACTTTAATCACATACTCTTGCAGGGTCTAGCAAGCTATTAACATAGCAGGGGATAAGAAAATCTTAATTAAACAGAACTTGCAATAAAGAAAGCCTAAATAGGGCTCTCTTTACAGGAAGTGTTTATGGAAGGCTGTGCAAGTCACATGCAAGGAGGTGTGACTAGGGTTCATAAACAAAGGGATTTAACGCCTAAATGGCAGAGGATTGAGCAGTGAGGCTGCAGTGGCTTGTTCTATATACCGAAACTGCTTCATTAAGCTAAAGTTGTTCAGGTGACTATAGTGTCCCTTTAATACTCAGAGTACATGATTACAGTTAGCAATGTGAAAACCCAGTAAGCCCAATCAGCACATACTTACCTCTTCTCCACTCCAGTGTAAAGGAAATTTAGTTAGGTAGCAATTTAAACTCAGGCACTGAGTACTGCCAATGTAAGGCAAGGGCACCTGATTAGATAATAAAACTCTCTTCTGCATGTGTGAGTGCAAGGTACACTTTACTTTAAAAAGGATTTGAAAAGAATAGGCAGATCTTAAAGCGGTTAAGGTGCAGAGTACAGCAAGGAATGTGAGTGCACAAACTGTATTCCAGATGAAACTGAAGAGTAAATGGTTGAGCACACCAATAAACCAAAGTGAACCTTCACTCTGCTAAGTATTTTGGTGACAACATTTCAAACAAAAGATGGTCATTGTAAAGCCAATAACGGACTGGATTGACAAAATAAAAGTGAAACAACAGTGTTTCAAATCGCAATGCAACACATTTTGAATAATTTATACTTCAGACTATTACATGTATACTTTATAACACCGTTAACAGGATTCACCGGTGTAGTTAAAATCATATGTCGAGTTGCTAGCTTTGAGATATCTTTTCAAATGACTTACATTATTTACTATGGGACACGTGACATTAACACCTTGCTTGTCCACTAAGTGATGCCTAATAGGAGGATAAACACTGATAAGAGGTTTTTCTTGAGGAAATTGTGGCGGAAGCAAACTGTAAATTGGAAAAAAAAAAAAAAACACATTAGTTGTTGATTAACAGCAGCAAACAAACCCTATTACAACAGGTTGAACTTTGTTTTGTCAATGCTTTGGTTACAAACAATGTTTCCTCTGCATTTACCTTTCTTTTTATATAAACTTAAAATAAACATTTAAATTCTTGTCGTTCCTGAAAGATTGCGGGATAAAACTTACCAGGAAAGGTTAAAGGATCTTAACATGTATAGCTTGGAGGAAAGACGAGACAGGGGGGATATGATAGAAACATTTAAATATATAAAGGGAATCAACACAGTAAAGGAGGAGAATATATTTAAAAGAAGAAAAACCACCACAACAAGAGGACATAGTCTTAAATTAGAGGGACAAAGGTTTAAAAATAATATCAGGAAGTATTACTTTACTGAGAGGGTAGTGGATGCATGGAATAGCCTTCCAGCTGAAGTGGTAGAGGTTAACACAGTAAAGGAGTTTAAGCATGCGTGGGATAGGCATAAGGCTATCCTAACTATAAGATAAGACTAGGGACTAATGAAAGTATTTAGAAAATTGGGCAGACTAGATGGGCCGAATGGTTCATATCTGCCGTCACATTCTATGTTTCTATGTTACATCTACGTGTACATGCCTATTTGGATATACAAAAACATATTTAAGCTGAGTTATGCCTTTAAAAACGCACACTCACAAAGTGTATTGTACCCATTTTCCAAAATTAAAACTTTATGTTCACACACATTTAAAAAATGCACTCACATTATCTTGGAACAATGTTCCCAGAAGTATATGTGACAATGAGAAAAATCAAACTTAGTGTAAAACCTTAAAACACATACAGAGTAAGGAAAATGGCCAATGACAAACACAGAGCAGAGAAAGCATTGCACAAAACATGTAAGCTCAACTGCCAGCAGAGCAGAGAATGTACTGCTTAAAACATGTAAACACAACTACTAGCCGTTCTTTCAGAAGCAAATGATGAAGTACAGACATCAGATCCATGGGAGCATTGTGCAGGTAAGTATTCACAGCATATAAAACAATAAAAAGAGACTTCCTTGGCTTTGCAACCCCCTCCCGTCACAGGTGCCTAATTCCAGAACCAGCACTGCAAAGAGCTCAAGGAGAAATGATTTCCCAAAGCTTAACCCCTTAAGACCGCAGCCAAATGTACACGTTGTGATCAAAACAAAACCTGGCATTTGCGCTATATGTCTGTCCAACCGTAATTCATCTCTTTCAGATTTAATGCACCCACACTTATTATATATAATTTTTTTCAGGGGAAACAGGGCTTTCATTTAACATTAAATATTTAGGTATGGAACATAATTTAATATGAATAAAATATAAAAAAAATGAGAGAAAATAAGATTTTTAAAAATTTTATTAGTTCTACGTGACATTTTAACTGTGAATGTCAAAATACTGTTTGCTTTTACTGCAATAAAATACACATATTTGTATTCAGCGATATCTCACGTGTAAAACAGTACCCCTTATGTACAGATTTTATGGTGTTTTGGGAAGTTACAGGGTCAAATATAGCATATTACATTTTTCATTTTTTTTCACATTGAAATTCGCCAGATTGGTTACGTTGCCTTTGAGACCATATGGTAGCCCAGGAATAAGAATCACCCCCATGATGGCATACCATTTGCAAAAGTAGACAACCCAAGGTATTGCAAATGGGGTATGTCCAGTCTTTTTTAGTAGCCACTTGGTCACAAACACTGGCCAAAGTTAGTGATAATATTTGAAAATGCAAAAAACTAATTTGAACGAAAATTTTGGCCAGTGTTTGTGACTAAGTGGCTACTAAAAAAGACTGAACATACCCCATTTGCAATACCCTGGGTTATCTACTATTGCAAATGGTATGCCATTATGGGGGTAATTTTCATTCCTGGGCTACCGTACGGTCTCAAAGGCAATATAACCAACCTGGCGAATTTTAATGTGAAAAAACTGAAACGCAAGCCTTATATTTGACTCTGTAACTTTTGAAAAAACCATAAAACCTTTACATGAGGGGTACTGTTATACTCAGGAGACTTCGCTGAACACAAATATTAGTGTTTTTCAAAACAGTAAAACGTATCACAACAATTATATTGTCAGCGTAAGTGCCATTTGTGTGTGAAAAATGCAAAAAATTTCACGATATGACGATATCGTCGTCGTAATACATTTTACTGTTTCGAAACGTTAATATTTGTGTTCAGTGACGTCTTCTGAGTAAAACAGTACCCCCATGTACAGGTTTTATGGTTTCTTGGAAAGTTATAGTGTTAAATATAGTGCTAGCAAATTAAAATTCCCTTTACTTTCAGCCTGGGTTGTCAGGCAGGTCCTGCAAATTTTAATTAATAAAATGACCTAATTATGTAAAATTATTACATTATATATATATATATATATATATATATATATATATATATATATATATATATATAATTAAAATTATTTATATATAGTGATATATACTTATGTATAAAGATATATATATATATATATATATATATCTATCTTTATACATAAGTATATATCACTATATATAAATAAAAATAATTTTAATTTTATATATATATATATATATATATATATATATTAATTTTAAAATACAGTTAGAACGAAATTACACCTGTAATTTTTTTTTATTTTTTTTTATTTTTTTTATTTTATTATTTAACATATTTACATATTTATATTTTATTATATATAAATATATATATATAATGAAAATTATATATATATATTTTTATATCATTGTACATGTATTTTGATATTAATATATATATATATATATATATATATATATTTATATATATTTATAAATATATATACATATTAATATTAAAATACACTTAGACAGTGTATGTATGTATATGTGTGTGTATATATATATATATATATATATATATATATATATATATATATATATATATATATATATAATATACATACATACATATATACAAACACACACACACACACACTTAGATCATATATATTTATTATATATGATCTCAGTATATATATATATATATATATATATATATATATATATATATATATATATATATATATATATATATATATATATATATATATATATATATAATTTTACACTGTTTTAACATTTATTTATTTCATTTCATTTTTCAGACAGCAGGGGGAGTACCTGTCATTCCAGGCACTCCCCCTGCTGGCAATGCCATGGACCTCGCGATCACATGGCCCAGGGGGTCCTTAGAGGACGGAGGGGTTTAGAGCCATCTAAGTAAGGACGGCATAGAAGGCCCTGCGGTCTTAAAGGGTTACACTTGGAGAATATTGAATTCATCAACAAACATTCCTGCAAGGTCAAGCGAGCTATTAACAGAGCAGGAGATAAGAAATTCCAAATTAAACAGAATTTGCTATAAAGAAAGTGTAAACAGGAAGTGTTTATGAAAGCTGTACAAGTCACATGCAGGGAGGTGTGTCTGGGCCTGTGTAAACAAAGTGATTTAACACCTAATTGATAGATAGTTGAGCAGTGAGACTGTAGAGACATGTTATGTTCTATACACCAAAAAACTTGAGCTAAAGTTGTTTTGGTGCCTATAGTATCACTTTATGTTTTTAAACAATATTTGCCTTTTTCATGTATACCACTGGGAACACTGTTTCGAGATACTATGAGTGCATTTTTTTTTTTTAAATTGTGTGAACACTTTCACATAAAGTTGTAAGTGAAAAATAGGCAAGACTGATATTCCAGAATCAGCACATTTCCACTACATTTGGCACAGCTGTAAGGCATATATTGACCTTTAATTTCTTAAAATTTAGCTTAGCACTATCAGAAGCTAAATGTAAACACAATCTGCACAACTTACATATTTATGTTGATGGTTAGGTTCTTTATAGTGATAGGCAGTCTGTACTCCACATCTTTCTGAATTTCAGCAATGCTGTTAAAAACAAAACACCATAAACACATCAGTGGCTTTATTTACTGAAAGAGATAATTGTACCAAAGGCAAGCTCTCTTATAGGGATGATTAAAGAATAAATTTAGGAATGATCTAAACGTGCCTCAGGAACATGGAGGGTTGTTTGATTTACTACCTTATCACTGGCCCTCTGCACTGACATGGAAGCTCTAAGAACCAAAATGACTACATCTTTAATTTTTTGGTACTGTTGCATAGATGAGGACTCTTGTCTGACACTGTAAAACATAACGGTTTCTGAAAAAAAGCTTACACATCTTGTCAAAAACACTAGGGTTGCCTTTTTCCTTAAATGGACACAGTAGGCACTATAACCACATCACTTCAATAAATTGGTTATAATGTCTGGAGTTCTATGATGCTATACTTTCACTCAGTGTGGAAACAGTTTGGCATTAAAAAAAGGGTCTCTTGCCACCCAAGAGAGTTATGGCTAAGACAGAGATTACCCACTTCCTCCTAGCCATAACGATTCATGCCAGCATGGATGAGCTATGGAAGGCAGAAAGCAGTCAGCTGACACACTCATCCCTCACCCAATAACAGCATCTATTGCTACTCAAGCTAATGCTTCCTCACTAGTGTAAACAGCAGAGAGGACAAGGAGCTCAAGGAGTGGAGACTCATACAGCATTAAAAAAACACAAAAAAAGGTTTAATCTTGAATGGAAGGATGGTTTAAGGGGACTCCAGACAGTATAATACCTTCAATTAAAACAATTACAGTGCTCAGAGTGTCCCTTCAAGATCCTTTGATTTCTAAAGGAAATCGCACTCCGCATCATCAATAACGACAGGATGCCACTGAATGCAACTAATGCTTCTCAGTCATGCAGAAGCACTGGAATGGCGTATTGAAGCAAGTGCACCAGTGCACCTGCTGGCTCAGCCTCTGATCTGCCTGCTTGGCTGACATCATCATAAGTGTTGATCACAGCCAATTATAACACTTTCACATGGGAAGATTGTCAAGGAGGCAGATCAGGGGAAGAGCCAGCACAGGTCAAACACAGCCCTGGCTAATTACCATCTCCTCATCGAGATTAATTGAATCAAAGCATCTCTATGAAGAAAGTTGAATGCCTCTTTGCATATGGTGGAGACACTGACTGGCAGTCACATCGTGCAACACTGCCCCAGTAAGCACCTCTATTAGCCACCTGAGGAGTGGTCAGTGGAGGCATCCCTAGGCTGTAATGTAAACACTGTCTTTTCTCTGATCCCCCCTTCTCCCCCCAAAAAACAAAACAGTATTTACTGCAAAAAGCATGAAGGGAATAATAAAAAAAAACAAAACAAAAAAAAAAAACAGAACAAATAAAAAAGCTGTAGTTCTAGTGACTATATTGTCCCTTTAATAGTTTATTTTTTATTTATTTTTTTTAATAAAGGAGGGATGGTAATCTAAAATTGGTAAAGGAACACATCCTAATTGTAATTTTAGACATATTTTTAAAGAGAAACAAGCATGAAAGTTACTTTTGATACATTGTAGCATATATCAAAATATGCATCTTTGTAAAGTTGTCATGGCTGTAATTTGTTAGCCTAAACTATATTTGTTTTTTGTTTAAATTTCCTATTCGGGCCTTCTGCATGATTTATGTCAATCTCGTGTAATCTGGATGACAGTAACTGGCTCAGAGTTCTCCCAGACAATCAATGATGTCCATACTGGACAAAATTGACAGTCATAATGAGGAAGTGAAAATTCACATTGTTAATGCAGCAGAGAAGCGGGCAGTCTCTGGGTTTTGGAGAAGAGCCCTATTTTCTATTTTTTAACAGTTTGACATTAAACTAGGGGATGACACCAGAACGGCTGCACTTAACTGTAGTGGTTATGTTGCTTACAATGCCCCTTTACCAACCAGATTAAAGATTACCAATATAGATGGATTGTAAGCTCGTTTGAACAGGGCTGTTGTCCCCTCCTCTTGGTTAATTTTTGCATGTCAATTGCATGTTCTCAAATATCCCTATTCTATAATTGTAAAGTGTTGAGGAACATGTTGGTGCTATATAAATAATATTATTATTATTATTATTATTATTATTATTAATACTACAGCACATTGTAACCGGTAAACCTAGAGGTATTTATTCAGCCATAATGCATAGAGTGAGACATCAGAAAACAGTATCATGGCTGTTTGTGAGGGATTATGGGGCAGCATGCTGTACAAACCAAGACGAGCATTTCAAGTAAGTACATAATCAGCTATTTACACACTCTATAGATGAAAAAGTAAGTATTACATAAGTATAGGAGATCCCTTTAATGAAACACCAACAAAATATTTATATGCACGTTATAAAGATTTTATCTTTATTAAACGTAAATTGTTTAGGTGACAGGTCTGCTTCCAAAACCATTGGAGATCGACAGTACCCATGGCTTGAGTCAATATAGCAAAATGAAAATAAATACCAAAGTAATGAAATACAGTGGGACCTCGGTTTACGAATTTAATGCGTTCTCCGGGACGTCTCATATTGTGAGAAATTTGTAAACCGAAACGCGGTTTCCCATAAAAATGCACTGAAAACCAATGAATCCGTTCTGGAGGTCAGAAAAAAGTCAAAATAATCTGGCATGGAAACCAACCCACAATGCAGAACACACAGTAAAAGGCATGCAAACAACAAAGCTCAGCTCACTACCTTTCCACAGCTTGAGAAATGCACCAAAATGTCCCAAAACCCCTGCAAACAATTTCCAGAATGGCTCCAAAACTCGATGCAAAAGCCGCACCAACACCTCCACACTTGAGCCACATGCTTTGTAAGCCAAAAATTATGTTAACCGAGGCATTTGTAAGCCGAAGTCCCACTGTACTCTAAAGTTGCAAAAAATTTAATATAAATAAAATATTGTAGTATTTACAGAATAGACACAAAAGTGACAAAAAAACTACTTAGGAGTGAGTAATGTCTGGGGAAAACATGAAACAATTAGTTAGACTTGAAAAACAGGATCAGTTTTGTCAATTGTAATGGGCTTGGACGGGCTTGGACGTTTACAAATATCACAAATTCAGAGTAAAACAGTAGAGCAAAGCTATGATAATGTTTGAAACTGTATAGAACAACTAATTCCAATGGGCTCCAGTACTGAATTTAGGATTGAAGTTACTTGTACACACTAAGAAAAAGCAGTGCACTGCAGAACGTAGAAGGCATAAACTGAAGAACAGAAATCCATTAAATCACAATCAAGCTATTTGCCAGAATGTGCCAACCAGAAACCATTTTTTCATTTTGTGTTCTGAAACATAATGTGTGAATGTATTTTTCATTTCAGTATGCACATATAAGAAAGTCTGGCCTAAACATGAGAGAGTTGGTCTCATTAAACACAGATAGACCATCTCTCAGTGTCTGGTGCATGGACACATGCTAACACACTCATACTTATAGAGCTGCTTCTGTGAGTAAAATATATAACCGTGGTGAATATAGGGAGCTAGTCTATCCTTATTCAGCTCTCAGAGCAACCTCCACGACATTAGGGTGCAATTTGCAAACTAAATTAACTTACTGTAAACTAATGTAATATACAATAGTGTATAATGGGTATTTGGGGGTATGGGGAGCATGTTTGAAATCCTGGATACAAGATTCATGTAATGAGGAGGTTTAGGCATGAAATCCAATAAGCAATTTCATTTACTCCTTCACATATAAAATGCCACAATCAACACAGCTGCATTTTTCATATGACACCCCTTTGCCAAGAAGAAATTATGTATATCCAGGTTAATATGGTGGATTTGGCAACTATAACATTGTTATTCAGTAAAGTGATAACTCAAGGTGAATTTCAAATGTAAGGCCAGAGAAGCCAAACTGGAAGTATAGTTGACATTAGAGATGATGTTCCATTTTGGCTACTTGTACCTTGCATTTTAAATCCACCTAAAGCAGCCCTGTCATGCCCCCCTCCAAGAAAAATGATTACTTCATAAATATAGAATATTTATGAAATACTCAATTCAGTCAAGATATACAAAGGCAAAGTAGGGGACTTTCTTAGACTCAGTAATCCCGATAACTCTTCCTAGTGACGGCCGCAGCAAATTGGCTGTGTCTATAAAGGATCCCGCAAGAGTACAGCAGTGATGTCTGAGCAGACCGAACAAGATGGCCGCACCCGCGAGGGACAGTCAGGTAAGCAAATCTCACCCTTAGCAGCCCCTCCCCAGTCACTGGACCCCAATCGGCAATGTCACCGTTGAGGGTCTTTGCAAATTTGGCAAAGTCCCCAGACGCTGCCAATGCAACTTTAAGTTCTCACTATAGGAAATAACCCTGATAGTGTAAGGCACGGCACCTACTGACAAACCTTGTCGAAATAGGACTTGTAGCCTTCATTATGCTGCATATAGAGGCAAGCTAGAAAGGAAAGAAATTGAAAGGTCTGTATGGTATTGGCACACTGAGTTTAATGACCTAAAACCAGAAAGCCTAACTGGTCAAGTTAGCTTACAAAGACTGAAGAAGGCAAAGACTGCACTGGTTTACTAGCTACTAATTTGCCATAATAACATAGTTAGCAGTTGGGGCTTATTATCAGAGGACAATTGTGGTGGCTGTTCTCAAAGTGGAGCAATCACATTGGAAGCAATGCATGCTTTTCTGAATATTTCATCACTCGGTCCTGTAAAGAAATAAAAACACACAGTTTTGCCAAGTAATATAATTTGTTCTATAGCAAAATCGTAATTCTGCTTTAGGTGATTCATCAGTAATGAATACGACGCTCTCAGGCATTTATGTACTAATTGATGACACACGTGATCTTTTGAATATTACACAAGCTGCACCAGAAAAAAAAAAAAAGTGAATTGTGGGCACTCCCAGAACATGCATTTCTAAGTAGTGGTACTGCCGTAATGACCAATTTATATACAAAATACAGTTAAAGGAACAGCACACACAAAATCAAAAATACAGTTTTAAATTATATAACACAATTTAAAATCCCCTATCTTAGCACACAAATGGGGATTCAGTTACACCATACCGCCATATTGTGTTAAGCCCACCATACATCACAGTACCCTAATATCCACAGGCTGCACCAGACCATATCAGAAGGAAGCCAGAGAAGTACAAAAAGTGAAGAAAAAAAAAAAAAATTATATATATATATATATATATATATATATATATATATATATATATATATATATATATATATACACACACACACACATATACATACACGCGCAAATACCTACAAAACAATGTTTTACTCAATGAAATGTGAAAAAAACAGACAACAATTTTATGCTAAAATAGCCTACTCAAGAAGAATCCGCACAGGTTACCACTAACCCACAACTCATTGATTAGTTAAGTTGTGCGAGTTTGAGGCAGTTCCTTCACTCGTGCATCAGCATGTATTAAAAGAAACACTTCAATTGGTTCTGGTGCCAGTTGTATTCCTGACACTATAGTCCTGAAATGGCTGTTTAGTTGATCGGTTCCTCACAGTAAAAAGATGACTTTTCCATGGCTAATATCACCAATGAAAATGGGTGAGTGTGTGTGTGTGTGTGTGTGTTCATGTCTGTAGTTTGTGTGCGGGTAAGACTAGAGACTTAGTGTGTGTGTGGCAGGACCAGAGGCTGTAGTGTCTGTTGGGGCAAATGGAGTCTGTAAGGGAGGGAGCGAATAGTGTCCATAATGTGTGTGTGTTTGGGAATAGGGGTTGTAGTGTGTATGGGGAGCAAATAGTGTCCATAGTGTGTGCGTGTTTGTGAATAGGGGTTGTTGTGTGTTGGCAGCAAACAGTAGCGGTAGTATGTGGAGAGGAGGGAATAGGGACTTAGTGTGTATGGGGGAATAAGGGCTGCAATGTGTGTGTACATGGGAACAAGAGCTAGAGTGTAAGGGAGGCGAAAAGAGGCTGTAGCATGCAAACACATGAATACTCAAACTCCCGAACAGGAAACACACGAATTCACCAATTTTCGAACACACAAATGCTGTTAAACGGCCGAACAGGAAAAACCATACGAACAGCTTACACTCCTGGCAGTCACACTGTAACAGCCTACAATCCAATTCCCCCAATAACGAGACGACACTTCGTTTGAGGGTCAAGCAGAACTAGATTTACTGGGGCTACCTGCCTGGCTTTTATGCAGGTCTCCCACCTGGTGGACACTCCCCTAGGGGCCAGATGGAAGACATATTGGACATTGACCAATCACAAGCTTACAATCCCACAATGCATCACAATCCCTCCTCTCTGTCCTGGAGATAATTGGGAAGTAATCCAATTATCTCCAAGGACAGGGGCAAAACTCCATTAACCACATGGCAGACTGTGGCGGAACCAACCTCGCCACTGTGCACTGGAGGAGCCTGGTTGCCTGCCTCCTGCCTTTTGACTATGGACTGGCATTTAAAGACTTTATTTTCCTATGCAGAAAGGTCTATTCATGTATTTCTGCCCTGGTGTTCGTTAGATTCTCTGATTTACTAAATGAACTCATTTAACCCAGATAGCTATGCCATGGAGCCTATTCGTGTAATAAAAGACTTTGGCTCCATGGCAATTGAACTGTATGTGTGTGGTCTGATCGCCATTCAGTAATAATGTGCGCTCAGACCCAAGCTATCTGGGGATATGTTGCAGTATGTATTTTTATGTCTTTTATTGTCCTTTGTCTGCCATGTGGCTAATGGAGTTTTGCCTCTGTCCTTGGAGATAACTGGATTACTTCCCAATTATCTCCAGGATAGAAGACTCTGTGGAACTGGTTTTGGGCAGAAAAGCCATGCTTCATTTGGTCAAATAGGACTTTCCCTTAACTTTTTAACCCCTGGATGGAATTGGCTGAATTTTGGTTATGTTTATATTTAAAGTATGCTGATTTTGAATATGTATGTTTTATGTGAATATGATGCATATTTTTAAAGTTACAGTGTATGTATAAAAAGTGTATTTTTCCTGCCTGTGATAAATTACATTAACCTATTGTGTTCAGTAATTATATCACAGGCAGAGGGGAGGGATGTATGTTTGTGCTGGGTGTGTTTTACGATTCTCCTGTAAATGATTGGTTGTACTGTGTCCCACCCTGTGGGATGTCCCCTTGCATGGGGACTTGCATAAAAGCCAGTGTGTGGCCATTACAGTACAGTTCCTGCTTAACCCTCAAAGTGAAGTGTCGTCTCATTATTGGGGGAGGATTTATTGTATGCTGTTCCAGTTTGACTGCTAGGAGTAAACCTATTCGCATGGATTTTCCTATTCGGCTGTATACAACATTCATATGCTTAAAAGTACTCATATGCTTCTCCGGTTCGGTGATTGTGGTGTCTGCCAGAGTGCTTGGAGTCCTCAGGAAACGCTAGGAGCATCCTTTAACTGAGGTACCCAGTCGGGGTGCCAGGTGATCCGTTACACAGACAAAGGACGATAAAAGACATAAAATTACATACTGTTACAGTTATCACATAGAACATACACATTCTACCTATCCCCAGATAGCTTAGATCTGAGAGCACATTATTACCGGATGGCGTTCAGATCACATACATACAGTTCAATCGCCATGGAGCCAAAGTCTTTCATACAGTCTTTCAGTATACGGCTGGGCTCCATGGCATAGCTATCTGGGGTAGCATGGTTTAAACAGTAAAGTACCGAATGGACCAGTGTTCGGATAATTGACTGCAGGTAGGAGAAGGGAGGTCGGCGGCTCAGCGTTGTTTGTGACTTTAACAGTCTGCAGAAAGGCATGAACCAGCCTTTCTGCAGGGAAAAAGAACAGTGTTAAACATGGGGCCATAGTCTAAAGGGAGCAGGCGAGCAACCAGGCTCCTCCAGTAGCCAGTGGCGAGGTTGGTTCCGCCATACCAGTCTCCCGCGGCTGGTCCCATCTGTATGGCTGAGATAATCACAATTGATGATCTCTGACAATCCGATTCTTTCCTATAAGAAGGAACTGAGAAGCTACTGTGCATGCGCTGCAAAACTGCGCCAATCAGCATCTCCTCATAGAGGAGAGTGTAGGCGCTGAATCTAGATGCTGGATACTGTGCAGCACTGAGATAGGAAGCACTTTAGTTGTGGTCTGAGTGACTGCCACTAGAGGTATCACTACGCAGAAATGTAAACACTGCCTTTTCTCTGAAAAGTTAGTGTTTACATTGTAAAGCTTGCACGGACAGGCTATAGACACCAGTACCACTACTGTAAACTGCAGTGGTCCTGAGGACTATAGTGTCTCTGAGAATTTAATTTTTGTTGTTGAAAATAAAGATTTGTAAGTTTAAAAAAACCTGGTTCCTAAGTTTTTTAGCTGGCTCCTAGATTCAAAGCAAATTTGTCAGGCCCTGATATATATATGTATGTATCCATACTTATATATGGATGTGGGCAAGTTAAACCTCTCCATGCGGTGTACCAGATAGTGGCCCACATGACAAAGTCCTGACTAGAGGTTGGAAAAGGCAGAACTGAATGACAGCACTGAGGCATTAATCCTAGCAGTTTAGGAACAGGCACCCAGCACCAGATCAATAAAAGCAAGACTCTACCACACCAGGCAAGACCCAGGGTACAGACTGTGCAAATGGGCCTCTGAGACAATCTAGCACATAGTTGCCGATTACAAGATGTTAGCAGGAACAGCATACACTGAGAGGTACAACCAAGTTGCTGGGATTGTATCCCGAAACATTCGCACAGAATATGGGCTGGACATGCCTAAGTCCAGATGGGAGATACCACAATGGGTAGTTGACAAGGCCAAAATCCCGTTGGACTTCCAGATCCAAATGGACAAGCAACCATGGACAACCTAACCATCTTGACATTGTGGTGGTAGGCAAGGAAGAGAAAACTGCAGTAGTGGTTAATGTGGCAATACCCAGTGATCAGGAAGAAGTAACACGAGAAGCTGGACAAATACAAAGGACTGAAAGAAGAGCTAGAAAGAATGTGGAAAGTAAATTCAGTAGTAGTCCCAGTTGTGATAGGAGCACTCTGGCTGTGACTCCCAAGTTGGGGGAGTTGCCTCAACAGATTCCAGCTGGGACATCTGATATTGCTGTCCAGAAGAGTGCAGTTCTGCACAGAATCCTCAGACTCCCAGGCCTCTGGTAGAGGACCCAAGAATGCACTCAAAAAAATAAATAAATTAATAGCTTTTACCTTAAAGGAACACTATAGTCACCTAAATTACTTTAGCTAAATAAAGCAGTTTTAGTGTATAGATCATTCCCCTGCAATTTCACTGCTCAATTCACTGTCATTTAGGAGTTAACTCACTTTGTTTCTGTTTATGCAGCCCTAGCCACACCTCCCCTGGCTATGATTGACAGAGCCTGCATGAAACAAAAAAAAAATAAAACTGGTTTCACTTTCAAACATGTAATTTACCTTAAATAATTGTATCTCAATCTCTAAATTGAACTTTAAATCACATACAGAGGGCTCTTGCAGGGTCTAGCAAGCTATTAATATAGCATGGGATAAGAAAATCTTAATTAAACAGAACTTTCAATAAAGAAAGCCTAAATAGGGCTCTCTGTACAGGACGTGTTTCACGAAGGCTGTGCAAGTCACATGCAGGGAGGTGTGACTAGGGTTCATAAACAAAGGGATTTAACTCCTAAATGGCAGAGGATTGAGCAGTGAGGCTGCAGGGGCATGTTCTATACACCAAAACTGCTTCATTAAGCTGTTGTTCAGGTGACTATAGTGTCCCTTTAAAGGGACTCTCCAGTGCCAGGAAAACATATCCATTTTCTTGGCACTGCAGGACCCTACAATGCCCCTCTCCCCTCCCATCCTTCAGTGACTTACCTGAATCCAGCACCGTTGTCCCTCGGCGCTGGGTCAAACTCCACCCACGCTCTTCCCCCGCCGCCATCAGCTGTCGAGGGAGACCTAATGCGCATACACAGTAATGGCCGCGTGGACATTAGACCTCCCCATACAAAATCATTATTTAAATGCTTTCCTATGGGGATTCCAGCGACGCAGGAGGCCCTCATGCATAGCCTGAGGACGTCCAGCGTCGTTTAAAACACTTTTTGTGTTCTAAGAACATGGAAGTCTATCTTGTAGCTGTCTGATAGACAGCCACTAGAGGATAACTTAACCCTGCAAGGTAATTATTGCAGTTTAGAAAAAAATCTGCAATAATTACACTTGCAGGGTTAAGGGTGGTGGGAGTTGGCACCCAGACCATTACAATGGGCAGAAGTGTTCTGGGTGCCTGAAGTGTCCATTTAAATAGTTGAAAACACCCAATCCCTATCTAGTAATTATTCCCAGAACCGTAAGATACTTGACAACTTTTATTTTTGGGATCTATTTTAGAAACAAGATTGAAAAACCATCAAAAAGCTTTCTATAGTTATTCCAGGACACAGTTAAGCAGCTAATTCAAGCAGAGAGCCCACGTGAACAGTAGCTTCTTTGTTACTGATGCCTGCACAATATTACAAATACCAAACCCAGACATTTATTTAAAGGCACACAAAGCACCTCTACAGCTCATTATAGAGCAGTGTTCCCCTCTAGGTTTTAAGCAGTTTGACAAAAACTGGGGTTCTCCCAACACCTACAGCCACGCAACTCTGCTAAACAAGATCCACATTAAAACATTCAGCATTGGGCAGCAATTAAAGACAGAGCAACAGGTGCCCTCAGTCAGTGCTCACTGACTCACAAAGCAGCAAATACAAAAACTAGAAGGCACTACTGTTCATTTAACTGAATTGTATCAATACAATTTATGTTCACGTGGAAAGGAATACCTAACTTGAGGAACAAACCACGTTATAATTTAAGAGAACTGGTGAGGACTACAAAAGTGACACACAGTCACGTTCACACTTTGTAATACTTGTTGTGCAAGGCATGCACAGTTTCAGTCTTCCTTCAAGGGACAATGCGAGCATTTTCACCAACTATGAGTCTTGCATACCATTTGTGATAAACAGCTCACTTAACCTTCTCTACTTTCATCCTGCTCATTATAACTTTAGCACCTGAGGTGCAGCCGTACACCTTCCACATACACTCAGATCTCCATAATGTGAAATCTCTGAGGGAAGTGATTCCTCCAGGCCACATAAGTTGTACATAACCTTCGAGGACCCTCTCACAGTTTCCATGTCTTTAACATGCACAATTGTAAGTAGCTGTGTTCATCTAAACAAGAACTAACTTTCTTAAAGATAATAACCCCAAAAGTTATTTAATTATATTGCACAGTTGATAGGTTACATTATTAGAAGGCAACAAGAAGTATTTCATTAAAAACAAACATTCTACACTGCTAAAATACCAGAAATGAAAAACATGTTTTCAAGAAAGTAACTCATTCATCAAAAAAAAGCACCCGCATGCAGGAAAATGTTCTATACTTCTTTGGTGCTTACACTATGAATTTACCGGATTTGTTTTTCCTTCAAATTTTGAGGGGCCTGCCTTTAGCAAGCCAAATGTTGTGGACTATATTTTGCGAGAGGTTCAGCTAGTCTAATGGATTTATCTCATGTAAACCCTCCACCAGGAGTCACAGAAGTCTGCCATCACATTTCTAAAGATAACAACACATAACTTAAGCTTGCGAGACGTAAAGGGCAAGAAGATAATTTCCTTTTTGATAAAATGTAAACAAATACATTTATATTATTTTAAATATTAGCATGATATCAGGATATAAATAAAGATAGGTAACCAAACATTAGCGTATATATGCTTACAACATATGTTTCCCATAAAGCTAAGCCAACACAATGTATACATGGTATGGTGACAAATATCTGGGGTGTTTCTTGTAATCACTGCTGCATTCTAGAATGATACTTTTGAGGCAATGTGTTTAATTTATTATACAAATATACAAAGTTAAGGAAATTAAACACTGATTGACTGAAAGGGGGTATATGTGAGATTTGCTGGCCAGCTCACCTGCTGTGACAAGCCTTAAGGGACTCGATCTGCCTCTGTTTTTGTTGTTGCAGGCTGGTTAGGGGGGCCAGGGGTCTGTTGCCTTTAGAGGAGAAGAGCCAGCTCATCCTACCGGTAATCTCAGCTCACTGCCCGCAGTGCAAAGAGGATGAGGCGGCTGCTGCTGTTGTTATGAGGCTGGGTGGGGGCAGATTAGCAGGAGAGGGCTTCTCTTCCTCACATTCACAGGGGATCAGTGTCATTGGCACATCACCACCACAACCACCACCACAGCTGGGGCCCCAGGACCGTCCACCCTGTGACAATGCAGACTGACTGTCAGTGTCTCTGGGGAGTCATGGGACATGTGACCTGACCATAAACACACAGTGACATGAGCCAGGCACACTACACTCAGCCAGCACCGTGTCAGACACTGCACACTGCGGGCACAGCACTAGGGAGACCAGCAGCTTGGCATTCACATTCACTCCGCGCTCTCTCTCTCCACTATCAGGTCGCGCCGTATGACGTAGTGGACAGCAGCAGCAAGAGTAGGAGGAGGGGGCGTGGCTTCCGAGGTAAGTCCGGCCCACACTCTTGCCCCTTTGCCGCGACGTCATCACCCCGCGCCGGGAAGCGGTGGTTTTACCTGTTGCGTAGGGTGTAGCCCCTACTGGGCTGGCGCGTCGCTCCGATGTGACGTGTCGGCCCGCCCTGGGATATGGTCGGTGTGACTTCATAGACCGAGGCTGTGACGCTGGGACAGGAGCGAAGAGCTGGGGGTAAGGAGGTCTCTCACTGCGAGCACTGCCACCATGTGTGTACACCCTGCTGCCCTCAGTCACCATCCACACCCAGGGGGTGATCATTATGATATCACTGGGACTGGCTGCTTCCAGGATCACACCCCTTTATTATCAGAGATAAACATACTCCATGGGGGGGGGTTATTGATTAAAGTTTTAGCACTTTTTACTCAGTGGCAGGTATCTGATCTGTAGATATATCAGACTGGGATTGAGGGAAGCTTTATCATAAAATAGATCTGCCATAAACCAAACCTGACTCCTGGTCCTGTCAAGCCTTTCAATGAATAGTTAGACGGCTTTGCAAACCTGGTATTGAAATATAGTGTATTTTATTATTTGGAGTTAGTTATTTTGCTTATTGTGCCCCATTAAAGGACCACTATAGGCACTCAGATCACTTCAGCTCGATGAAGTGGTCTGGATGCCAGGTTTTATCCCTGCAGCTGTAAAGCTGAAAATATAGAAACTGCTATGTTTACATTGCAGGGTTAATCCAGCCTCTAGACAGCCACAGAAGGCTGCTTCCGTGATTCTCAGTCTGAAAGTCGCATTAAACTCATGCAGCGTGAGTTCAGATCCCCATAGGAAAGCATTGCGTAAGCATTGCGTAATGCTTTCCTATGGGCAGTTTGAATACGCATGGCTCTGGCCGTGCATGCGCATTCGGCTCCACTCGAGAGCTGACGTCGGGAGAGGGAACCTGGCGCTGGATTAAAGTAAGTGACTGACTGAAGGGGTTTTAACACTTAGGGGGGGGGAGGGAACCTAATAACTCTATAGTGCTAGGAAAACTAGTTTGTTTTCCTGGCACTATAGTGCTCATTTAATCACACCTGAACGAAACGGCAAATAATATACGCTAAAATACACTTTTACCGATATATGTAATTGCAGCACTTTATGGAGCACTTTATATATCAGTAATTTTTTATGCTTTACGTCTCGTATGCAGTTACAGACTGGTATCCTCTTATTTTGTATTTTACATGCAACATTTGGGGTCATCAGAACGTCTTTAGAAATTCTTCTATAGCAAGCTTTACAAAGAACTTTGACTACCAAATGTGTTATGACTCTATTGGGTATACACGCAAACACGCTATGCCACAGTGTTGTTGCAGTATTGCACAATACGCCCTAGGAATTGTGGGAACAAATCTACATTTGATTTTTATATCTGAGCCACAAGAAAAAAGCAATAATCTAGGTGGTGGGTGTTTCACTAGCACAATGTATAGATGCATTTTTAATTCTTAAAGCATTGTCATATTATGTATTCACTATTTGTGGATAACTTGTCCACGATGAGTGACAACATACTGTCAGTGGTGGAGACGTACTGGATACCGCACTCACCAAATAACCTAGGTGCTCTGAAGCCTGAGCTGGCCAGGCCTCCCTTGCAAAATATTCAGAATAAAGAACGGTTCAGGCACTCTGGGATAACAAATGGCATTTATTGTGGCAAAAGCAGCAATGTTTGACTGCTAGAGTCGAAACGTTGCTGCTTTTGCCCCAATAAAGGTGCTGTTTTTGTTATCCCAGAGTGCCTGAACTGTTGTTTATTCAACATACTGTCAGTGGACTTCCTGTCAGCCATATGATGCTGCCAGTGAACCTGCAAGTGCACATTTTAGCTCATACCACTGGGAGTGTATTGAGAACATCGTAAGAGATTATGTGGCCTGTTGTGCAGTAGAAAAGGCTGTCTTTCCTTGATGAAGATAGCCTATTGTCGCACTTCATAAACCATTGCTGTAGTTTATTCATTTAAAACAAGGGTTGACAATATCAGAATAACTTTATTGAAAACATCCATGTCAGTTTCATTTTCACTTCTCCATGATTTCATAATTTGAATAAACCAAACCATGATAACTTTACAATTTATGGTGTGAGCCGTGGCGAGTTTTATTTGGTTCTTGTTTATATTACACCTATTGACTGCTAGCCGCACCCATGAAGGTGATTTCTCTACATATTCTTATTGCAGAGAAACCCAGCTGAAATCCAGGTAGAGATGATTGCCTTTAACACGCTCAGTGTGAACTTTACCTCATAGCCCCATGATGTTTGTTTATTTTTTTTAGATTTTCCTCTTTTTCATCATCTGGATACCTTTCTTCATCGTACAAGTAGGAGCAAATATTTTTTTCCAATGTATGCTTGGACCGAAAAAGATATTTAGTAATTCATTCCCCATGATGATCAACCAGCTGTTGCTGAGCATTGAGATAGACCATTTTGAAGCACATGTGAGCATAAGGAAAGTCAGGTGTGTGCATAGAATGGCAATCTGTGACACAGCTGCATCTGTCTCATACTTTGAAACAAGAATGTTTAATACCTTGACCTGCAGCTTTCCACGGGATAATTATTTATGTTTTTGTATTCAGTGCATACAAAAAAGGTTGGATAGTTCATAGCCTTAATTCTGAAAGACATTTGTGGTCCTAATAGTTGGTAATAAACTAGTACAGTGGTACACGTTTGCATAAATATTTGATTTTTTCACCCCCCCAAAAAACAATCACTTCATAACACATTGACTTTAACCTATAGTACACTGACCGCATTACTGGGGGAGAGAAGTATATAGAGCCCAAATAAAAGGTATTTTTCTAGCTGTTGTTGCTTTGCCAGCCTTAAAGAAGTACTCCATGCACGACAAACACAACATATTGTAGTGTGCTTTAGGACTGAGAGAGAAAAATAAGCATAGTAACAAAAAAAAAAATAAAGCTAGATTTTCGTTTACCACGCTTGGAGAAATTTCTTCGCTCAAAAATGACGAACTCGTTATATTTATTAATTATTAGTTTAGCCACATCACGTCATAAGAAAAACCTAACATTTATAAAGCTTCCTAAGTGTCAAAAACAGTTATGCTTGTTACTACATTTTTGCGATAAACTATAATCAGTCTTGAATCTTGATCAGTATTTCTTCCTTGGCTGTAAAATCATCAAAACAATAAACCTAATTTTTTTATTTTTTTTTAAAACAAAGAGTACATTTATTTGGCTTTCACTATAAGGGTTTAATTGAACTTTCTAGAGCTGGCAAAGCAGGCTGTTTTTTGCATTCAGTGTTGGTTTGTGTTTGTCATAGATCACTCAACACCCGTCTACACTGACCAGCCGCACCATTATAAGCACCTAACTAATATTGTGTAGGCCCCCTCGTGCAGCCAAAACAGCTCACTTCATATGCATGGACTCCAGAAGACTTCTGAACGTGTCCTTTGGTTACTGGCATTACCAGCATAGTCTTAAAGTCCTGCAAAGTGCAAGATGGGGCCTCCATGGATCAGATTTGTTATTTCAACACATCCCACAGATGCTCAAATGGATTGAAATCTGGGGAATTTGGAGGCCAAGGCAGCACCTTGAACTCTGTCCTGTTCCTCAAACCATTCCTGAACAATTTTTGCAGGGTGCATTATCCTGCTGAAAGAGGCCACTTCCATCAGGGAACACCATTGCCATGAAGACCTATATGAAGTCTGCAACAATCTCTAGGTACATGTCAAAGTAGCATCCATATAACACTGATCCTCCACCTTAACTCTCCCTGCAGGTTGACGGTACCTGCCTCACCCCATCCTTTCAAGCTTGCTGTCTTGGTGTCATTTTTAATCCCAGCCTCACCTTTGCGACTCATATCCAGTCTGTTGTTAAAACCTGTCTATTCCAGCTTAAAAACATTGCCCGCATGCGCCCCTTTCTTACGCAAGATGTTGCCAAGGAGCTTGTTCATGCTCGAGTGATCTCTCGCATGGATTACTGTAATTCCCTCCTAATCGGTCTCCCCAGAAGCCGTACTGCCTCCCTACAATCTGTGATGAATGCTGATCTTTCTCTCCTGTCGCTCCTCTCACCCCTCTGTCAATCCTTACACTGGCTTCCTGTACCCTACAGGTGTCAATTTAAAATACTAACCCTTACCTATAAAGCCTTAACCAACTCTAGCCCCTCTTACATTTCTTCACTGATTCATAGGTATGCACCCTCTCTCTGCTCTGCTGGTGACCTTCTCCTGTCTGCTGCTCGCAGCCTTACTGCATATTCACACCTGCAAGACTTCTCATGGGTTGCTCCTTTCCTTTGGAACAGCCTGCTTCCCCTGTCAGACTCTCCCCTAGTCTTCAATCCTTTATGAAGTCCCTCAAAACCCATCTTTTCAGAATTGCTTATGGCCTCCAAGAGTAACTTCTCTCTCTCAAACCTTCCTTTTGCTCTCTCTTAAAGGGCCACACTCCACTCTCACCTCCAGTTCTGCAATTTTCCCACCATGTATATTTGCTGTCTCCCTCAATACTCTTCCTATTGTGTTTTTATACCCCACCTCCTCTAGATTGTAAGCTCGTTTGAGCAGGGTTCTCAACTACCTATTGTTCCTGTTATATTATGTTTTTGTCTCATTTGGTAAATTCCCCTCTTATTGTAAAGCGCTGTGGAATAAGCTGACGTTACATAAATATTAACCAATAATAATATGGATGCTACTTTGCATTCTGCTACCGTTGCTTTCACAGGTAAACTATATACACGCTCCAGCCATCCACCTATTTAAAAAAAAAAAAAAAAGAAAACCAGATTTGTCAGACCAGGTAACTTTATTCCATTACTCAATGGTCCAGTTCTGATACTTGCAAGGTGTTTTTCGCTGGCGACTGGACAAATCCAGGTGCTATTTGGACAACTTGGGCACTCAGACTAGAGCTATCCATGGATGTATGACATGTGGTGTTACTGTGGGTTCTAATTGTATTTTTTGGGGGGTGTTTTTCGTATGTTTCTATGTTCGGCTCTCTGTATCCGTAAGATAATTAACTTACCGGCCCTTGACTCTCTAATTTCCCAGACACAGAGGTGCATAGGTGGGATCACTGTGTAGAGAAGGGAGACCCCATGTTGGGGGTCTGGGCATAAATGGCTGCATTCACTGAATGAAACCCCATTGGCTTTTGATCATGCTTATACTTTACAACAGCGGTTACCATGAACACTGCAGTCCTAATGCTAGCCTTGTCTCCTTCAATGCCTACAGCATTGGAGAACCAATAAACATTCACGTCTTCAGAATTTGTAGCATGAGGTTCAACAGAATGCTCAAATATCTAGAAACACCAAAATTTGATCTATGTGAAGCTTTGTCTACTATGGAAGCAAGTGCAATATTAGACTCTTAAAGGGATATTTACCACATACAAAACAAGAGGATGACACATCCTCTTCAGGTAGATATTCATTTGTTACACATTGTGATGGCAATATCACCTGCAAGTGTTTAGATTAAAATGATATATTTAAATAGTCTTTCACCTCCAAGATGGCACAGAAAAAAGTTGTGGATATGCAGCCACTCTCCCTCAAATGTTTTGCGCAGCAACCCATAATGCATGCCATGTGCATTTTTCTTAATGCAGATGAATGTATGCAGCTGCATTCTTTATTATTTATTTATTTGCCTGGTTGCAATGACAATGCATACAGTGCAATCAGAATAATGTAACATTTGCCATATTTTTACATAATCGTTTGCAATATGAAAGTTAGAGGAACACTATAGTCAACAACATAACCTTAGCTTAATTAAGCAGTCTTGTTGTATAGGCAATTCTTCTGAAGTCTCACTACTCTATTCTGTTATTTTGGTGATTGTAGGCAAGCGTCGCGGTATTAGTGCAGCTGCATGTTTGCTATCTTAGCAATTCATCATTGAAATGGCACAGTTAATTATTTACTATCTATAGGTTTGCTATTTGCTTGACTGAAAAATAACATTTTAAATTTAAAAAAAAAAATAGAATTTGAAAATAGAACTTTCTTGCATGTCCCTTTAAATTCCAAGAGGACAATCATACATTCTTGAAACAATCAGAAATCCATAATTATTAGAATATTGATACTCATCAGCCTTTTAACGCACCTATGTACATTCTTACAAATAGATCCGGTTAGATTGTTGTGTGTAATGCACTAATGGCTCTTGTTCAGTTATACACAGAATGATTTAAATTGAAACAGAAATAGGTTGCGCCTAAAATAATTTAGTGTTAAAATAAGAAAGATCCCAAATAATAGATAATAATAAGATTAAAAAAATAACAAAGCAGTAAAAGACAAAATAAGTCTCCAATAATTGAAAACCATAAGACAAAACAAAAAAAAACAACTTCAAACTTAGACAGCAAATACTAAAATTGAGACCTTGTTTCAGTGGCTTTCTTGCTGGGATCTGGACGTTGCTGCTTCTCCAGCTTGTTAAATCATAAAAAGTAGAAACTCCATTAGTGTAGTATGCCACAAACTAATAAATAATATAAAAGTCACAATGGATCTACTCTCTTATTATGGAGCTAATATAAGATCTTGTGTGATGCGCATTCAGTGGTGGTTATCCCCTACTGGTAGGATTTTGGTGGCAATGCTTCCAAAAGGTGTCTCCAGAGTGAGGTGTCCCAAAAGGAAAAAAAAAATATGAGGAGAAATAGTGCTTTCTGGATAAACCAGTTAAAAAAGACGATAATATAAAAGGTCTTTTATACTCACATTTAATTGAGCAGGTATTACTGCTCAATTATCAAAATGTGGGTGGTATAATCCCCACCTGGAATTCTTTGGGGAGTACTTATCCGGAGATTTAGATAGGTGACCAGGTTAAAAGAAAAAGGCATATGGCACAGAAAGGTAAAATAGTCAATATTCCTTTAATAGTACAGTGATAATAAAATACACAGAATTATTGTATTACACTATTGTGCACATGTACTTTTCTAGTTGGATAAAATAATTTTCATTCTTACAACAGCTTCACAGGATACTGTGCAGACCATCACCTATGAAATTCTTCCATAGTCGGGTGCAAAATTTTGATGCCTACCTCTGAGTCCCTCCCCAAGTGCCACTATGCCAGCCGCAACAGTGGACCACAGCCAGCGGATTTGCGAGGTTTGGGCCTGCAACCTGGATGAACAGATGAGAAGAATACGCCAAGTTATACGCAAGTATAATTATGTTGCAATGGTATGTTAAGGGATTTTGTTCAGCTGAACTGATTCCTTTAAAAGTGTAGGTTGTGTTTTTGAATTCATTGTAAATGTGATTTTGTGTATGTATTTACTTTGAAAGATTCAAATCTAAACCTACACTCTGCCCAGTTATTTTATTTGGATTGTAAGAAATTAAGAGGTGTATTTTACCCGGCAATGAACTGAAAACCAGATTGCAGAGCAAGTTGTAACATTAAGCAGTTGAGCTATTTTGTTTAGTTGTGTTGTTGTGATTTAGAGAAGCAAATCCTGGAACTTTCAGCACAATCAATGTGTCAGGGCTATCACAATAAGACATTTAACTTACCTCTTCTACTAAAGTGGCATATGTACAACATTTAGATTCAATTTCAACCTTTGGCCACTAAATGCCAATAAAATAACTATACAGTTAAAGCAATCTCGAAATAAAACAAGATTAAAAGTCTATTGGGGGGGTGGGTTAGACAAAGATTAGCTCTACTTACCTGAACCCATCCTTCGTGGGCATCTTCTTCTGGCAGAACCTCTTCAGCACCCGGAACCAATGTCACGCTGTACTCTCGCATGTGCGTGATAGTATAGTATTGAGGTCAACGCTGGATCCCGTGGGATACTCCATTGATGAAGACAATTCCCTGCAGCTGTCACTGGTGACGGATGGGGGACTGATACTTCTAGATAGCGGTAGCTCCGCCCAGTGTCTAGAAGTGTCAGGCGTAGGAAATATAAAAAAATATAGTCCAAGTGAAATTCAAACACCGTCAGTATCAGTATTTCATAGAAAGGGCTGGGGGATGACTGTGCCACTTACGTTTACTAGCCATCACAGACAAAAAAAAGCCACATATACAGTTTTTATACAAAGTAGACCTCACAGAGTATTTTGACAGTTATGTAGTGCTGTCAATCTGTTAGAAAAAAAGTTGTGACATTGTGTTTCCTGTGTTTTTTTTTTTTTTCGTCCTTGCACATAACAAGGTTGTTTTATTTATTCATTTTTTTTTTTTTTTTTATTGGAAATTATGCAGTGTCAGTATTACATTTCTGAGTACCCTAGATGACAGATTTAATTTAAATCAGATTAAAAGACTGAAAGTGGGGACCCTATGAGGGAGACGCCAAAGAAGCTGTTGTGAAAAAATAACACACCTAGCAGAGTTTGTTTAATGTTTGTATACCTACTGTGTGCTACTCTAGTGCAAAACGCAAATTTGTGTTCAGTTACATCTTCTGAGTTTCGCAATACCCCCAAAGTATGCATTTTCCACTCTTTTGCTGGCCAGTTTGGTAATCTGGTATATTCAGCTAAACAATACCCCCAGTTTCTGTTTCTGCCACTATCTTATGAAGTTACAGTGTCATAGTAGAGGCCAGACCGTTTTAGTTTTTACAGTTTAAATCTTTAAAGAGAGGCTTATTTCTTATTCTGGAGCATAAATGCATACCATCTGCAAAAGCAGACACTGCAGAATATGTCTTTTGGTATATTTTGAGCCAATTGGACAGCCATTTATTCACCAATTTCTTTAACAGTTTCTGATATTATTTTACCTTTGTGTTTGTTTTTATGTTTGTTTTTAGCATGCAATTTAGCAGCTTATATTGTAAGCTTGACTTGTGCTACTGTAATTAAAAAATCACAAAATGTAGTGTAATTGAGTGCAGGATTACCTCTATGAATACCTTTTGTCAAGTTTTTATTAAAGTAGAGGGCTGAATTAATAACCTAGTTATTTGAGTTAAAAAAAAAGGCAAACTGAAGATTAGCCTACGGCAGGGCTCGACAAATCCCAGATATTTGTTAACCTGATCCCTTGGAGGCAGGCAGCCAGTTGCACATATTGTAGACGGGCAGTGAGTGAGTTGCAAACTGTTGCATATGAATGTGAAGTATTTTAATCAAAATATATTGATAACCCCACTTTCCACTCTACTCCTTAGCTGAGGGCTGGGGACACCCACTTGTTCCACCTTTACCACCTTGACGCTCTCACCCGCAAATTTTCAATCCCGCCAACTTCACTCTACTGGTACAGGCAACTTAGATCATTCCTTATCTGTAGCCAAACAATGGCACCACTCCGCACAGATCTAAACACATGTTAACTGCATGGGAACAAATGTGTATAAATGCTACTCTACCACCAAAGTGTAAACCTATCCCCATGTGCTGCAGACTACTTTCAGACCATGTACCCTTCTTTAACTCCACCTACACTAAACAATGGGAAACCGAACTTGGGTGTACAATTCCCCAAGCCAAATGGGAACACATGATCAATTCCCCAATTGGCCTCATTAATTCCTCGACCCACCTAGAACAATACCGTAAAGTCCTATACAGATGGTATTTAGTGCCAACCAAATTACATAAAATGTTTCCAAATACCTAATCTAGGTACTGGAGATGTAACAGAGACGAAGGCACTATGATATACATGTGGTGGCATTGCTCAGCTCTCAGACAATACTGGCACTCAGTCCACTACCTTATAAGGAAGGTAGTATTAGAAACCCTCCGTTTTGAAGCCTCCATATACCTATTACTAGATCTACCAGCACACCTTAATAGAGCCGCACAAAAGATGTTCTTGCATATTCTTCTCAGAGCTTAACGCTGAATAGCGAGAGCCTGGAAATCTTCTGCTCGTCTGACACTGCCTGCACTAACAGCAGACACAGACAATGCAGCTATGAACATGGCCTCCCTTTCATCTCCCCTCTTCAAAGATAGGTACTGAGGCCTGGTCCTTGTGGGGAACATGGAGATCGGAGGTTACATAGGCAACCTGCTGATGTATATCTTTAGAGCTTTCATTCTTGTAAAATGGGTATCCATATGTACATCACAGAAACCATATGAAACCATTATCAGGGAACCCGCCTATATCTCTTGGTTAATACCACTAGAGACCTGCTAGTCCGCATGGGGCAATCATCGGATTCTCACAGTCAGATATAGGACATGCGAGATGTCAATTCTCAATACCCAAATGAGATATTCTTGGATGTATCTGTTGGATTAATATTAATTGTACTAATGCTTGATTTATTGGTGTTTGTTGTACTACCATATGTAATAAAAGCACAACCATGTGATTCTGCTACCCACCCCTCTTCTGTACCCCCTCCCCCCTTTATCCATGAAAAAGAAATCAAAGTTTAAAATGGGGAAAACAAAAAAAATATAACAATATGCAATATAGACAATAAATGGAGGTGTGTATGTGTGTGTGTGTGTGTATATATATATGTGTGTATATGTGTGTATATATATATATATATATATATATATATATATATATATATATATATATATATATATTGTGTGTGTGTGTATATATTTTTTAAATTACAAATATATCTTCACCTCTACTTGCAAATTACTATGTCAGGCTTGACCGATCCCATGTCACCATGGCAATGTGGAATGTTGACAGTGCCCGGGATTTGTAAGCCCTTTTCCCTCTGTCGGGTGTCCGGCTGCGGATACTTTAGGCAGGCAGTGAGGGAGCTGTGATCTTCTTGTTCTGCTCCCTAGCCCGCTGCTTAGTTATGCTGGGGCTGGAATATGACGTCCTTCCGCCTCCGGCATCACTAGGGGGTGCCCGAGGGTGTAGAGTAGGAAAAGGACAGCTCCCTCACAGCTGGCCGCCTACTGGAACACCTGTAAAGCCGATCCACTCTAGATCTCCCAAAGGTAGGGAGGCTGGGTGGAATAAAATGTAATTGAAACGTAGTAATTTGTGTGTGTCTCTGTCAGTCAGTGTGTATATGTGTGTGTGCCAGTAAGACAGAATGTTTAGGTGATCAGCCCCCCTCCGATCACATGGGAATGGTGTTTTTCTCTGTCTTTTTTCCCACGCTGTGCTGGTCTCCCCGTGGTTGGCCTGCCTCTAGTGCTGAGATCACGAAGCTAGATGATCTCGGCCAACCTAGTGCTTCTCCATAGGAAAGAATTGAGAATTCATTGCGCATGCGCTGCAAAACGCTGTGCCAATCAGCATCTCCTCAAAGAGATGCACAAAATCATCTCTGTGGGGAACGTTCAGCGCCACCTTGTAGAGTGTGATGACGCTGAATGCAGGTGCTGCACACTGTGTAGCCACTGAGATAGGAAGCACTTTAGTGGCAATCTGAGTGACGGCCACTAGAGGTGTCACTAGGCAGCAATGTAAACACTGCCTTTTCTCTGCAGTGTTTACATTGAAAAGCCTGCAGGGACAGGCTATAGACACCAGAACCACTACATTAAGCTGTAGTGGTCCTGGTGACTATAGTGTCCCTTGTATTTTTGTTGTTAAAAATAAAGCTTTGTAAGATTTAAAAAAGCAAAAAAACTGGCTCCTTACTTTTTTAGCTGACTCCTAGAATCAAAGCAAATTTGTCACATTATGCATATGCATTTTAATAGATCATATTTAAATTCCTTCCTTCATAAATGCATAACATTTGCAAATGTGGGCGCCACTATGACTCCCACCTCATTTTGGGAGCTTTATTGAGGTGCATGTTTTTCACATTTTCTTTAAACGTTTTGTAGTATTAAATCTATAATTATATTTTTTTACACACCAGTATTTTTGCTGCATATATTTCTTTGCAAATCTTGTGTGCCACGATAACAAAATTCCCCAAACTGTCAATCAAGCTTGATGCTCTCAGCCAATCCAATGCTTTCCCATAGTATAGCATTGGGAGGCTGCTACGCAATCAATACATCTCTAAGGAACATTCAGCGCCTCCATGCTATGTAAACACTGCTTTACTTTGTTAGAATTAAAAAAATTTTTTTCCTGTGGTGCTGAAGGGGTTAAAAGCTGTGTGTGTGTGTGTGTGTGTGTGTAGTGGATGCAGTGTGCTTGTCTGCATCCACTACCCACACTGCATCCACTACATATTTGTGTGTAAATATGTGCGGTAGGACATCTTTAATTGCCTTGTATTTTATATTGCCATTTTTCCTCTGCCATGCACTGGAAATGGACCTCTTCTTGCATAATAAACCAGTGTAAATTTAGCCGTAAGGGAACTTGAATATACAATGTTATGCCCAGTTTCCATACTGGAATTGCATCATAGCTTTCACAGACAAAATATATATATATATTTTTTTTTCTTCTTCTTTGAAGATCTATTTAATACAGTGCTGTGTAACAATGTAAAAAAAAATTCCCTTTGTCAGTGCATCTTTATGGTTTTCCTTATTTCTGTTCTTTCTTGTTTTTTTTTTTTTTTTTTTTTTCCTCAGGATACAGAGTTTCCAGGTGTTGTAGCACGACCAATAGGGGAATTTAGAAGCAACGCAGACTACCAATATCAACTACTACGCTGCAATGTAGACTTATTAAAGATCATCCAGTTGGGATTGACATTCATGAATGAACAAGGAGAATACCCACCAGGCACCTCAACGTGGCAATTTAATTTTAAGTTTAATTTAACGTAAGTTCTGGCTCCATGCTTGTAGTGAGATAAACAGTCGTTATTTTATTTGTATTTGATTAAATGTGACCATCATAACTTGTCAGGATACATGTTACACCAAATTGTTAGAAATAAGGATTTAGTAGAAGAAAATCATGCATGTGATTTGTACTCCAAATGGCGACAATGAAAAATCTCTATTTTCCAATAAATGTATTTCTCCTTATATCTGGTATTTTTTGGTATTGGTATTTATTTCTGATTGGGAAAAATATATATTTTAATGTGCAGCTAATAGTGCCCAGGACAGCCATGGTGTTCCCCACAACCAGCATTCATTGTGTTAGTGTTTAACAACTGCATTGCATTTCTTTATACCATACTGGTTTGGGTGTTGTGGCAATTGCAAAATCTGTTTATTAATAGAGTCGGAGCACAATATTCACATGATGAAGGTTGTCTATGTTATGGATGTCAAAATGCATGAAAGAATGGATGTAGTATATAGCAGGTATGATCAGACTAGGTACATGACCAAGTTAGATAGAAAATACCATTGTGTGAATGCATGTATGTAATATATTTTTCACTGGTATAGTGAGGAAGAGGGAGGGGGGTACATCTGTTCGATATTACATGACTCTCCTTACTCACACTGCCATTGTCTGGTCTTCAGGAACCACATATTTGCAGTCTCATGCTAGCGAGTTCATAGAAGTATTGCACCTCAAATGTGCGTGTTTGCCTTCATTGAGGTATCTGTTTAATGTGAGCATAAATTTCAATCCAGCTGTTGCCTTTTCTGTTCTCTGTTCTCTCCTGATTTTAAGGGAAGATATGTATGCCCAGGACTCCATAGAGCTGCTCACTTCCTCTGGCATCCAGTTTAAGAAGCATGAAGATGAAGGCATTGAAACAGAATACTTTGCTGAATTGATTATGACCTCGGGAGTAGTACTTTGTGATGGTGTTAAATGGCTTTCCTTTCACAGGTATGATTATCAGCTTTTGGACATTTACTTAATTATTGATGCTATAGTTTGTCAGCATTGGACCACAGGCAGCTAATCTAACGTGCACATCAAAAAAGTAATGCCCCATCCCCCAAACTTAATAACCACCTCTAACCTAACATTTTAGCTCCTGTAGTGCCCTATTGCATAATTTCACACTTTCCCCATAATGTTTGTTTTTGGATAATAAAAGTATTTTTATTGACTTAAAATAATCCTAATTTTTGGTTATTTTTGCAAAGGTTTTAAAGATATTGCTGAAGTAAAGAATGGACTGCTTTACCTTATTTACATGCTTGCAGTTGATGTCTGTTACATCAGCTGTTTTGGTTTCCAATCCAAGGGATAAGAACCACTAAATGATGTGCAAGCTTGGATTTCAACATCCTTAAAGGGACACTATAGTCGCCAAAACAACTTTAACCTAATGAGCTGTTTTTGTTTGTAGATCATGCCTCTCAAATCTCACTGTTCGATCTTCTGCCATTTAGGAGTTAAATCACTTCTGTTTCGGTCCATGCAGCCATAGTCACACCTCCCCTGGTTGTGACGCATAAAACCAAAATGGTTTAATTTTCAATGTTTTTATCTTTAATTACATACAGGAGTCTCCTGCAGCGTTTAGCAAATTATTAACAGAGCAGGAAATAAGAAATTCTAAATTAAACCGAATTTACAATAAAGTTGGTGTAAACATTAGATCACTCTTTACAGGAAGTGTTTATGAAGGCTGTGTCCGTAACATGCAGGTAGGTGTGCCTAGGTCTGCATAAACAAAGTAATTTAACTCCTAGATTGCAGATAATTGAGCAGTGAGGCTGCATTGGGCATGATCTATACACCAAAACTGCGTCATTAAAGGACCACTATATGCACCCAGACCACTTCAGCTCCATTAAGTGGTCTGGGTGCCAGGTCCCTCTAGTGTTAACTCTACAGCTGTGAACATAGCAGTTTCATAGAAACTGCTATGTTTACACTAGGGTTAATCCAGCCTCTAGTGGCTGTCTAACGGACAGCCGCTAGAGGCCATCCTAGCTTCTCACTGTGCTCTACATTTAAATGCTTTCCTATGGACTGATTGAATGCGTGCACGGCTCTTGCCGCGCTTGCGCATTTGGCGGATGACGTCGGAAGAGGGAGGAGAGTCCCCAGTGCCGAGGGAGCCCGGTGCTGGAGAAAGGTAAGTGTTTAACACCTTCCTCCCCCTAGAGCCCGGCGGGAGGGGGGCCATGAGGGTGAGGGGGACCTGTTAACACTATAGTACCAGGAAAACGAGTTTGTTCTCCTGACACTATAGTGGTCCTTTGAGCTAAAGTTGCTATGGTGATTATATAGTGTCCCTTTAATATAAAGCCATGTATTGTTGCTTTAGATCCTGTATGTATTCAGAGTGCTGTATCAGTCCTCGTGTACTGTCCTTATCAGTTGTTTCTGTTTAGAAATTTTAAAAAGTCTTTATAAACCATGTATCCTGTATCAGGGAAGGTCAGATTAGATTCTGTTTTTGTGCTCATCATTTAATTTGTCTGCTTTGCTCCGTTTAGCCTTCTCATTAGTCAAGCTTCAAATCTTGTAATATGCATGCCCTGCCACCATCCAAAGCTCTTCTGTAGAGAGAGGTGTTTTAGTTGCCATAGAGACATGTAATCCACGAGTGTTCCAATAGATTATCAGCACAGCTATTTTAAACGGTCACTTTTCAACAATTAACAAATGTGAACTCTTATTAGAGACTTTGCTAAGTGCTATGGAAATTCAGTATGAATGCTTGTTTTTCTTAGACTTTATATTTCACTTTCCTCCTGGGAAAGCACAAGCCTCATTACTGTTTGGAGTAGTTCAAGCCATTAAAATCTAAGGATCTCAGCTAGTGCCTTCAATCGGTTTGTGCTCAGTGGGCAGCCTGCATTAATCCCCCCAGAATGAAATAACAGACTTTTTACAAGTAAACATGGCCAGAGTCCAGGTCTGCATGTCATGCTGGCATAAAGGAGCTGATTAAACAGACTCTATTGAATATATATATATATATATATTTATTTATATTTCAGGCAGTTTTTTTTTTAACTTGACCCAATTCTTATAATGCATTATATAAAGATAATGTGTTTAAAAACATGTGACAAAATAAAATATTTAACTATAGTAGATGCTTGGCAATTTAAGATTCTTGTTAAATGTTTGGTACAATGGACAGGCTGCACCTCCTCTGCACTGCACAATCATTTGCATGGTTTTGCACGGTTAGCCTGTTAATCGAACAATCCATGTAAAAAGCTGGTATTTCTAGACTTTCCTTGTTGAAATATCTGTAAATGTAATGATGGCATGGATTCTATAAGGACGCAAAAACTGGTTTCACGCTTCCTCTTTAGTTATAATCCCTGTTCGATGGTAATGGATCCTAGAAAAACTAGCAGTTGTTGACCAGCGGAAGATCACTGTAAAGCTTCCACCAGACAGCATGCTGGCTGCAGTTAATGAAGCCTTGTTCACAATCCCGATCTGCACCATCAGAAACCAACAGGCTCATATATGCCACTGCATTAGTGGTCCTCCAGCTACTTGACTACAAGATCAGGCTCAAGGAGAAGCAATGCCCACCATGGAGACTACAACTGGAAGCTAAGCTAAAGACAACACTGAAGGAAGTTAGTAAGCTGTATCAACTTAACAGAGGTGGAAAAATCAAAGATGGATCCTGGCTGCTGCGGAAGTACAAGGATATGCCCATACCAGAGGCGCTGGAAACCACTAGGCAAAGACTGACAGCACTGGCAACCAGAAAGAGCAGTTACACCAGGGAAGCAGAGGCTAGGAGAATTAATGCCCTCTTTACCAAAAACCCATCCAAGGTGTATGCACAGCTACAGGGTAACCACCACATCTCCTCGCAAGACCTACCCAGAGCTGAGACTGAACAGTACTGGAAGAATATCTGGGAGAAAGAAGCATCTCATAACATAGAGGCCCAGTGGCTACTAGACTTGAAAGCAGACCACTGCATGCTGCCAGAACAGGAACCGGTCACCATCACAGTCAAAGATATCCAACAGAGAGTAGCACACATGAAGAGTTGGTCCGCCCAGGACCTGACATGATCCACAACTACTGGATAAAGAAGTTAACATCGCTGCATTATTGCCTAGCAGCACAAATGAACCAGCTGCTGGCAACAGGCTCCCACCCTGGCTGGCTAACACAAGGCAGAACAATGTAGAGAGCGAGAGAACATAATCTGTCCTAGTCCAGATAAATTCCTAAATAAAATTTAGTCAAGATAAATTCTTTGTAAATAAATTTTACACATAAAATATAACGGTTAATCCATATTGTTAGGGATACAAGGGGTATTTTATTTTTTATTTTTTTTTAACAATACTGATTAAATGTTTTATGTGTAAAATGTATTTAGGAATTTATATTGACTAGGACAGATTGTTCTCTCGCGCTCTACATTTGAACCCCTCTATTCTGTCTTCAGGATACTTACTACATATATTAGCAGCTTCAATTTACTTTAGTTAACAAGGCAGAACAATACTGCTCATCAAGGACCCTCACAAAGGAACAAAAAAATCCAACTACTAACCAATAACCTGCCTCCCCACAACATGGAAACGCCTGTCAGGCATCATAGCCTCTAAGATCCAAGGGCATATGAGTCAAAATATGAACAATATTCAGAAAGGGATTGGAAAAAACACCAGAGGATCAAAACACCAACTACTGGTAGACCAAGCAGTCACAAGGGATTCTAAGACCAGACAGACCAATCTGTGCACGGCCTTGATTGACTACAAGAAAGCCTATGACACTATACCACACACATGAATTCTGGAATGCTTAGCTCTGTACAAGGTCCGCAAGGCAGTAAGAGCCTTCATTAAGAACACGATGGGCAAGTGGAAAACGACTCTAGAAGCCAATTCCAGAACAATAACTCAAGTGAACATAAAATGTGGCATGTACCAAGGTGATGCGCTATCCTCAATGCTGTTCCGCATGGGCCACAACCCCCTTAGCCAGATCATCAAGAAAAGTGGATACGGATACAGGTTTAAGAGTGGAGCTACCATCGGTCACCTACTCTAGATGGATGACCTCAAGCTGTATGCCAAGAATGAGCACTACATTGACTCACTGATCCACCTAACTAGGATATACAGCAAGGACATCGGAATGTTGTTCGGATTACAGAAGTGCGGGCGGAAGATGGCAATAAGAGGGAAGATGATCAGGACAGAAGGAGTTGAAGTTCCAGAAGGCCAAATAGAAGATGTAGAAGACGGCTACAAGTACCACAAACACCTGTCAACCATGAGGAAAAAGCAAGGAGGATAGCAACATCCAAGTACCTCCAAAGACTCAGACAGGTTCTGAAGTCCCAGCTCAATGGCAAGAACAAGATCCAAGCCATCCACACCTATGCCCTACCGGTCATCAGATACCCATCTGGAATAATAACTTGGCCAAGAGAAGTACTGGTCACCATGGATGGCAAGACCAGAAAACTACTCCCTATCAATGGAGGATTCCACCCAAAATCCAGCACTTAGAGACTGTACACCTGCCGGAAGGAAGGAGGTCGGGCCTGATGAGTGTCAAGGCCACAGTCCTGGATGAAACAAGTATATCATGAAGATGGCTCCCAAAGATGAACTGCTAAGGGAATGCCTGAGACTTCAACAGAAGATGCAGAAAAAGAGGAAGTTCCTTGGCAAGACCTCTCCATGGGGTGTACCATTGGCAGATAGTGGATGAGGCTCAAATGACAAAATCTTACCAGTGGTTGGAAAAGGCAGGACTGAAAGACCGCACTGAGGCACTAATCCTAGCAGCACAGGAACAGGCAGTCAGCACCAGATCAATAGAAGCTGGAGTCTACCACACCAGGCAAGACCCAAGGTGCAGACTGTGCAAAGAGGCCTCTGAGACAGTCAAGCACCTAGTAGCCAGATGCAAGATGTTAGCAGGAACAGCATACACTGAGAGGTACAACCAAGTTGCTGGGATTGTGTACTGAAACATCTGCACAGAATATGGATTGGACCTGCCTAAGTCCAGATGGGAGATACCACAAAAGGTAGTCGAGAATGACAGGGCTAAGATCCTGTGGAATACAAACAAAAAAATAAATCACTATATGCTCTGAAAACACGAATATATCCTTTAAGGTAAAATGTTCCCTTGAAACACTTAATAAATACTAAAAGTAAGAGGGGGGAAAAAAAACAAAGTAAAAAAAACGTGTGTGTGTATATATATATATATATATATACACTCTAAGGACTTCCAAAAGGTATGGTGAAAAAAAATAACTTAGCTTTTATTCAGCAACTGCCACAATATTTCTATTTTTCTATTTTCTATATTGAAATATTGTGGCAGTTGCTGAATAAAAGCTGTTGTTTTTTTTTTCACCATACCTTTTTGAAGTCCTTAGAGTGCTATTTTCTACTTTCCTGTATATATTATTTTGCTTGATTAGCACCGGGCTTTATGACAATACAACTGGAGTGCAAGTATTTGGATATTATATATATATATATATTCACACTCACTCACTGTGGGGATATTTATGGGATAATAATATTAAACAGTCGAGAATCGCCCACTATTTCAATTCTCTTAGATCTTAGAGATCGTTATCAAATAAGTGAAAAGTATTCCATACAATTAAGATCACAATGTGTTATAAAAATAGATTTAATTTATTGTGACATATAACATAACAATAATATTAGGCAGCATGCATGATAATAATCAGTGAGTATTTAGTATAACATAAGTATGCAATACAATGGAATGGCTATACACGTTCCAATGGCTAACAGCATCTCCTGTCACTTAATAAGATTTATGAGGGTAAGCTTCACACAGCAAAAAGCCATAAAACCTTGGCTAACAGTTAAATCAACTGAGTAACCCTTTCAATGCTGGCTAGATTCTCCTAGGCATATAGTATCTTATTCTCCTGTGATTTTCAATTAAAATAACATTTGAACCAACTCATTAGTCATTTCCTGGAACCATCCAATAAGAATAATCTACCAGATTTTTACAAAAGCCGAATTTTAATTTGCCTAAAAAGATATCGATCATATTTAGAGCAAATCAATACACCTGGATAAAAACAGCGGTATGCTAACATGTGATACTATCACATTAATGTATAATTATTCTTAATTCCACCTGCAGAATGGAATGTTTATAACTATATATTCTTTAGTTAACTAAGATTTCTAAATATTGAAACCTGACCGTGATTTATCCAGTCATATATCATGCTATTAGTAAATTCTAATTAATTTAAATTAATTAAATAAAACCAGCATAATTACCAGTTATGTAGAAATTCTCATCAGATGAGTAGGTAGTCCCAGGAACTTGATTGGTTGTATGGAGGTGCGCGAGTGATAGAGAAAAGTGGTGTTGGTTAGAATTCAGAGTAAACTTCTAAGTGTTTAAGAGTTGAGTGTCCAAGAGTTTGAGTAGAGTGTTAGTCCCAGAGAATGTTTCTTGAGTCTCTCTCTCTCTCTCTCTCTCTCTGCATGTCCGAATCGGAATTCCCAAACTCCAACTCGTCTCTCTACCAACTTACTTCTCTTCCCTTTGTCCTAACTTTTAAAGGGCCAGACTCTCTGTACGTCAGTTGATAAGCCAATAGGAAACTGTAGATGTGTTCAATCTATGGATGGCAATTTAGGTATTTGATCCATAGAGGGCAGTCTTGCCTAACTAATCCTTCTTATCCAGGAAAGAGTTAACTTTTCCTGAAGCCGATTTTGATGTCATTTGTCTTATCTAAAATGACTACCTTAACTTAAATTTGCTGTCGGTTCAAAGCGTTTGTCTCAGTCTTTGTGGCAACTACTTTGATCGTAATTTGTAAAACTGACAGTTCTAAACTCAATTTCACCCATTACTTACAATGGAACCTTGTAAAATTAATTACTTAGTCTTCTGTCACTGGGGTCTGTGTTTATGTAATACATTCCTTAGCTCAAAAAGTGGCTAGTTACAGAAAGTAAGAAGAAACTATGTGTCTTTGAATTTCTGAAGATAGCAAAATGGAGTCTGCTCTGTTCTGAGTGACTCTGGCAATATACACTTTTAATTTCTTTAGTGCACAAAATGTCTGCCGATATAAATATTTCTGACAACACACACACACACAGTAGAAATGTATATCTGGAGAGAAAAAAAAATGTATATAGTGCTGTATAATCCGCACATGGGGGAGGTGGAAAACTCACCAGATAGATGCAAAATCAGGCATATCTCCCTCTTTAATAAGATGGAACAAACAATAAAAATCTTCATAGAGAGATCTTCAAAAGGAGAGGCATCTTCCAATATCACTCAAAATGAGACGGAAAAAGAGCACAGATTGTATAAAAGTAACATTTATTAATACAAATGCACTTACAAAATGTCAAATGACAATCGGCATATCTCCACACAGAATGTGGTATCCAGGACTCCAGCAAGAAGCAGGAACAATTCCCAGCATAGTGGATGCAATAAAAACCAATATAAAATCAAACGATAAATTGAGCACTCGGGGCTGTGACTCCCAGTTGGGGGAGTGGCTTCAGCAGATTCTAGGTGGGACATCTGAGATCACTTTTCAGAAGAGTGCAGTTCTAGGAACAGCTAAGATACTGCGCAGAACCTTCAAACTCCCAGACCTCCGGTAGAAGACCTGAGAATAAGGAATAAACATACCACCCAGGAGGGGTGAGAAAATTAAATATATGTATGTATGTGTATGTATTGTTTTTTTTTTTTTTTTCTTTGATTGTCCAGATTCATACATTTGCACAGCTGGGTTACTGTGCTGGCCTGCTTCCTGACTTACAGGGTTAGTTACTGAAGTGAGAATTGTAAATTTAAAATGAATTTCAGATTTAAGTCCAAATAGCTGAACTGGGGGGAAAAAAATCTTAGTTGTAAGAAATTATGACCCTCTTACAAGGATATTTGTTTTAGGGAATGTGTGACAAATAAGACACAAACACAAGTATATAATAAAAATGTTTTAATGTTAATATTGATTTAGGATACTGTTATAGATTTTAGGATTTACACGTTATAACCATATTCAGTACATAATCAAAAGATAGTAAAAGGGCAATACTTAGACATTTATTATTATTATTATTTTATTATTTATATAGCGCCAACAAATTCCGTAGCGCTGTACAATGGGTGGACTAACAGACACATAATTGAGATCAGACCACTGACGTACAGGAACAGAGGGGGTTGAGGACCCTGCTCGATGAGCTTACATGCTAGAGGGAGTGGGGTATTGTGACATATTTAAATGAAGATCTTCCCCTTGCGCCTTCATCTTTGGTAGTCTGGGACAGACTCTCTGTTCACCATGGCACCACTGCTTGCTGCACTATCCTCCCCAAAAGAGAGAAAAAGAGGAGCCCAACCTCCTTGGCTGTTCTTGTAAAAGACTGATTCTTGCAGGTTAACTACATGTCCCAGAATCCCTTTTACCACCCAAAACGTGCTTAATCCAGCCCCCTTTTCCCAAAGAGTTCTGTCTTTGCTCAAGTCCTTTTCTCTCTCGCTGTATATGCAGCATTTCTGCCTGAACATACAGTTATATCTTCAATTTTGTGCTGAGAGCTAGTTACACCGAACTCTTTTGGGCTACACAATGTTCACTCTGAATTATTACAGCAACACATGTAGTGCGCTTCTTCTACCCGTGCTGGGAGCACCTCTGTGCGGGGAAGCATTCCTTCCTCATTTGAGCCCTCCTCCTTGAATTACTTATCTTGGCTGCATATTTTTACTTAAATCCAATTTCTTGTCTACCGTCCACTCATAAAGAAGCATTTAATTGAATTGGGAGGGCCATCTGGGGCAGAGCGAGCAGACCGATTCAATCAAATGCTTCTTTATGAGAAGCATTTGATTGGACCACAGAGGGGGGAAAAGTGAAGCCAGACGGGGTATGAAAGAACCTAGCCCAGCACTAGATTCAAGATAAGTTTATTCTTCTTTAATATTGTTTTGTTTAGTTTTTTTGTTTTTTCTTAAAAATAGAAAGTGGACATGCTACTAGTGCCCAAGAGGTAATTTTAAAATGTAATAAAGTTACTATTAAAAAGGGTTTGAGAAATCCTGTAAATCCCAACAATTTTCACTTTTGTTAATAACCCTGTTAGTATCGTCGTTCCTAGAAAAAGAAAAAAAACCTTCTTCCTGTAGAAAATGTATAAATCACATGTGGGTACATTTTTCAGTCTTCACTCTTTCCACATTGTATGTTTGAAAGTGCAGGTACTGCGGATGTAATCACCTTTTTTTTTTTTTTTTTTTTCACTGGGAGCTCTAAATGTGCTTGCAGTGTTTACCTCTCTGAGCATGCTTCTGATTCTTGTTTGCATCAAGTAACTTGAGTTTAGTATGTGTGGGCACTTAACAGGATTACCAAACAGATTACAAAACCAAAAGTCTGTAATCCTCGTGTTTGCACATGCTTGTTCGTATCACATGGCTGCATGTAATGTGTGTTTTCCTGCTGCTTCATGTATAACAGAACGATAACTGAACTAAGATGGACAATACGCAGAAATATATATGTTTATCAAATGTCAAGACAGGTAATCAAAAGCTAAGAGAAAGATTTAACATTCATAAGAAATGTCATTCTGTAGTCTGTATTACCAAATGTAAATAAAGGGACATTCCAATTTAGTAGATCTAACCCCCAAAAATATATGAATGTATTTTTCTTTGAGAGTACATTTGGAATGATACATTTCCAGTCCTTGGATATTTTAAACAGGGCTTGACAATGTATCGTTGCATTAATATTGTTGAAAATAGCCAGGTGAAACATTAAAGGTTACTCCTTGAACCTTGACTACTTTAAAGCCCCGAAGAGGCTATGGTAGTTGGAGTCTACATGTGCAGGGTTTCCATATAAAATGCTGCACATTACAGAGATATTTGAGATTGCTGCCGGAAGGTGCATCTCCATCTGCGGCAGTGTCATTGTTATAAAAGTTCTGGATTAACTAATGTGAATGTCTGTCCGCATGCATAGTACACGTTAATGTATAGTTTATTCAATGATCGACTGCCGTCTCTCCTACCCTTGTACATAACTATGTCCCTCACTCCTGGCATGTCCAATGTAAAAACTGTTTTAATAAAGTTTTTTTTTATTTTTATTTTTTTATACCTTGCTTATGTGTAAGGAGCTTGTTTGTATATTTTTGTAATGCAGCTTTATTAAAAAAAAAAAAAAAAACCTTTTAGAATTTCAAATTACTGTATGGGGGCATAATGCTCATATGCAATAGAACACTTCAACTGAACTATTGGATTACACTGGTGTTTGCAAGATTATAGAACACGTTACAAATAGTCAATGGCACACACTGAGCCCTATCTCTCCTCCCCTTTCCTAATAATAATGGTAATAAGGTACATGTAAAAAGTTTGGGAGGAAGAAATGAAGGTATGCCATTTCAAGCCCCCTATCTGTCTTGTATATAATGTATATATCTGCACTCTGAGCTTTAATTCTTGACCAAAAAGGAAGATAAGCAAGGATACATTTAGTTTTGCATTACTATTACTATATACATTCAAAATTAAAGTAAAATGTGCCTCAACAATGTTGGTAGTGAATGAGTAAGATCATTTGTGATTTTTAGTGTGCTTAGTTCAGCCTTTATATCTGCCACAAGAGGCAGAATTCATGGAACAAGCTCTTTTATAAATGTGTTCTTTAAGAGAATATCAACTTATGTTTGAATAGACATTCTCAGCACCAAAGCAACTTTAGCTTAACTGAAGTGGAACTGTCACAGTCTGGGGACTTTACTGAATTCGCAAAGCCCCCTGACCGTGACATCGCTGCTGGTGGTCCGGTCGGCCGCTTGAGGCAAGTACAGATGAGATTACTTTCCTGAACCAGTCCCCTGCAGGCGCCGCCGCCTTTGAAGTCTATTGGGGGGATTGATCCTCCATAGACACAACCAATTCCCTATAGACTCTGCCTTGAGACTAAGAATGTCAACTGGAGGAGAATATCTCTTGACTATGTATTCTATCTTTATGAAATATTCATTTTGGGTGGGAGGAGGGGGGAGTGACCGTACCGCTTTAAGTGGTTTTGATGTATCGATCCTGTCTCACTGCTCAATCCTCTACCATATAGGAGTTGTTTCACCAAAGAACCAGTCGAAACATGGTAATGGTGAAAGTAGGACTGATATTATTGTGGAAACACACACATATTTATACCAGAAAACTCACTCTGCATACAGTAGTGAGTCATACAATACATTATTTAACTTGCCTCCAAGCCTCTCCATCAAAATTACTGTGAATGATGATCAGACTTGAGACTTTAATGTGTTTATAATATTAAATTCCCCTTTTAATGTAAAGCGCAGTGGAATTAGCTGGCACTATATAAATCTAATATGGAGTCTAACTATTTTGCGAACAATTTTATACAAATTCATGATGTGCAAGGGCAATCATTAGTCCTGGAGAGAACGTTTTTAAGGATGGGTTTTAAAAAATAAATAAAATAAATAAGCAAAATGACCCATAGATGCTTTTAAAAATGCAATATTTACTTGTGCCGGCAAGTCTTTCAGGGTTAAATTCCGAATTTTGACTAAATAAATTGAAATGTTAAAAACCCAGACAAAAGAAGCCAAGATTTCGCTATGGCTAAGTTAGAGGGGTGGTTTTTTTGTTTTGTTTTTTAGACGGGTTATCTTTTGTCTCAGTTTTTCAATTCAGATTTAATTTGTGAAAATTCTGAGTTTAGTGAATACCTGGAAACATATACCAATCTCAGATTTGAAGTTTAGGCCACTGGACATGTAGACATTTATGCAGATGTTGTGTTTTTATTATTTTTGTTTAGTGTGTTAAGCAAATTAATTTTTTTTATATTTTTGTTTTATTTTACAGTGGTTATGACTTTGGCTATCTAATAAAGATACTTACTAACTCAAACTTGCCTGAGTTAGAACTTGACTTCTTTGAAATTCTGCGACTGTTTTTCCCTGTAATTTATGATGTAAAATACCTTATGAAAAGCTGCAAAAACCTGAAGGTATGTTCACATGTTATTTCTTATTGCTTTCCTTTTGTGTTTTTTATTTAATTAAAACAGTGCAAGTAACCACAACTAACACGTGACAAAGCTGGGATATTCAAATTTAAATGGAAATTACGCTGCCAAAATACAAATCACAGTAATTATGCATTTTTCCATTGGGCATATAGCTAAAATCAACTTGCAAAACCTGCAGTTTTCTTTTCTGCTGCTTTTGTAAGCTCTCCCCTTCTATCCCAGCCCAGACGTTCTGTGGCCATCCAATCAGACTTCCCAATGCAGCTCAATGAAAAGTCTTTAAGTCAGGTGCTCTGGGCAATTGCTGACTCTTGAGGTCCGTTGCATTGAGCTAACCAAACCAAGAAGTAGCATTACCTGTTTGCTTGAAAGCCAATGGGTGTAACCAGTATAATTTAGAAGTGTCAATTTCTCTTGAAATGTGCACTTTTTGCAAAATGGAAAATAGAGGACACACTCTTCACACACAAGGCTTTTCAGCAAGCTAAAGTTGCTTAGGGGTCTGGAGTAACCCTTTAAAAAGCTCTTTGAAACATATATGTACAGTGCCAGTCAAGCGTAGTTGTTACAGATGTAGTGATAGTATCTGTCTCCATGACAGGCAGCCGTATATGGTATTCTATTATGATTGTTGTCCATTTACGATTCTTCAGCAACATGATGGAAACAAATAAAGTTCTGCAAGAAGATTTGTTTCTAACCTTTCGTCCCATCCATTTTATATGTGGATGAGGTCTTGGGAATGGCACTCCAGGCTGATAGATCAATCACTTTCACATTCCCTCTATGATTAGGTAGTTGTCATCTCCTAATGGGCATGAAAGTCTGTGCTATCATGCAGGCATTTAATGCATGTTGACATCATTGACTGTCATTCCATATTGGTGACAGCTGGGCGAGATCACATCTGGCCCATAGTGCTAGGTATTGATGGATGTCCTATCTTCTGCCAACTGTGGCCATATTTAGTGACCACATGCTGATCAACTTAATGTGTACAATATGCAAAATGAGAGCCATAAACAAATCCACTGCCTCATAAATGATCTTTCATTGAATTGCATATTAGCTAACCTATGCCCTTTATTCTCACAGGCACTACAGATACTGTAGCATGAAGTCTCAACACATGTAATCTTCATCACACAGCCTGTCCCACAGTCACCAAATATATATTCAGTATATTTAGACTAGAGATGGACATCACCAGAAAGACATTCTTTTGCTGATACTCTCATTAGAGAAACCATGTTATGACTTTGACCGATCACGTGTAGTATTGTTCATTTTGTTGCATCTTCTGTCAGGGGGGACTTCAGGAAGTTGCAGAACAACTTGAACTGGAGCGGATAGGACCACAGCATCAAGCAGGCTCAGACTCGTTACTAACTGGAATGGCTTTCTTCAAAATGAGAGAAGTATGTTTATAAAATATTTATGCTGTTGGCAAATGACTAAATGGGTTAGTTGAAAATTATCATTATCTGTGATATTTAAAGGAAAACTTCCACTGGATCTTTTAAAGGATCACTATAGTGTCAGGAACACAAACTTGGTTTCCTGACACTATATCATCCTTACGACCCCCCCTCAGGGTCCCCCTCCCTTGGAGCTGAAGGGGTTAAAACCCCTTCAGCCACTTACGTATATCCAGCGCCGGCCTCCCTCTGTGCTGGTGACCTCTCCTCCCCTGCCGACGTCGGCTCCCGAGTGGAGCGGAATGCGCAGCAAGAGCCGTACGAGCATTCAAACAGTCCATAGGAAAGCTGAACTCAATGCTTTCCTATGGATGTTCGGCACGCTGGATGCGATTTAGCATCCAGCATCGCAGAAGCGCGTCTAGCGGCTGTCAGCAAGACAGCCACTAGAGGTTGGCTTAACCCTGCAATGTAAACATAGCAGTTTATCTGAAACTGTTGTGTTTAAATCTGAAGGGTTAAAACCTGGGGGACCTGGCACACAGACCACTTCATTTAGCTGAAGTGGTCTGGGTGACTATAGTGTCCCTTTAAGACAAAATTAATTGTAGGTTGTCTAATAATTTCCCCCGATAATTTGAAAGATTATAGAAGCTAAACTTTTAATTGACATGCATTTGATCCGTGAATACACAGAGCATTCAAGAATTACAAGTTCCGTTCAGAAATAAATCTTGCTTACATCAACTGATAAGAAAGTGAAACAAAAATATTATAACTCAAAGCTCAGAGAAACTCTGTAGTTTGCCCTTCGGTTAGTCTCCTCTCTCTGGTCTCAAAAATGTTTCTGCTCACTTGTGCCATAACAAAGAGAACCCATACCATTTGTATGTCAGACTGATCCCACCCATAAGGAAAGAATGCAATTCCTTAGGGGCTTTAGTTCAATCAATGGACATCAGATTCCAGTGCAAACGTTGTAGGTCAATGTTACTATCATCCAAAAAGAGGACAAGGACTGAGTCCACTGCATGAATTATAGACCCATATCACTATTCAATTGGGACATAACAGTGTTTACTAAAATCAACGCAACACAACTTTAATCATGCCTTCCCAATCTGGTTCACAAGGGCCAGGTAGGATTTATTCACAATTGGGAAGCACAACACCACTAGAGTGCTCAAGTGGGGCATATATATTTGTGACCTTGCAACACATGGGTTTCGGTTTTTCTCCTGGGGTGGATACAGGCCCTCCAAAGCCAGCCCACTGCACGCAGGAAATCTTTTCCTTCCTTTAGATGTTTCAATAAAGGCAGCTAAGAAGCTTTGTAGAATCCATACGTCGGCAACATTTACTCTTTGAGCAGACCTGTCCGAAACCCAGGATTTCCTACCTCTACGCTCTAATACAAACCAATGCAGCCAGTCCACCATTTCCATTTATGACTAGATGGGTGACGTACACCAGGGAGGTTTATTCTGAGGCCCAGTGGGAAAATATCTGTAATCCCCCGCATCACTGTTCTGTCACCTGTGAAACACAGGAATCTGTGTACAAACTACTTTTCTGCTGGTACTGTAATCCTAGCCTTCTACATGCCATAGACCCCACATAGAACAAACAGTGCTGTAGATGCACTCATGGAAAAGGCAATGTTATAAACATATGTTGTTGCACCATGCTCTAACCCTTCTGGTGCAGTATCCACGATATGCTGAAGAAATTTTTTGATGAATATATGATCTCACTGCCTTCTAACCACCAATTCTGCAGATTTCTATTGTTTAATACAGTCAGCCCCAGAATGGTTGTCCGTTTAATATGCTTTTAGAACATTAAATTTAATCTGTTTTAGCGAGCACTGATTATTAGTGAAAGAACACAAAGTAACCAAGTATATGTTCCCAGTAATAAGCTTTTGAGTTATTTTTGCAATCAATGTCTGTTTGGCGATTACTTTTTTTTTTTTTTTTGGTTATAGGATGTTCGTAGTTGTGGTTCATTCAATGATATTTATTTTGCAGATGTTTTTTGAAGATCATATAGATGATGCAAAATATTGTGGCCATTTATATGGCTTGGGATCTGGTTCATCATATGTGCAGAATGGGACAGGAAATGCATATGAAGAGGAAGCCAATAAGCAATCATAATGCACTCATGAACAATCTGCACTTTCGAGCTACATCCAAGCTACATACTTTTTGTACATGTTTTATCTGATATTAAATTGCTCATCCATGCACTCCTAAACTCTCAGCACACTCTGCCTTGCTTCACCCCAAAGTGGAACTATTTGGCCTTGACACCAGTCCGTGTCTCAATATCCTTTTTGCCTTATCTAGATCACACCTAGACACAATAGCCCCTCTAAAAAAACATCATAACCAATCTCATTGCATTTAGGTATCAGGTAAGAGATGTTTGCCTAAGATTTTTAACTTCTTTCTCAAAACTGATATCTACTGATAAACTATGCCAAATCCAGTCTGTTAAACAGTTCACAACTATTGACCATCAAGTTATTTGCACTTAAATACAAGGAGGCTGTATATTTTGTAGTCCATATACTTATTCCTTTTTCCATCAGGCTTTAAACCTGAAATTGAAGTATCGGCAGATAAATGGTTTTAAAGTATAGCTGTTCTAAACAGTCAAAAGTGAAAATAACATGCAGCCTGGTATGGACATTTTGAACTAATTCTATCCAGGTGGGTTTCTGACTGCAGGTTTAAAACCAAAAAAAAAAAGTTTAATTAACCTAATAGGACGTTTTTCTGTTTTATTTCTAAACTTTACCTTTTCTGACCCACAGAATGCATTCTCTTTGCTTCCTGAATTCTCAAATATTTTAACCCAGTTCATGTTTACACAGTCCTCAGTTGTTGTTTTTTTTGTTTTTTTTTTTATTGAATTGTATTTATTATGTGGTTCATTTTTGAAAAATATATATATTTTTTTTTTTTTCCTGTAATTGCTGGAACCCCGCACCCAAAAAACCCCACCAAGAGCCTCGTACAAAAAAAGGACTTTTTATAAAAGAGAAAATAAATCTCCGCTGTGTACTGGTTTTGAAATGGGAATAATGCAATTTATCCCTTTATTTTTCCCATGAAGATATATAATGGTTTGTTGCAACAACAAAAATGTATGTAGTTGGGTGGTATTGCAACTATAGTGTAATACTAGGACACTCATTGACAATATCTTTGCAATATATTTTTATATAGATATATAAAGTCTGTGTAGACTGCAATAAAGCAACGTGTTTAGCCATACTTTCCGGAGTAAACTGATAGTATAGGATGTTTTGGGTTTTCTTTTTTTTTTTTAATATTTTTGGTAACTACCACAATAACTGATATTTCCCAAAAATTTAAAGTGTATATTTTATTCCCATGCCACAACCATCTGTTAAATACCAGCAAACATTTATACTTTGGAAAATCTTTTTGTTTATTTTTCAAGTATGTTACAGTATTGTAACAGAGTGGTCCTTTTTAAGAAAAAATAAAAATAAAAAAGAGGGAAAAAAAAATAAAAACAAGTTTGCAACAACAAAAAAATTTGTTTTTAAAGCTTTTGGTAAATAAAGGCTTGAATTGTTTTCTAATGCGTTGGTTGTATTTTTACCTTCATGTAAAAAATCACCTGCTTATTGCACACACATTCACTACAAAGTAACTTGCGTTCTGCTGTCTGATGTTTAGATGCTAAAGTGCGATCAAGAGGATTGTGAACAAGTTTGTTTTTATCAGGGTAGGTCTCTGAAATCAAGAAATCAATGTGAATTTCTAATTGTATTCCAGTACATCTGTTTCGTCTAAAATTTTATATTTTCTCTGAAATGCTGACATTTCACAATTTTGTAAATTAATTTAGTCGATGACCACAAATATTTCACAAACTTTTCATGTTGCAGTTGTTGTACAACTATAGACTATACATTACTGTAAACAATCTTTATTTGAAGTCAAAATGGGGAAAATAATCTCTCCCAGGGAGCAATGTTTCCAATTCAGCTATTTTGCCCTTAGATTTAAAGCTCAGTGTCCGTTCACTGTGACTTCCTAAACCTTCACTTATTCATGAATAGTAATGGTAAGTTACTGAAGTAACGGGGAAAAAAAAATGTATCTGAAAGAAAAGGAAACCCATAGCAATCTCTAATTAAAGGGGTAGTCAAAGCAGTGTAATCTTCACTCATAAAACTCTGGCCCCTGGCTGAAGTAGCAAACACTTTTTTTTTTTTTTTTTTTTTCTTTTCCTTAAAGGAAAACTGTAAACATTTTGAGTGTTTAAAATAAAACATGACATTTAATGTAGCCTTTGTGTATTATTTTGGAATACCTAAACGTAAACCACTCTTTAAAAAATTACCCTGGGCTCCATAGTACTACAGCAAACTTTTTTTTTTTTTTTGAGATTTAGTAAAGCATCATTTGGAAGAAAGCTACGGTGCTATCTTAAAAGCACAGAGCTGAGCCAATTATTACTGTGCTCTGCTGAATGTGAGTGCATTACCACACCACTTTGTTTACCCTTTTTATGGTTACATTTTTTTTTACTATTTTCTGTATTTTTTTTTTTTTTCCTTTTTCATGTATACTTTGTGATATATCTACCTTAACAAGTTGGTATGGGTAAGCAAATTTTAGTGCGACACTATAATTTTCTTTGAGTATTTTCACTTAATGTAGATTTTGGATTGTTGAAACTTGGGTGTGGGCTAAAGGAGATATACGTGCACAAGTATTTGAGTGTCTTTTATTTTCATCTAACTAATATAAGCACTTGGGTGTCCCTATGGTCTAAGTACTTATAGTGTTTCTATACCCATAACACGTAGCAAAGAATTGGTAAAATGCACGCAATGTTTGTTTTGCTTTCCAGTTTGGTCACAACACCGCTATACATATGCAGTAGTGATTAAACTTTGCATTTTGAACCCACACAAATTTAAAGCCCCTGATGGTATGAATTACTACAGGAACCAGAAAGGAATCCGGCTGACTTGTATCTAGATCTCTGCCTTATATGTTGATTTCAGTTTGGTTAGGTATGCCGTCTGTGTCTTGTTTTAGCTTAAATTGAAAAAGAGGAAAATTTATTCATACTTACTGAAATTTTCTTTTCCTGGTCATAATCCATGGCAGCACAACAATGGGCAGCTCTCCCCCATCCCTAATTAGACAGGAACTAATTAAAATAAGGGTATAAGTACCCCCTCCTACCCTGAGTCTTGTATTCCAGCAAAATCCCTGGGCGGGATCTTTGTGCTGCCATGGCCTATGACCAGGAAAAGAAAATTACGGTAAGTATAAATAAATTTTTTTCCTCTTTCCTGGCCATGTCCATGGCAGCACAACAGTGGGTAATACCCAAGCAAAACCAAGGGAGGGAAGGGAGAAAAAAAAAATGACACAGACTCAAAATATTTCGTAATGCAAGTGCATTAACACATCTAGAAGTGAAATCATACAAAAGAGAAACCTTAGTTGTATGCTGAAAGGACCCATTTAACAAACTTGTCCCATTGACCCGCTCTGACATCTAGTTGATAATGTCGAATATAGGTGTTCACCGAAGACCATGTAGCTGCTCTGCAGATAAGTTCTGGAGAGACTCTCGCTGCGGCTGCCGAAGAGGAGGAAAGGGAACCGGTAGAGACTTTAGACCGCTAGGTACTGGAACCCCACTGACATGGTAAGCCTGATTGATAGCGGAGACAATCCATCTGCTTATGGCCTCTTTAGAAACTTGGCGACCTCTCCTAGCACTATTCGGGATGATGATCTGAAGAACGCCAGCCAAGAGATCTGTCAGTATAGATTCTCAAACATCTTACCAAATCCAGCGGAGAAGAGCCTCCTTCTGGGGAATGTTCTTCTTCTGTCAGGGCTGGAAGCACTATGTCTTCATTCACATGAAAGGCTGTGGTTACCTTAGGGTGAAATTCGGGGATGGTTCTTAGAATCACCCTGTCTCTGTGAAACACCGTGAAAGGCTCTTTGACTGATAAGGCACTGAGCTCCAAAACCCGTCTCCCTGATGCTAAGCCACCAGCAAAACTGTCTTGATGGTAAGAAGATGAGGATAGATGGACTCCAAGGGTTCGAAGGGAGCTGACTTCATGGCTTGCAATACCAGGGGTAGATCCCATGGGGGAGCAAATGGCTTGATCGAAGGTTTAATCTTGAGTACTGCAAAAAAAAAACCTTGATACATCCGGATTAAAGGCCCATTTGTGGTCCGTGAGAGCTGAAAGAGCGGAGACATGTACCTTTAAGGTGTTGTAGCTCAAACTCTTATCCAGACCTGTTTGTAGAAACCCCAAGATGTCTAATAGCAGGATGCTGTATGTTAACCTGCTTAGGAGAGGCCCAGGAAGAAAATGCGTCCCAAATTCTATAGTAGGTAGGGGAAGTGGAACGCTTCTAAGCCTGTAACAGGGTATCTGTAGAATCTCTAGAAGCCTTTCCCTTTCAACCTCCAGGCCTTCAGGTTGAGTGATGCTGGGTCTGGGTGTAGAATAGGGCCCTGGTGCAGAAGAGAAGGAACTGCTGGAAGGTCCCACGGAGGTTCCTGACAGAGGCTCAGAAGAAGAGGGAACCAAGGCTGGCGAGGCCAGTATGGGGCAATCAGGATCATAAATAGTGGTTCCTGCCAAATCCTTCTTAGTAGAGGAAATATGAGGGGAGTGGGAGGAAATGCATACCCCTTTGTGAACTCCCATCTGCATGATAGGGCATCCCTCTCCTGGGCCTGCGGTTCGTGCCCTCTCGAGAAGAATTCCTGGAGCTTCTTGTTGTTGTTGGTGGCCATGATGTCTATCTGAGGAAGACCCCATTTCTTCACGATATCCTCAAAGACTCAAAAGGGTAGAGGCGAGAAATTCTCCCCTCATTTGTTTCCTCACTGTCTTGGACCTTGCTTCCATAATGATGCCCTTAATCGCCTCATGAACCAGGAAGGTAACCCTTTTTCTTCTGAGGTCAGAAAAGTAGCTACTGGATGTAGAAGGCTCTTCTCTTGAAGGTTCCTTCATGCTCAGAGACTTGCGGACCCTGGAAATTAAGTGATCCACTTCGGTTGGGTCCAAAGTGTCAGGTGCCAGCCTCTCTAATGCCTTGAGATACAGCATCTGAATAATTTGCATAAAATCCGGGGTGGATGATGCAGGACATCCTGCGGCCTGTAGGCAATCTGAGCAAAGGTGCTTCCCCTCCAGGGCCCTCTTGTCACATGCTTTGCATAGGGACCTTGCGGGAGACTTCCTTTTGGATGTTCCAGCTGTCTTTTTCCCTTTAGTACTACTATAGTTAGGAAAGAAATATTAGCCAGCACTCTTTTGTTTAGAAGAAAAATGAAGAAAAAATGATATAGGAAATGGCTTACCCCTGAGATTTAGATAGTGACCATTTACTTTGAACTGACAAGTCTGAATCCATGATCTCAGATGAATTCATCTATAAAAGTTAAAGCCCATAAAATACTGTAAGGTTAAAATAAAGTTCAAAAAACATCAACTGAATAAATAAATAAACAAAAACAGACCAACTGTGCCTTTAAAAAACTTACTTTCAGTCTGCACCACAAAACTGGGTGAAGACCGCACTGTACCGCTTTAAGTTAGTAATAGACTGTGTTGGGAAGCTAAAATTGAGTATTGGCGCTTTAAAAAGGGAGCCCAAACTACTGAATGACGTCATCGGGACCTCGGACGTACCGCACATGCGCAACCGGCATTTCCGCTAATGCGCGAAAACGGCATGACAGCAAGGAGACCCATGTTCTTCCAACCTATTGCGGACAGCCAGAAATGCAGCGAATAGGGACGAGGGGGCCCTATATCACCAGGGAAGCCCTGCACTCCTCCAGAAGGGAGAAATAGACACCAGGCAGAGAACTGCCGAAATAAAGAGGAGGAATGAAAAGACTAATCTGTCCCAGGTATAGGACAGGAACAAAAAGACTGAGGGTAGGAGAGGGCACTTATACCCTTATTTTAATTAGTTCCTGTCTAATTAGGGATGGGGAGGAGCTACCCATTGTTGTGCTGCCATGGATATGGCCAGGAAATAAATATATTGGAGTATTATATATAATATTTATATATTTTGTCTCCACAAAATATTTATTCTGGTGGGAAACTCCTTAAGGAAAACAGTCACTATTAAAACATAACATTTGGCTTGTGTTAGATGAAATACTCTTCAAGATGGATATAAGAAACTGTGCCAGACACACATTTTAAGTAAAACAAAAAACTGAAATGTCTTAATTTGTGAATTGGCTTTAGGATATTCTGAAACTGACCTTTGACAAATTCTAGAAAAAAAAATCCTCAGGATTTACCTAGACCCAGATCCAAAGGTGAAACTTTTTAATTAGGAGTCCGTGTCTCTTTAGGGATGTGCTTAGCTAAATGTTAAATATAAAAAGAAAATCACATCAGTAAATGAGACATCTGAATATTTCCTGTTCTCAGGGATGGAAACTTTGTCTCTACTTGAGTCACAGTTAGGTTTCTTCTCCCCTTCATTTTCCTCCTTCTCCAAGATGAGAAATTCTTTTTTTTTGTTTTGTTTATATTTTCCCAGTGACCTGGTGGTCTGTATCCTCCTTAAATGGCAACTGTAACCTCAGCACTATTTTTTATTTATTTATTAAATGTAATGATGTTTTGAGAGGAAGTAGATTTTGTGTTAAATGAACTATATGTGATAAAATAAAAATTAAATCTCATCCTTACCATACACCATGGGTCATACAGTGATTGAATCGGACACTTATTTTGATGGTCACTGCACTGTGCAGGGATTGAAGCATGGAAAACCAAAGAGACTAACACTGTCTGACTTAAGGTATATGTGTATGGCTGAATTATCCCATCATACATTAAAGGTAATGAAGTGTTTTTTTTTTTTTTTAAACCAATTCAAGCCTTTGTCAAGATCACACCGTGCTATATGAAAATACAAAATATTACTTACCAATGACTTGTGTTTGAAGCTGGACTCATATCATAATATTCTTATTATAACACTAATATAGCCAAATATATTTACGTAGTATATTTTGACAAATTACATCATTATGACACTATTGTGGCTAAATGTACTTTTTTTTTTTTTTATTCTAGAATTTGTTTGCTCCTGTTTAGCTTTAGATGATGTCCACGTAATGCGTTACTCACTGATTGCATACACAATAGGCACAACTTTTAATTCACATATGGCATTTTTATCATTCGTACTTTGCAAACACATTTATATTCCCCTAATTTTGGAATCTTATTGCTCATTCCCTTTCTACTCATGCAATGTGTTATTATTTTTCTAACGTGTCTCAGAGTTCATTTATGTTTATTTCACCTGTACTTTTTTTTTTTTTTCTTCTCAATTCTTTATTTTATTGTGACCAGTAGCGGATACAGTAAGTAGAAACAAATCCAGTAGTAACTTGACAAATATAAAGCAATTCAATACTTAGCATAAGCATCTATTATAACGTACATGTGACCACAATTCCAGGCCCCTGTGCTAGTGTCACATTTTGTATGTTAGATTGCTTAACATGCCTACATGGGCAAACATAACTTACTCATAAGAACTCTACTGTTGGCTTAACGCATCAGTCTTAATTTATTATAGCACACTTGTGACTTCGTCTGTGGGTCTTTGATGCTGTATGAGTGGTTAGCTATCATTTTCCCACCTGCCGTGTAGCCCAGTACCTCAGAGGAGGTGGAAAGAAGACAAAGACAAGAAAAGAATATTGAAGACAGAAGAGAAGTCACTCCCGTGGAAGTCCTAGAAACACTTCCGCCCCGCATCCTTCTATACTGTTGCCATCTGGCCCCACTCGCTACTCTCTGTTGAGCTCTGGTTGGGCAAAGGGGGACAGGCCCTTTCACTCACGGTCCTCAGCTGTAGTTAGTCCACTAGCACACATTCCGTCCAGGGGCCCTAGATTTTCTCAAACAAAAGTTGTCCCCCTCACTCTCGCCATTATGTCGACTATAAGATGGGCCTCTTTTATTTTATTAATAACCAGTGAAACCGGGGAGGATTCTGGCCTGAGACAATATTGCGCAACCGCTCTGCGGGCCACTAGTGTTACTTTATGCGTAATACTAGTATTACTTTAAGAGTTTCTGTTCTGTCCTGGTCCACTCTTCTGGTGTTCTATTCAGTAGGAAGACCCATGGGGTGTGGAGGAGTGGGCCTCCAGGCAGAGGGCAGGTAGCCTCTGCCTGCCCTACGAACAGATAAGTGTGGATGCCAATGCAGAGGGCAGGTAGCCTCTGCCCATCCCAAGTGGATGGGACTCCGGTCGCCACTGCACCCGACGGATGGAAGAGTTGGCTCCTCCAACTCTTCCTGAGGCTGACCCCAGAGACATGCTATAGCCAGGTCAGCGGGTAGCAGGCGAAGCTACGGCCGCCGCTACCCCTTCCCTTAAGGATGCATCGGCATCCGAGCAGAGAGCAGCCAGCCTCTGCTTTCCCCTTCCCCAGAAGTGGATTGGTAAGGAGGCACCGGCCTCCAAGCAGAGGGCAAGTAGCCCCTGCTCACCCCTGGTCCTGAAGCCAGACCCTAGCAGCCGTGCAGGGTCTGGAGAACAAAGCCTCTGCCAACCCCAGGAACATATAAAAGTGGAGGCGAGGGCAGGGGGCAGGTAGCCTCTGCAAACCCTTGGTGCATATGACGGGTCTTGGCAGCCGTGCAGGGTCCGGAGAATGAAATATTGTGGAGGCGCGTGCCTCCGAGCAGAGGACAGGTAGCCTCTGACCACCCCATGCTACCCCAGGAACAGATAAACGTGGAGGCATGGGCCTTTGGGCAGAGAGCAGGTAGCGTATGCCCACCCCTGGTCCCGTAGCCAGACCCTAGCAGCCGTGCAGGGTCTGGAGAACAAATTGGTGTGGAGGTGCGGGCCGATGGCATGTAGCCTCTGCCCACCCCAGGAGCAGATAAAAGTGGAGGTGAGGGCCTCTGGGCAGAGAGCCTCTGCCCACCCTTGGTGCCCACGAAGGGCCCTGGCAGCCGTGCAGGGTCCGGAGAACTAAATAGTGTGGAGGCGCGGGCCAAGGTGCGAAATTCTATGGAATTATCCGAGATAGACCGGTACCCTTGTGTGATATGCATTAGAGCAGTGGAAGCGTTATCCTCCCTGCCTAATGGTTCAAATGTTAATTTGAATTCCGCTAGGAATTCCTGGTAATTATAAGCAATACTCCTATTACTCTGCCATAAAGGATTGGCCCCAGTTAAAGTTAATGCTTTACCTTTAAGTTGGTTCATCAAGTACCCAATCTTAGCTCTATCTGTGGGAACGATCCCGGTGAGGCCTCAAAGTGGTACTCAATTTAATTGAGAAATCCCCGTCATTCTTGAATATTACCATCAAAATGCAGGGGAGGAGATAGGGAGAGAATAGGTGCCTTATATACTATAGGTGGAGGCACATTAGGCAGAGGTGAGATAATCGGAGAAACATCAGCCTGTAAATGAGCCATCCGAGTAAGAAGCGTACTGAAAGCCTGGGCAAATTGATACATGTGGTGATCATTCTCATCTAGCATTCTCTCGCAAGCTGCTCTGTGCTGACACAATTCTGCAGGATCTATTGCCCTGTCGTAATGTGAAGATTACTAGTTGATCCAGCACGCAGAATTATATCACACCTAGAACTAACGTTTAACCGGACCTTAGAATGGCCGGTCTTAACGTATCCAAGAATAGTCAGAATACTTGTCGAGGTTAGGGATAGAGAAGGAGACACAGCGATGAGGGAAAGCCAAAAGTCAAGGATACCAGAAATCAGGGAAGTCAAAACGAAGCCAAAGTCAAAAAACAGAATAATACGATCAGGAACACACTCTCGGATAACCAGCAAAGGGAAACCACGACAGGGAACTGATCAAAAGGCAATCTGTGTTTGAATAACTCTCCTAAAGCTGTAATTGGCTGTATGTGGCCTTTGACCCCAAAACGTGCGTGCACGTCTATGACGTGATGTCGCATGCACGTAAGTGCCATCTTTAATGTGGGCAAAGGCTATATCCCCATTAAAACCGGAACCACTGTGGCTGGCGTCTTTAGGAACGCCGCACACTCTGAGGACCGGGACAGAAGGAGGTCGGGTAGTGGTCTGCCACGGGTAAGCTAAGTATTTATTATTTCTGTCGGTGTGACCGCTGAGTTTCTGTGCGGCCATGCCAAAATAAACATTGTCACCAGAACAACTACAGCTTATTGAATTTGTTCTGGTGAGTAGAATTATTGCCTTCAGGTTTTTTGCTGTAAACACTGTCTTTTCAGAGAAAATGCAGTGTTTACATTACAGCCTAGTGATAACTGCACTGGCCACTCCTCAGATGGCGGTTAGAGATCCTTCCTGGTTCAGGGCTACCTAGAATGCATCCAAACACTCAGTATCTCCTCCCTCTGCATGCAGACACTGAACTTTCCTCATAGAGATGCATTGATTCAATTCAGCTCTATGAGGAGATGCTGATTGGCCAGGGCTGTGTTTGAACTGTGCTGGCTCTGCCCCTGATCTGCCTCCTTGTCAGTCTCAGCCAATCCTATGGGGAAGCATTGTGATTGGATCAGGCCACCATTTTTGATGATGTCAGAGGTCAGAGGACGTTCACAGGCAAAGGCAGCAGCTTCAGACTTGAATGCAAGTAAGATGTTACCATCTTTAGGGAGGCAAGGGGGCTAGATAGTGGTTTTAACACTATAGGTCAGGAATACATTTGCTCCTTTAATACTTACCCACAAATTAATAATTAAGCCTCATTTTTATTATATTTAGAATTGGACAAGCACAGTCTTCTAATGAAGCCTAAACATGAGTTGCCTAACTTAAGCTGTTGGGTGGGATTGTGTCCGCTATATTGGGTCACAAGTAAGAAGTGTGACATATGTATGGAATGGGAAAATGGTAACCCATTCATAGATACAATTATTATTTTTGTGACAAGTACAAAAGAGGAGATAGAAGAAAAAGTTTCTATTTGGATTGATGTTGGTCTGGAACACAAGGGGGTGGTCACATATTGTCTCTAGAGGTACGCCTTATCTCCACCTTTGGGCCAGGCTTGGTAATCCACAGGGTATATATCCAATGATACTGAAATGTGTATTGTACTTGCTTGGGACCAAAATCTAATTTTGAGTAAGTTGCCATCTTCCTTGCCAGAGACCCCTTGGGGAGAAGCTTTACTTTGAAAACCTAAGGAGTAAGTGATTAGGAAGTCTGTTATTGTATTTTTTTTTATTATCTGTTGTTGATGTAACTAATTTGATTGTCATCTATATTTTTGTATGCACGGTGACTAGCTTTTGCTCATAATAAATATTCCTTTATTAAGTTCTGCCTTTGTCTGGTAAAGAATAATGTTACCTGAAGAGACTAATTAGTGTTTTGCAATTGCTTAAATATTGTGCTAAGTTGTCTTGGTGGTGGCAGTGTTAAAATAGTAATATTTATATTATTATGGTAAAGTGTGGGTGGTGTAAAGAGGGATTGTACCATTATTTCCGGTCTAGTGCAGCAAATAGTGAACTTTAACCCTTTTACCACCACAACTACGTCAGGCACGTTCTTGAAGTAGGGTGCGTTCGTGACAGAGACCTCTGAACTGGAAAAGTCTTCCAAATCATATTAATTTGCAATAGTGATTGTTAATGGGCATTCGATGGTAGCTTCTATCGATGTTAGCCAATTACAATAAATGACAATATTCCATTGTGCAACAATTAATTATGCACACTTGCCTTGACAGTCTCCCCTATGGTCTAAATCTAGCACCAAGGGCTTTTGCTAAATTTCTCATCTTCCTCATAGTATTTCTTTGGAATTAAGGGATAAAGATCTTCCATTATTGGGATATCCTGATTGTCGACACAACATTACAGAAAGCAACTTCGCTTACCAAGCAAATGATGAATTGCCTCCTAGAAACCGACTGGATGGTCAACTTGAAAAAGAGTTAATTAACAACATACTCCAAGATACTCACAATATACAATATTTTTGGAAAACATTCTCAAGAAAACACTTTAAAAATCAGAAACAAAATAAATTTCCTTCTACATAACACTTCTGTCTTAACCAGAACCTATATGAGCATGCTAGGGTCACTAACATCCATTTAACCTAGCAGAGTAAATAGGTTTAATCTGCTGGGCTCAATGGAACTCCAGAATAATACAGATGAATTTTCTAAAACAATTCAACAAGGCAAAACAACTTGGACCAGTTCATTCTAATTCCACTTCTGGTGAAGAATTTGTTAAGATGGTGGCCACAAGAGAAGAATCTTCTGAAAGGTGTTCCATTAGAAGAACCTCCATGGCAAACTATAACAACAGATGTCAGTCTTCTAGGATGGGAAGCGCACACAGGATCAACTTGGACCCATGGTATCTGGAAACCATCAGAAAGAACTCTCAGAGGCATCACAAAAGTCATCAGGAAACTTAAACACTCCATCATAGGTCCTTGGTTTTTTAATAAGAACAGATAACAGAGCAGTGGCGGCTTACAAAAATGATCAAGGAGACACACAAAGCTTTCAACTCCTCCAAGAATTGGCTCCTCTGATGAACTGAGCTCAAATACACCTCAAAAGGTATAAGGACCATCCACTTTCTGGGTTCAGAACATCTCTCAGCAGATTATCACAGCCAAACCCAACCCACATTCTTCCAGGAGAATGGAGCCTGAACTCGAAAATATTCAAAACCCTGACAGAAACGTGTGGCATACCTCACACAGACCTTATGCACAACTTAAAGAATGCTCAAGTGACCTGCTTTTTCTCTCTAACTCCAGACCCTCAAGCTCGGGGACAGGATGTGCTATCACAAATCTGACATTTTGATCTGGGGTATGTGTTCCCTCCCCTACCTTTAATAATGAGAGTCCTAAAGAAAATTTGGATGGAAGGGATCATTCCCTTCATTCCCATTTGGCCCAAGAGACCTTAGTACCCATTTCTCCTGAAAATGGCTTAATGGCTCAATAACAGATCTTCTGAATCAAGGTCCAGTTACCATGCCAGTCCTTTCAGCTTGAATCTGGTGGTCTGGCTTTTGAAAGAAGGACACAGAAAAAGCAGGGCCTTTCAGGTGCAGTATTAGACACCCTGATTAAAGCAAAACAATCTTCTATCTCCTCTTGCTATTGGCACATATGGGACACTTTCAAAAACTGAGCAAGAGAAAAATCCTTTGATATTTCTTCAGGCAGGACTGCACAAAGGTCTTAAGTACATTGAAAGTCCAATCCTCAGCTCTGTCAGCCCTCTATAACATCTCATGGGTTTTTATATCTCGGTACTTCAAAGCTACCATGAGAATACAACCACCACCTTGAAATTCTACTCCACCTTGTAATTTAAGCATAGTTCTAAATGCATTAACTTAGCCTCCTTAAGCTCCTCTTACAGACATATCAACACAATGCAGGATGTAGCATTCCCATCCTTCTTTCCATCTCCTTCCAATCAGTGAGAAATCAAGCTTCATGAACCTAACATCAGGGATCATCAAATATTAATCTGTCACATTAGAGTTCATAAAATCATAGATAATGAAAAAAAGGAAAGACAGGAAGGTATATATAAGAGAAAAAGAGAGGAAAAATAACACATATGATGATTTGGTATTTGATAATGTCAGTCTTGACTATACAAAGTATGAAATAACAAATACCATATTCTGATGTAAGAAAAAAAAAAAAAGGAGTTCAGAAAATCTTAACATACTGTTAATCCTTCCTTCAGGTATTTGCAAAGGTGAGGCAGCCCTATCTAAGTAATAACCTATTCCCTCTGGAAAGATTAAGGTTCATTTCACAAGGTCTTTGGTTACTTCATAGGCTAATTGGACAGAGGTTCCTCCAGATGACATCTGTAAAGCAGCAACCTGGTCTTCACCTACGACCTTCATTACACATTACAAGCTGGACTTGTTATTCTCTTCATCAGCATCCTTTGGAAAGGGAGTCTTATCTTCAGTGAACAGTCATAATAAATGATACATTCTACCTTGTTTGCACCAATCTTAAGTGTAATTTCATCATTAAAGGATCACTATATGGTCAGGAAAACAAACATGTATTCCTGACTCTATAGTGTTAAAACCACCATCTTTTATGCATAGTGTCTCTTTTTTTAATTGGTTAATTCGAATTCTGATCTGGCTGGAGGTCGGAGCTACCCGTAAGTGATGCTGCCATGATAATTAACCAGGAAAATAAAATTACCAGGTAAGTATGTGTTACATTTTACTTTTTGTTGAATAGAAGGGCTAAGTAAACATGATATTAAGAAAATACAAAAAAAAAAAAGGTGTAGCGCTACATACATTCAGTTTGACTGAGCCTGACCAGAGAAAATGCGTCTCAATGGAAATAGTCGAAATATCATATGGAATATACCTATAAAAAAGGGAAAAAAAAGACTCCAATAGTGTAACACTGCGAATATTAATAATATATACTAATGTCAATAATAAACTCATTCTCCTGAGCTTAACGCCAAGCTCAGGGATAAACGTATGCAGGTCCGTACAGGTGCCCTTCCCCTTCTTCTAGCCGGGTAGTCTTGTCTAATAGCCTGAAAGTGGAGCCTCTATATCAGCTCTATCTCAGCACGTTGTATGAGAGTTATACTCTTTTATGCAGGAACCAACAAGCCCACAATAACGGTAATCAAAAATTTTATTACAAAAAAAAGGGATACTATACCCCTTATAAAATAAAATACAAATAAGTATGCAGTAAAAAAATTAAGTAATTATAACTTAATATAGGTGGGCATAAAAAGTATCATACACTCCTTCCCAGAACGCGTTTCACCATAACTCCGACGGCTTCCTCAGCTGGGTCCGATGTGTCTTTCCAATCTGGTAAAGTCCTGCAAATAGCATGTTTGATATGGTATTTATGCATGAGAACGGCAATATGGAGAGTTCACGTGACCAATAAAGATGACGTCATATGCGGAAGTTAACCGAAGAGGAAGAAGAGGCGTGGAATGCAATTATTGACCGGGTGTGTAGAAGAGAGGTGTGCCTTTTTCGAACAGACAGCACAGACTTGTGCTGTCTGTTCGAAAAAGGCACACCTCTCTTCTACACACCCGGTCAATAATTGCATTCCACGCCTCTTCTTCCTCTTCGGTTAACTTCCGCATATGACGTCATCTTTATTGGTCACGTGAACTCTCCATATTGCCGTTCTCATGCATAAATACCATATCAAACATGCTATTTGCCCGAAATCACAAAAAGCAAAAAGAGCAAAACTAATAGACAAATACTAATTAAAAGAGAGCAAAGAAGAGTAAATACACGTAATTATGTGATTGATACAATAGACATCAAATCTATATTATATTGTAATACCGTCACGTAGAGAATATCCCCCTACTGTGATTTAACATTTCCTCCAAGAGAAACAGTTTCAATTCAACATAGTGTTTCTGGTTACATTCCCTCTATACTACATTTATGTAACACCTCTATACATGTATGTTTCTTCTGGAAAGATGCAGGAGTTAAAAAGTAGCTTTTTTCTGCTTGTATCATTTTTCCATTAAATAACAGAGTTCATTCCCTTTTATATAATTTATATGTTACTTAGCACAATTCATTCCTTTTAATATAGTGTCTATGTAACTCAGACTCTTATATTCAATTCGGAGATATAATCACAAGCACTATCCAGAATTTAGGGTGCAATAACTTCTCCTATCAATGCATTATAGGGGCTTTTTATATAGAATAGAGAGTGAGTGAAAATAAAACATAAAATAATTATCCTATATAAATAAGATGATGTAAAATATAATAAGATAAAAAACTACTCTTATAAAAATTAACTAAAATCCTAAATGTAGTAAAACATTATTCCAAAAAATGGCACATTTCAAAATCTGAGGCCATGGGGAGCAAGAGTGTTCAGCTTAAAAATCATTCTCATTTCCTCCCTACTGAGTTTTTGATTAAAATTACCTCCTCTCCAATCTTTAAAAAAAAATTTAATACCTAAAAATATAGTACCTACAGGGGACTGATTATGGTGTTGTTTATAATGAGCGGGTACACTGTGGTTATCAGCTCCTTTCATAATATTTCTACTATATTCCTCGATTCTAATATGTAGGGCCCAAGTGGTTTTCCCCACATAATTAAAACCGCAGGGACACTGTAGAACATAAATTACATTATTTGTATAGCATGTTATCATTTCTCGTATCTTATAATCTTTCTTACTTTTAAAATGAGTTACTCTTCTTTTTTTATTCCCTGTTCTCTTGCATGCTAGGCAATAACCACATCCAAAAAACCCTTTCACTTCATTTAAAAAGGTATCATTCATTTTTCAGTCTCTAATATAACTCAAAGTTAAAGTATTACGGAGGTTTCCCACTCCTCTATGAATAAAACGTGGTTGTTCCGATAAACTAGTTCCCAGAGATGGATCTTGACGTAAAATGGGCCAAAACTTACTAATAATATTTCTAATTTTAACATTTTCCAAGCTGTAATTGCAGATGAAAGGTACATCTTCTATATTCTGTTTTACCCTCTCCTTATACACAAGGAGACCCTCCCGTTCTGTATCTTTCACTCTCAATCTAGCTTCTTCTAATTTATTTTCTTCATACCCTTTTTCTAAAAGTCATTCTTAAGTTTTGTAGATTGATCCTCATAATTATCTAAATCCGTACAATTATGCCTAATGCGCAAAAATTGGCCCCTAGGTGCATTTTTCAGCCAAGGGGTAAAATGGCAGCTTTCTCTGCTAATAAAACTGTTTACATCTACTGTTTTAAATTTATTTTTTTTAAATCACTCCATCTTCTATAAAAATAGTTACATCTAAAAAAGCTGTTTCTAGATTACTCCATGTGCTAGTTAATTGTATACCCCAAGTATTAGAATTTAAAAAAGTTAGAAATTCTTGCAAAGACTCCTCTCCTCCTTTCCAAATAAAGAAAATATCATCGATATAACGGCCGTAGGTGACCAAGCTCTCACCCCAGCCATGTCCATCATATATAAACAAACGTTCCCAATATGACATGAATAAATTGGCATAGCTGGGGCCAAACTTGGTCCCCATGGCCGTCCCATTAATCTGGAGATAAAATTCTTCTCCAAACCAAAAAAAATTATTTTCTAAAATTAATCTAATGCCATCCAAAATATATTCTATTTGGGTATCTCTCATATCTGTAGAATTCCTTAAAAAGCAATCTACTGCTTCACATCCATAAGTATGGGGTATGTTACTATATAGGCCTGTGCCGTCGCATGTAACCAGCAACCAGCCCTCTTCCCAGACACTATGTTTTAATAGGTTTAGAACTGCTGTTGTATCTTTTATATATGATCTTGTTTTTAAGACTACAGGTTGCAATTGTAGATCAATATAATGGGATAACCTACTTAAAAATGGAGTCTATCCCTGCAACTATAGGTCTCCCTGGGGGATTTTCAACATCCTTGTGGATCTTAGGGAGAAAATAAAAAAACTGGTGTTTTGGTGTATGGAATATTCACGTAGTCAAAACCTTTCGTTAAAAAAGCTCTGAACTTTTCCTCTATAGTAATACTAGGGTTAGTCGTTAATTTTTTATATGTAGTAACATCCATTAAAATACGTGAAGCTTCTTTATTATAAAATTCTTTAGACATAACAACTATTCCTCCCCCTTTATCAGCTGGTTTTATCACCAAATTTTTATTCTTTTTCAATTCCCTTAACACTTTCCTTTCCTTTATTGATACATTATCGTTAAATTTATCCTTTACTTTTATCTTTCTATACTCATTCAAAACCATAGTCTAAAATGTGATCATACTTTCTGAAATCATTTGTTTGGGGAAAAACTAGATTTCTTTCTAAGGTCTGTATGCTTAAATTCATTTTCCAACTCTAATTTTCTTTCTATAGGGTTCTTAAGGAAGAATTTTTTTAAACATAAATTTCTTTGTATTTACCTGATCTTTCGTTAACTCTATGTTGCTTATATTATAAATCCCCATTTCCTTTATGGTTGCAAGATTAATTGGTTCTTTTTCTAAAACTTCTATTTTCTTTCTCTCCTGTCTTTTTTTGATTGATTTACCTCCTCTCCTTCCTCTTGTATCGAATCTCTTCGTCTTTTGTAATACGAAGGTTGCTCTACTCCCTGTTCTGTTTTGTGTCTCTCTATCTGACGACTCTTCCAAAAATCCTGCTCCAGTTCTTGTCCCTCCAGGACTTGATACCAGTTCCGCACCCTTAAGGGTTCTTGCATAGGTGGTGAATGTCTGTCTCTTTCTTTTCTATATTCTCGTCGCTCTCTATTTTGTGTAACTTCTTGATTGTAGGGTCTATGTTCTTCCCTCTCTCTTCTATACTCTTGTTGGGCATTATGTCTGTATGTATAACCCTTATCTTTGACTCCATAACCCCCACGTTTATTCTGATGTTGCTCATATCTTGGTCTTTCCCTATGGTGATGCCCGAGGTTTATATCTATATTTCCTCTCTTCTTCCCTGAAACCATAAGGATAATGGGACACCCTGTAGTTATCTCTGGGTACATAGTTCTCTCTATGTCTTCTTGGTGGCATTAAGTTGCTTTGCTCATCTCTATATTTATAAGGAGTATAGTGAGGTTTATTGCTGTCCTTTTCAGTCGTTGTAATCTCTTGATTTCTAGATTGTCCCTGATATTTAGAAAAATACCTAATTTGATGGTTTTTATAATCTCGTACATCTCTCTGATATTTGCTTTTTTAGTTTCAACTACTCCTCTCTCTATCCTATCCAAATTAACTTTAATCTCTTCCGTCAGGCAATCGAATTCTTCTTGATTAAATGCACTTAGAATTTCATCTTGACATTTAGTAATCTCAATATCTAACTCTTTCAGATTTTCCCTCCTTCTTCTAATAATAAGCTGCATGGTACATGCTATACATGATATTAAGAATCCTGGGAAGTGACAGGTCTCATTTAAGATAACGTTAGCACCACTACATCCAATACAATATAAAAGCACTTGAACAATGCTCACATGGGTTTAATATATTTTTCCATTAGCAGGCAAACAGTAATCTAGTGTAAACTGCACCAATCAAAATTGTCTATGAAAAATAGCAATGCTATTAGCTGCCTCAACTCCAGCTACCTTTAAATTATATATTAGCCTAATTATGATGTACAATCAAACACTATTCTCACAACTGATATTTGTTTAAGTAAAAGAAAAGTCACCTCTCGTGAGTTAGCAGATTCTTGATAACAGTCAGTAAAAAGAATAAGTACATTTGCATATGAAATTTGAGATGTTAGTAAAATATCACTACGTCCTTACTAAACTTAGCCAAGTTATTACAAAATAATGGTTTATAGGATGGTTAGTAACTTGCATGAAAGAAATGACTTGGTTAACCATGGGAATCAGAAACCATAGACCAAATAGAATGTAGAGTCATATAATTCAAAAATATTAATTTATGAAGTTGGAGAACTTAAATTAATTATTAGATAGAATATCTATCTAAGGCGGTTAGGGTAATCTTGCATTTGGTGAGTGAGTTTAAATCCGCTACATTCCAAGATGCGAGATTGAGTATGTTAAAAACACATAATATTTGAGAGTGAGCCAGGGTGTTTAGAGAGTAATTCGCCATGGTCAAGCCATCAATATGTGCTTTTGAGAAAAGTAATATCCTGGATTGGAGAGTTTCATCCCTTCGTAGCTGCTTGAATCGATCAGCCACACATGTGCTATAAGGGGGGGAAATGACAATAGAAATGAAACTATCCCAATATAACCAAAAAAGAAAAACTGTGCAATAAACATTGACAATGACTGACATTTGCAATCAAAATAATGACCAAACCTGAAGGCTCCCATTGGATTTTAAGGCTTGTGACAAAGGCCTCAACCTGAAAAAAGAAGAAGTATAGGAATAGGGAGATACATATATAAAGGAAACATGTAGCAATAGTAGAGAAATGGATCTGATTTTCAGGTAAGATTGAGTTATCAAGGTTTGTCTTTAGCTGCTTAACAAGAGTCCAATAAATAGGTACATTTTTGATGAGTCCGTGCTGGAAAGAGTAGCATATATTTAATTTCTTCTCTGCCAGTTTTCTACAGATAGGGTTGATTATGTCACCCTTGTTACTGACAGATATTGAATATTAGGAATCAGCACTGCAGCTTTGATGGTTTCTGGCAATCCGACAAAACCTAGATTGTAGCAGCAGCTTTATTTTCAGAGTTTTCTATTTTATCCAGAAGCTGCTGCAACTGTTGAGATTTGAGAATCAACTGTAGTCTGTAGGGAAGTGAGGAAATCGTCACTTGTCACATCGTCATTGTTCCAGGCTGTCTAGTCTTGAGGAGTTGTCGCAAAGTGGGACATTGCGTAGCCTATAGAGGATTTTATTGCAGACAGTTTGGCTTCAAAGTGTGAACAGAGATTTCTGCTGCAATGGTTGATGTGTGAGAAGCTGTGACTACTGACGTGAGGGGGATTGTGATATGTCATCCATATCTCTGCAGGAGAATTCAATTTCTAAGTATCGAAAAACATCCAAGGGTTTATGGAAGGAGTTGGTCTCTTATGGTGGAGTTTTGTGTGAGGAGTGTTTTGAGTGGACATTTTTTTCCATTGTAGTACTTGAATATCAAATTTGGCAGGTAGGTGTCACTTCCCTCTGTAGAGTGATTGGCATATGGGTGTGTGAGTACTCCCTGTATGGGTGTCAGCCACGTGCGTAGGCTGATTATTGTGTCTTCTTGAGAGGGATTCAATCAGAGAAGGCCCGCCATGGACTCCAAAGGTCTCCTTACAGAATTCCAGTCTGGTCTGGGCTGACTGGTGGCAGATCAGATGTTGCAGGATCGCAAAGCTCAACAGAAATGCATCTGCCATGCTCGGCTCAACCCCCAGTCCACAATTAAATGTTTTTAATACACTAGAATACATTATATCTTAAATTACGACTGTATATAATTATGGGTATTGGTGACCGTAAACCTTCATCTATCACACAAATTCTGGAGATTCCAGGTATCATCATAAATTTTTTTTTGCATTTTTGATCTTTTAGCTTAAATAGTTTGCTGTATTTTTGCATGCTCAATTTTGTATAGTTTTGCCAGATTTGTTATCTCTCCATAGATAGTTAAATAGCTACTTAGTTTTTTCAATTTTAACCTCTAAGCCCAACATGCCCAAGAGTGAAGAGTCCAAATACCATATTGGTAAAGCTACTTGTGCAGTTGACAAGACAGAATTCTGATGAAGCAATGCATGGCAAATTACACAGAAAGAAAGAACTTAATTTGTTTAAAAAAGATACCTGCCTGCATTTTGAAACTAATTAAAAAAAATAATAATTAAAAGGTATAGCAGATTAAACATCAAACATATCTTTTCGCCACCTTCCTTTATATTTCATAGAAAAATCCAAGTCAAAATACTAATAATTGAAGACTATATGTTGATTTAAAATTTTATTCACATTTAAGGGCATATATCATAGATATATAATGTGTTGCTTTGTTATATAGTCTAATATTATGAACATATGACATTCTTGTGCTTTTTCTTCATAAAATATACTAAACTGGAAATGTTTTACATTAACTTTTAAAAGGGATATTCTTCATCTCAGCAAACAATTCTTGTGATGTTTTTTTAATACCCATGGCATTATAGTAATAAAGCTGATAGTTATGAAAAAAAGATGATGTCCCTGGACCATGTTGTTTTACAGCAATACATACAAAGAGACCAGTTGAATTTACTGACAAAAATGTTATGCATTACAAAACCAAAGTGAAAGGTGTAATTTCAGGAATAAACATGAACAGAGAATGCACACCAAAAAACCATACAAAATTAATATCTTGGTTTAATAAGACAATATCTGATTTACAAGTATGATATAAATATAATACAGATAAAGTGATAGTGAACAGGCTAGACAAAAAATCCACAACCTGATAGGGTAGAAACACGAATACAAAGAACCCCGCTTTGTATTCGTGTTTCTGCCCTATCAGGTTGTGGAATTGTGGTAAATATTTACTGTGGATTTTTTGTCTAGCCCGTTTACTATCACTTTATCTGTATTATATTTATATCATACTTGTAAATCAGATATTGGCTTATTAAACCAAGATATTAATTTTGTATGGTTTTTTGGTGTGCATTCTCTGTCCATGTATGTACTGATTGTTTTGGTATTTGAGGGAGTACCATTTGTGAATAGCACCCAAGTGTTTATTGTTTACATTATTATTGAGTCTCTCCATACTTTGTATACTATATAATTTCAGTAATAACCCAGACAAAATAAAATTACACATATTGAGGCATGTATGAACAAAAAATACAATTACTTATATCTTAAACTATAACTAGGTAAACGAATAATGATGATCTCAGTGCATTTACTGAGCCCATTAAGATCCAAGAAAAAGGTTTTACGAGAAGGGATTTCATTATTAGCATGAGGCCTTCCAATAGTATGTTGTCAAAATTGCCAGTTTTATATATTTAGTCAGTTTATTTTCCTTGTATTTTTCTGGAAAAAAAAGTTGAGTGTAGGTTACCATATTCAACATAAGACAAAACTGTAAAGAAATCAGCAGGTCATGTGCACAGTAAGGCATATGCTATTACGCTGCTGCCTTTTAGAAGTGTGAACAGAGCACATTAATGCTGTATTCTGGGATTATCGCATTGTATTAGAAGTGGTCACTTTACTATTTTACAGTGTGGTAGACACATGGTGTATTCATTAATTTAGACCACAGATGGCTCTGCAGACAGGGCTGTACACTATAGTTTTGAGGAAGTTATTATAAATTTAACACAACATAGGACCTAAAATGTATATATCTATGGAACCAAAGGGTCCACACGGATCAAATATTTACTATTTAACTACAAGCAGGTCAAATCAGAAGAGGAAATGGAAAATGACTTCTGATTATATTATCTTGTGACTGCAACTATGTCAAGATGTTGCTTAAAAATTGATACAGTAATACATTCTAAAATATATATATCTCTTTTTTGTTACCGTTCAGGCACTGTCTTAATGCACACAGGCAATGTTATGTACAATGTGTGTATAGTGCTGTTCTGCTATAGTGTAACTTAGGTAATAAACAAGTTTACATCTACAGTAAGCTCACCTGATGTTATTAAATTAACCGAAAATACATGTTGGTATCATTGACATACTGTTGATTTTCCAAGAATATGGCACATTGCCATACTTTATTTCTCTCCAGATGAAATCAAAGAAGAGATTTAGCATTTGAGAAATAGAAGCTGTAAAGATGTGCTTTCTTAAAGAAGAATCACACTTCTGCTTGGTTCTGCCACATACCATAAAACACTGTCAAAATACAAACTTACATTGTGTACAACACAGGACTGCCAAGTTTGTACTATACATACTTTCTCTTCATTTAAAAGTACAGTACTTAAAAACCACAATGTATATAAATATTTATTTTGCCAGTTCACACCTCATGTTCGTATAATGCCTGAGGCCAGGAGTAAGCCTTAATCATGTTTGAAGCACTTATGGAGAGAAGGGAATTCTGCTACGGCCAATATTTGTGATCACATCCACCTTAACACTGATGTAAAGCCTATGGGAGCATGACTTCTCCACATGAACCTCTTGATGCTCATCTCAAACCTGTAGATTTGAAGTAACAACAATATATTAACAATAAGATATTGTACTTAGACTGCAACCATCTTAAGTTGAACACGCTGCTCACTAAATTAGTTATGTAAGAATGACGAATACAGGGCAGGTGTTCCCAGTAGATACACAAGGCACTTGTCTAAAGTAATTGTTTAATGATAGCTCCATCTGCTACTGTCTGCTCCACCCACTGGAGTCTAATGAGGACACGTACGTAGCGAGTGTTCTTACATTCAATTTCCAGATTTTTAACAGAGTTGGAAGTTAGACTGAAATCCCTTTGCTTTAATAAGTACACATATCACATCAACATTTTGTGTATAATATAGGTATGATTATAAAGTACAGCCTTTTTAAATGAAGCGGCTGTAGGAACAGAATAGTTTATAAAATTAAGCAATTTCTTATACACAGTGGGATAAATGAAAAAAAAGTTCAGTGTCATCTGCAGTCAATATAGCAATTTCACAGAAGGCTTCACGTTACTTCTCTTTTGGACCCACAATATACATAGCTGCCAAGCAGTGCTGGGTAGCCATGAAAACTGTACTGAAAGCTGTTCGGCTCTGCAATGCGCTATGCACATCAGCTGTGCAGGTAAGGGTGACCTTGATTCAGATAACAGCTGATTCACTTAAAATGGCAGCTCAGGTAAAAGGGGAAGATAAAAAAAACACAAAGAAGAAAAATATAAAAAAATAAATGCATCAAACTATGGATAAATAAAAAATAGTCATTCACTGTTTTTATTTTGTAAGGGAAAAGTTACAAATTCTTAATTACATATTGGACTTGTGATGGTCTGAGCTTAGCTATATTTTTCAAAAAAACATTATTTGGAAGAGCCTCTTGACGGCCCATGTTACTCATACACAACTTTAACATAATCCAACTATGACACATCCACTAATTATCCTTAATGTGCGTAATTGCCACTGGTTGATGGATAAACCAAGCTTACTAAGCCAACACAAAAGAGACACAACGCTCTTCTATTTTGGAATTTTAGTTAATTAAAGCCTGACAACTAAAGGCATGCACATATGTAATGCATATATTTAAAAATATATATTTAACCTTACACCTCATTTTACATTACTACTGCTTCACAGTTATTTACATATATTATTAGGTGGTTACTATGTTTATTTATGTATTTTTCTGCATTCAATATATATAAAAAAAAAAAATCACTCTTCCTAAACATATTGCAATTGACTTTCTATGCTACTGTCAAAGCCTGCATCTGTTTTGTGATGTTCTGGAGCTGAATTATAGGAGTTGTGACATGTGTGGAAGACGTTAATGCTGCTAAGAAGTATTTATTTCAGTTACTCTTCTAATGCATGCACGACCATAAACAGCATCTTTACATTCGCAAACACCTTCAACACAACCAGTTCTAAACCTTTGATTATCACTGTATCTCTGCTTGGACCACCTTACACAAAAACAGTCTTTCTAGCATGATTGTACCCATAAACTATTACCTCTCATCAATTGCTGCTGTAAAAAGAAGTAGACTTCATTTAGAAGGACTTTTTACAGTTATTTACAAAAGGGACGATTGTTGGGAATCAGGTGCAAGAATAGATAATGAGCCCCCCCTCCTTGGCTCAAGTGTTTAGTGCAGCAGTAGTCAACCTTTTAATACCTACCGCCCACTTTTGTATCTTTGTTGATGGTAACATTTCCTTACTGCCCGCCAGTGCCACAGTAACTAATTTCATAGCGCAAGTGTGTTTTTCTTTTCTTTTTCTTTCTTTTAGAAAGGAGGACTTTTTTAAAGGACCACTATAGTGCCAGGAAAACATACTCGTTTTCCTGGCACTATAGTGCCCTGAGGGTGCCCCCATCCCCTCGGGGTCCCACTCCCGCCGGGCTGGATGGAGAGGAAGGGGTTAAACAATTTACTCTCCTCCTTCTTTCCCCGTCATCGGCTGAACGCGCATGCGCGGCAAGAGCTGCGCGCATTCAGCCAGTCTCATAGGAAAGCATTCTCAATGCTTTCCTATGGACGCTGGCGTCTTCTCACTGTGAAAATCACAGTGAGAAGCACGGAAGCGCCTCTTGCGGCTGTCAATGAGACAGCCACTAGAGGTTGG